TGTTCTACGATGAAAAGAACGATGGTTCTTTGCTTATTGAAGCCAAGTTCGAGGAGGTGGATGATGCGACAAGGCTATGACAACTGGTGTTAACGTGAATGGCATGGTGTACAAGGCTGTTCACGCCAAGGAATGCAAGGAGTTTGGTGATTTGAAGTTTGTCCAGTTTACTTTGATGCGCATCGTCAAAGAACCCACTTTTTTGCATGATTTGATCAAGTCTTTGTCGTTTTATGGTCGTGTCCTGCAGGTGAAGAAGTTCACTCGTGGTGGTTTCTTTGAGGGCAAGTTTTCGGTGATGGTGGATACCTCGGTGGGATATCAGGTAGAGGGTGGTGAGTGGCAGGAGGCTCAACCTCTAGATAGAATGCTCTATCTCAGCGAGTTTGATTTCTTTGTCGCAGCGACATATAAGGGTGCTCCTCCTGTTTGTCATTTCTGTCGTCATAGTGGTCATGTCCGCGCTAAATGTCCTGAGTTGCTCCAGCGTAGATGTTATGGATGTGGAAAGCATGGTCACATGTTGCGTTTTTGTCCTAATAAGGAGGATCAATCTGGTGCCAAGAAGCAAAAGGTGGATCATCAACTGAAGGATTCGGAGGAGGTCACTGAGGCACGTCGACAGACGGTGCATTTGATGGATTTCGTTGCTAAGGCAAAGCTAGGAGCAGGTAGGGAAGTGGAAGAGAAAGTCGAAGAAGAAGAACTCGAGTCTGTAGTAGACGAAGAGGAAGAATCTCTTCAGGGTGTTGTTGATGGTGTTGACGCGTCTGAAAATGACAAGTCCACTAAAAGTGATAATTTGGAGGTGCAAATGGAGGATCTTCAAGGTGAAGATCATCAGGATAAGTTACACGGAGATGATGCTATGGAAGAAGATGATGAGATCGTGCTTGCTGGTAGTGGTGTCAAGAAGCTTCCTGATGTGCGTGGCTCTGCATTCTCGAAATACGCTTCTAATGAGGTGGCTCTTACTATGAATGTTGACTCTCCAGAGGAGATGATGGGTTTGTCTAAGCTCAAGGAGGCCTCTCAGAGGAAGCGAATGGAATTGAATGCCAATTTGAAGGCTGTGAATGGTGCTGGTGTTGCTTCTGGTACTGGTGTTGGTGTTCTTGGTAACAAGTCTGCTGGTGCTGTTGGTGTCAAGAATAGCAAGAACAATGGCAAATTGCCTCTCAAGACTAAGCAAGACGCCCGTAGGGCTCAATGAGTACAAAATTAGGCATCAAGATTGGCTCCTTGAACACGCGTAGCTTGTTCATGCAGTCTAATCCTACAAATTTCAAAGAGTTTTCATCTTATCTTCGCTCCTCCTCTCTCCATCTGGATATCCTTTGCTTGCAAGAGGTATCTCATTTCCGCTCTCAATCTACTCTCACTGAATCTCAAGTCCGTTCCTTTTCTTTTGCTTTTCCTAATTGTTCTCTCGTTGTGTCCAAGCACTGTGCTATTATATGTCTCAATTCTCGCTATTCTTTGGTGGATACGGAGGTATTGTTGGATGAACGTTGTCTTGTTGCATCTGTCGTAGATGCCTCAAGCAATGTTTTGTGCAAAGTGGCCAACATCTATGGTCCAGCGCAGTCTTTTGACCGTCCTTCATTTATCTCTGATTTTCTCTCTCTTTCTCTTTGGTCTGATGTGTTCAACACACCTTGGATGGTTATGGGTGATTTCAACATTCACTTGCACTCTTTGCCTACTTCTCGTCAAGCCGATGTCGCTCCTTTTGTTCACTGGTTGCGTACTCACTTTGTCATTGTCATCCGGATGGTTTTAGCTACGTTTCCAAAGAGCAATACTTGTATTGATTACATCTTTTGGTCACTCTTCTCTTTGCTCCTCGTTTGACTAATAGTCAGTTACTATATATGCCCCAGTAGGGTGGACGGATCACTCTCTTTTGACTGTTGAAATGTTGCCTGCGACAGCTAGTATTGGTCCTGGTAGTTGGCGGTTTAATCCAACTCTGCTTGATGATAAGGAATTTGTTTGCGTTGTTGAATGCCACGGTGTCATTGTTCTTCTCTGGTGCTGTTGGTGGTGGGTCTAAGGGTGTCAATACTAGTCAAGGTGGTAGTGGTGACCCTGAAAGCACGGTGGCTAGATGGGAATCCTTCAAGTTGTTACTAAAGTGCTGTGCACAAAAGTACACTAGAAGCATGAAAGCACGATTCAAGAACAAAGTTTTTACGCTTCAACTGGAACGTATTAGGGCTCTGTCAACGTCTGTATCAGGTGTTGAGACTAGGAATGCTATTGATCAAACTGACAGAGTGTCTACTGCTACAGGTGATGCTGAGCAGCAGGTCAGGCAACTAGAAGTTTTGATTGAGAATCAGATACAGAAAGAGACTAGTCAGAATATGCTTCGCTCTGCCACTCGTTGGTTAGAACAGGGAGAACGTAGCAACAAGTATTTCTATCGTTCGATCAAGGTGCGAGAGTCTTCAACAGACAATTCAATCCTTAAAGTGCTCTACTACTGGAGATATCTTGGTGGAAGCAGCAGCTATCAACAGGGAGGCACAAGGTTTTTACCAAAGGCTATATACCCCTGATGCTGTCGATGCTGAAGCTATCGATACTCTCCTGGGGAATGTTCCAACTGATGTACGTCTATCATCTTTGGATGGTGATATGCTAATGGAACTTCCAACTCGCGAGGTTTTGTTGTCTCTGCTCACTCATGCTCCCAAGTCTAAAAGTCCTGGTCTTGACGGTTTGCCTTTTGAATTATATCAATATCTTGCTGGTGTTTCAACTGATTTTCTTGACTTGCTTGTGGATGTGTTGGGTGCAGCTTTTTCTGGTGTGTTTCCTCCTTCGTGGCAGCAAACTCGTATGGTCTTATTGTTCAAGAAGGGTGACCCTCAGTTGTTGGTTAACTGGAGACCTTTGTCCTTAATTAACAGTGATGCCAAGTTATTTACAAAGCTCATTGCTAATCGTATGAACAAAGTGTTGCCAAAGTTAATCAACCCTTATCAAACTGGTTTTCTCCCTCATCGTCTGATCTCTGACAATGGCTGGTTAAATCAGTTGTTGATGTCTCACTTGCGTGTTGTTGCTCCTGATTTACCTCAAGTGGCTGTTTTGTTGGATCAAGAGAAGGCGTATGATCGGTTCATCCCGAGTATCTTTGTCGTGTGTTGCTCCGGTTTGGTTTCCCTGGTGAGTTGGTGTCTTGTCTGTCTTCTTTGTTCTTTGGAACCAAGATTTCAGTGTCTATCAATGGTTGGCTTGGTGCTCCTGTACCTCAGTTGCGAGGTCTTCGTCAAGGTGATCCTCTCTCTCCATTGCTATTCAATCTGGCATTTGAGCCTTTGCTTCGTTCTCTTCTTGCTTGTCCTGGTCTCTCTGGTGTTACTCTGTCTCCTGTTGATATCCCACGTAAATGGAAGCCTTCACCGGTTGAAGTTCGTGTGGATCATGGTACTGGTGCCCGGAATTGGACTTTGGACTTTGTTAGTGGCTCTGTTGCTCCTCCTCCTGTCAAGATTCTGAGCTATGCGGATGATCTTGAGGTGTTTTTGTCTTCGCCAGAAGAGTGGTCTGTGTTGTTGTCTGTTCTTGATCTGTATGGCCGAGCATCTAATGCGAAAGTCAATATCAGCAAGACAGTGTTGGTGTCGTTGTCTGGTGTGTCTCACTCTGCTTGGGTTGCTTTGGCTGATTCTACTGGTCTCCAGTGGCATGACGCTCACTCTCGTGGTGCAGTACGTTACTTGGGTTATCCCTTGTATCATACTGAAAGTCAACTTCAAGACTATCTTGATGGTGTCTTGGTGAAGGTCCAGCGACACAGTAACTTGTTGAAACAAAGGAATCTCTCCATTAGGGGAGCAGGACTAGTGGCTAACTCGTTACTGTTGTCAAAGGTATATCATTTGTTGCGTGTTGTTCCTGGTGGTGGTGTAACTGCGTCGTGGTTGAAGTTGCTCACAAAGGTGGTTCGTGAGTATCTGGTGTCTTTTCGCCCCGGTGTTGCCTGGTCTACTTTGTGTCTTCCTCGCAAATTTGGTGGTGTTGGTCTCGTGGATATAGCAGATCAAAGCTTAGCTTTGCATCTTGTCTATTTGCAACGTTTGTTGCGTCCACCCTCTCCCAGTGATTTTGTCTCCTCTTGGTTGGTGTATGCTTTTCAAGTTTACACTGGTCATAAGTCCATCTTGCCGTGGTTTTGTTTTCCTGGTCTTTACCAGTCTCGTGTGTCTTCTGTGCCTGCTCTAACACATCTCGGAAAGCTTCTGTTGAGATTGCCAAAGTTAGTTCCTTCCTCTGGTTGGTCTGCTAGGTGGTTTCTTGATCTTCCCTTGTGTTCTGTACTCAGTACTGTGCCTTCTGTTCGTCCTCCTCGTGATCCATCATCTCTTGATCCTCGTTTCTTAGTGTCGGATGTCTCTTTCTGGCAACCTGATCTAGGTATAGTTGATGGTGTCACTTCCCATCTTGCTTGGTCATCTCGTGTTTTGCGCCCTGTTTTTCTTGCCTTGAACCGTGATCGTGGTCCTGTCTCTCTGGTATTCCCGCCTGTCATGGATAGTAAGATAGTCTTGTCTCAAGCAGACTATTTTACTATGCCCCGTTCTGATGGTGCTACCTCTTGGATGCCAGATTGTACTCATTGGACTGTCTCCAACTCGTCTCGTTCTGCTGCTCCGGTTGCTCGTCTCTCTCTTGGTGCTTTGCGAAGGTATTGGCACCCTGCAAAGGGTACCATTACCTCTCGTATGGGTCCTCCCTTGAAGTTGCCTGCCCATTTGTTGATATCTCCTGCTTTGTGGCGTCTTTTCTGGTCCCTGGAAATGCCTGCAAAGGCTTTCACACCTTGGTGGCGATTGCTACATGACCGTGTCCCGCACCGTTCGTGGTGCCATAGGATTATGCCTACAAAAGTTCTGTCTCCTGCTTGTGCTCTTTGTGGTTTTGCTACAGAGGACCTTTACCATTTCGTGGTGGGTTGCCATATCAAGTCATTTTTCTGGCAGGATGTAGTCTCTTTGTTGTCACTTCAAGAGCTACTCCCCTCTGCTTCTTCTATTTGGTTGGCGCTGACTACCTTTTGTAGTGGTTCAGATTTGTTGGTGATCGATGAGGATGTTCTGATTGCTCTTGGTGCTGCTTACAGTACACTTTGGAAGTATCATTGGCGATGCGTCATAGACGAGGAGCCTTGGATAGCTTCTGCTGCTATCAACATGGTCCGTCAAGACCATGGTACACTCTTTTCTTCTCTTTCTTTGGCAAGTGTTCAAGCTGGCACCTTGGCCTTGCCTATAATTACTGTATAGACTATAAATTTCAAAGCTAATAAAGATACACTTTAATACAAAAAAAAAAAAAAAAAAAAAGCTCTTTCGCTTATACATCACTTTTCAAAAAGTTTTTGTTTTTGCCAACTTTGAACGACGATATCTCAACAACTAGGATACATCCATCTTGCATCCAAGTATATTTAGATACATCCATTTCAGCTCTACAACATATCTTGATTTCAGATCGATTCAGCAATTTTTCGACGAATTCAACATTTTCACTATTTTTTTTTACAAAGGTCAACAAAAGTTACACTCCAGTTACAAGTTACACTCTATGTCAGTCAATTCTGAAATGACTTGGGCTGAACGTGCATCTCGTGGTTCTACTATGAGGTTCTATCAGCCATCCAAGAGGCGTTCGGTGGAGGCCGCCGCTTCTTCTTACCCTTTGGTGGGTTCTGTGATGTTTGAGGATGATGATTTGAAGAGTCAAATCTTAGCTAGTAAGGCAATGGCGATTGTGCAGCAGGCACTTACTTCTGGTTCAGTTCTCTTTTCTTTCCGTAAGGGTTTGTTTGGTGATCGTGTGGATGCGTACAAGGTAATTCAAACCCAGGTGTCTTCTCTGGTGGAATTTCGTCCTTTAAGTGTCTACGATGAAAAGAACGATGGTTCTTTGCTTATTGAAGCCAAGTTCGAGGAGGTGGATGATGCGAACAAGGCTATGACAACTGGTGTTAACGTGAATGGCATGGTGTACAAGGCTGTTCACGCCAAGGAATGCAAGGAGTTTGGTGATTTGAAGTTTGTCCAGTTTACTTTGATGCGCATCGTCAAAGAACCCACTTTTTTGCATGATTTGATCAAGTCTTTGTCGTTTTATGGTCGTGTCCTGCAGGTGAAGAAGTTCACTCGTGGTGGTTTCTTTGAGGGCAAGTTTTCGGTGATGGTGGATACCTCGGTGGGATATCAGGTAGAGGGTGGTGAGTGGCAGGAGGCTCAACCTCTAGATAGAATGCTCTATCTCAGCGAGTTTGATTTCTTTGTCGCAGCGACATATAAGGGTGCTCCTCCTGTTTGTCATTTCTGTCGTCATAGTGGTCATGTCCGCGCTAAATGTCCTGAGTTGCTCCAGCGTAGATGTTATGGATGTGGAAAGCATGGTCACATGTTGCGTTTTTGTCCTAATAAGGAGGATCAATCTGGTGCCAAGAAGCAAAAGGTGGATCATCAACTGAAGGATTCGGAGGAGGTCACTGAGGCACGTCGACAGACGGTGCATTTGATGGATTTCGTTGCTAAGGCAAAGCTAGGAGCAGGTAGGGAAGTGGAAGAGAAAGTCGAAGAAGAAGAACTCGAGTCTGTAGTAGACGAAGAGGAAGAATCTCTTCAGGGTGTTGTTGATGGTGTTGACGCGTCTGAAAATGACAAGTCCACTAAAAGTGATAATTTGGAGGTGCAAATGGAGGATCTTCAAGGTGAAGATCATCAGGATAAGTTACACGGAGATGATGCTATGGAAGAAGATGATGAGATCGTGCTTGCTGGTAGTGGTGTCAAGAAGCTTCCTGATGTGCGTGGCTCTGCATTCTCGAAATACGCTTCTAATGAGGTGGCTCTTACTATGAATGTTGACTCTCCAGAGGAGATGATGGGTTTGTCTAAGCTCAAGGAGGCCTCTCAGAGGAAGCGAATGGAATTGAATGCCAATTTGAAGGCTGTGAATGGTGCTGGTGTTGCTTCTGGTACTGGTGTTGGTGTTCTTGGTAACAAGTCTGCTGGTGCTGTTGGTGTCAAGAATAGCAAGAACAATGGCAAATTGCCTCTCAAGACTAAGCAAGACGCCCGTAGGGCTCAATGAGTACAAAATTAGGCATCAAGATTGGCTCCTTGAACACGCGTAGCTTGTTCATGCAGTCTAATCCTACAAATTTCAAAGAGTTTTCATCTTATCTTCGCTCCTCCTCTCTCCATCTGGATATCCTTTGCTTGCAAGAGGTATCTCATTTCCGCTCTCAATCTACTCTCACTGAATCTCAAGTCCGTTCCTTTTCTTTTGCTTTTCCTAATTGTTCTCTCGTTGTGTCCAAGCACTGTGCTATTATATGTCTCAATTCTCGCTATTCTTTGGTGGATACGGAGGTATTGTTGGATGAACGTTGTCTTGTTGCATCTGTCGTAGATGCCTCAAGCAATGTTTTGTGCAAAGTGGCCAACATCTATGGTCCAGCGCAGTCTTTTGACCGTCCTTCATTTATCTCTGATTTTCTCTCTCTTTCTCTTTGGTCTGATGTGTTCAACACACCTTGGATGGTTATGGGTGATTTCAACATTCACTTGCACTCTTTGCCTACTTCTCGTCAAGCCGATGTCGCTCCTTTTGTTCACTGGTTGCGTACTCACTTTGTCAATTGTCATCCGGATGGTTTAGCTACGTTTCCAAAGAGCAATACTTGTATTGATTACATCTTTGGTCACTCTTCTCTTGCTCCTCGTTTGACTAATAGTCAGTTACTATATATGCCCAGTAGGTGGACGGATCACTCTCTTTTGACTGTTGAAATGTTGCCTGCGACAGCTAGTATTGGTCCTGGTAGTTGGCGGTTTAATCCAACTCTGCTTGATGATAAGGAATTTGTTGCGTTGTTGAATGCCACGGTGTCATTGTTCTTCTCTGGTGCTGTTGGTGGTGGGTCTAAGGGTGTCAATACTAGTCAAGGTGGTAGTGGTGACCCTGAAAGCACGGTGGCTAGATGGGAATCCTTCAAGTTGTTACTAAAGTGCTGTGCACAAAAGTACACTAGAAGCATGAAAGCACGATTCAAGAACAAAGTTTTTACGCTTCAACTGGAACGTATTAGGGCTCTGTCAACGTCTGTATCAGGTGTTGAGACTAGGAATGCTATTGATCAAACTGACAGAGTGTCTACTGCTACAGGTGATGCTGAGCAGCAGGTCAGGCAACTAGAAGTTTTGATTGAGAATCAGATACAGAAAGAGACTAGTCAGAATATGCTTCGCTCTGCCACTCGTTGGTTAGAACAGGGAGAACGTAGCAACAAGTATTTCTATCGTTCGATCAAGGTGCGAGAGTCTCAACAGACAATTCAATCCTTAAAGTGCTCTACTACTGGAGATATCTTGGTGGAAGCAGCAGCTATCAACAGGGAGGCACAAGGTTTTTACCAAAGGCTATATACCCCTGATGCTGTCGATGCTGAAGCTATCGATACTCTCCTGGGGAATGTTCCAACTGATGTACGTCTATCATCTTTGGATGGTGATATGCTAATGGAACTTCCAACTCGCGAGGTTTTGTTGTCTCTGCTCACTCATGCTCCCAAGTCTAAAAGTCCTGGTCTTGACGGTTTGCCTTTTGAATTATATCAATATCTTGCTGGTGTTTCAACTGATTTTCTTGACTTGCTTGTGGATGTGTTGGGTGCAGCTTTTTCTGGTGTGTTTCCTCCTTCGTGGCAGCAAACTCGTATGGTCTTATTGTTCAAGAAGGGTGACCCTCAGTTGTTGGTTAACTGGAGACCTTTGTCCTTAATTAACAGTGATGCCAAGTTATTTACAAAGCTCATTGCTAATCGTATGAACAAAGTGTTGCCAAAGTTAATCAACCCTTATCAAACTGGTTTTCTCCCTCATCGTCTGATCTCTGACAATGGCTGGTTAAATCAGTTGTTGATGTCTCACTTGCGTGTTGTTGCTCCTGATTTACCTCAAGTGGCTGTTTTGTTGGATCAAGAGAAGGCGTATGATCGGGTTCATCCCGAGTATCTTTGTCGTGTGTTGCTCCGGTTTGGTTTCCCTGGTGAGTTGGTGTCTTGTCTGTCTTCTTTGTTCTTTGGAACCAAGATTTCAGTGTCTATCAATGGTTGGCTTGGTGCTCCTGTACCTCAGTTGCGAGGTCTTCGTCAAGGTGATCCTCTCTCTCCATTGCTATTCAATCTGGCATTTGAGCCTTTGCTTCGTTCTCTTCTTGCTTGTCCTGGTCTCTCTGGTGTTACTCTGTCTCCTGTTGATATCCCACGTAAATGGAAGCCTTCACCGGTTGAAGTTCGTGTGGATCATGGTACTGGTGCCCGGAATTGGACTTTGGACTTTGTTAGTGGCTCTGTTGCTCCTCCTCCTGTCAAGATTCTGAGCTATGCGGATGATCTTGAGGTGTTTTTGTCTTCGCCAGAAGAGTGGTCTGTGTTGTTGTCTGTTCTTGATCTGTATGGCCGAGCATCTAATGCGAAAGTCAATATCAGCAAGACAGTGTTGGTGTCGTTGTCTGGTGTGTCTCACTCTGCTTGGGTTGCTTTGGCTGATTCTACTGGTCTCCAGTGGCATGACGCTCACTCTCGTGGTGCAGTACGTTACTTGGGTTATCCCTTGTATCATACTGAAAGTCAACTTCAAGACTATCTTGATGGTGTCTTGGTGAAGGTCCAGCGACACAGTAACTTGTTGAAACAAAGGAATCTCTCCATTAGGGGAGCAGGACTAGTGGCTAACTCGTTACTGTTGTCAAAGGTATATCATTTGTTGCGTGTTGTTCCTGGTGGTGGTGTAACTGCGTCGTGGTTGAAGTTGCTCACAAAGGTGGTTCGTGAGTATCTGGTGTCTTTTCGCCCCGGTGTTGCCTGGTCTACTTTGTGTCTTCCTCGCAAATTTGGTGGTGTTGGTCTCGTGGATATAGCAGATCAAAGCTTAGCTTTGCATCTTGTCTATTTGCAACGTTTGTTGCGTCCACCCTCTCCCAGTGATTTTGTCTCCTCTTGGTTGGTGTATGCTTTTCAAGTTTACACTGGTCATAAGTCCATCTTGCCGTGGTTTTGTTTTCCTGGTCTTTACCAGTCTCGTGTGTCTTCTGTGCCTGCTCTAACACATCTCGGAAAGCTTCTGTTGAGATTGCCAAAGTTAGTTCCTTCCTCTGGTTGGTCTGCTAGGTGGTTTCTTGATCTTCCCTTGTGTTCTGTACTCAGTACTGTGCCTTCTGTTCGTCCTCCTCGTGATCCATCATCTCTTGATCCTCGTTTCTTAGTGTCGGATGTCTCTTTCTGGCAACCTGATCTAGGTATAGTTGATGGTGTCACTTCCCATCTTGCTTGGTCATCTCGTGTTTTGCGCCCTGTTTTTCTTGCCTTGAACCGTGATCGTGGTCCTGTCTCTCTGGTATTCCCGCCTGTCATGGATAGTAAGATAGTCTTGTCTCAAGCAGACTATTTTACTATGCCCCGTTCTGATGGTGCTACCTCTTGGATGCCAGATTGTACTCATTGGACTGTCTCCAACTCGTCTCGTTCTGCTGCTCCGGTTGCTCGTCTCTCTCTTGGTGCTTTGCGAAGGTATTGGCACCCTGCAAAGGGTACCATTACCTCTCGTATGGGTCCTCCCTTGAAGTTGCCTGCCCATTTGTTGATATCTCCTGCTTTGTGGCGTCTTTTCTGGTCCCTGGAAATGCCTGCAAAGGCTTTCACACCTTGGTGGCGATTGCTACATGACCGTGTCCCGCACCGTTCGTGGTGCCATAGGATTATGCCTACAAAAGTTCTGTCTCCTGCTTGTGCTCTTTGTGGTTTTGCTACAGAGGACCTTTACCATTTCGTGGTGGGTTGCCATATCAAGTCATTTTTCTGGCAGGATGTAGTCTCTTTGTTGTCACTTCAAGAGCTACTCCCCTCTGCTTCTTCTATTTGGTTGGCGCTGACTACCTTTTGTAGTGGTTCAGATTTGTTGGTGATCGATGAGGATGTTCTGATTGCTCTTGGTGCTGCTTACAGTACACTTTGGAAGTATCATTGGCGATGCGTCATAGACGAGGAGCCTTGGATAGCTTCTGCTGCTATCAACATGGTCCGTCAAGACCATGGTACACTCTTTTCTTCTCTTTCTTTGGCAAGTGTTCAAGCTGGCACCTTGGCCTTGCCTATAATTACTGTATAGACTATAAATTTCAAAGCTAATAAAGATACACTTTAATACAAAAAAAAAAAGTTTGTTTTTGCCAGGGCGGCCTTATAAAGTTTTGTCTCCTGCTTCGTGGCGTCTTTTCTGGTCCCTGGAAATGCCTGCAAAGGCTTTCACACCTTGGTGGCGATTGCTACATGACCGTGTCCCGCACCGCTCGTGGTGTCATAAGATTATGCCTACAAAAGTTCTGTCTCCTGCTTGTGCTCTTTGTGGTTTTGCTACAGAGGACCTTTACCATTTCGTGGTGGGCTGCCATATCAAGTCATTTTTCTGGCAGGATATAGTCTCTTTGTTGTCACTTCAAGAGCTACTCCCCTCTGCTTCTTCTATTTGGTTGGCGCTGACTACCTTTTGTAGTGGTTCAGATTTGTTGGTGATCGATGAGGATGTTCTGATTGCTCTGGGTGCTGCCTACAGTACACTTTGGAAGTATCATTGGCGATGCGTCATAGACGAGGAGCCTTGGATAGCTTCTGCTGCTATCAACATGGTCCGTCAAGACCATGGTACACTCTTTTCTTCTCTTTCTTTGGCAAGTGTTCAAGCTGGCACCTTGGTCTTGCCTGTGAATTCTGTATAGATTATAAATTTAAAGCTAATAAAGATACACTTTAATACAAAAAAAAAGGTCTTGTAGAATTTTATACATCTTCAAAAAGTTTTTGTTTTTGCCAAATTTGAACGACGATATCTCAACAACTAGGATACATCCATCTTGCATCTAAGTATATTTAGATATACCCATTTCAGCTCTATAACATATCTTGATTTCAGATCGATTCAGCAATTTTTCGTCGAATTCATCTTTTTCACTACTTTTTCAACAACGCGACTTAGTTACACTCTAGATTACAAGTGACACTCTACGTCTGTTACACTCCATGTCTTCCCAATCTGAATTGACTTGGGCTCAAAGAGCTTCACGTCAAAAGGTGGGTCGATTTCTCCAACCCAACAAGCGACGATTGGACAATCCAACTGATGTACCACTGGTGGGTACTGTTCTCTATGAAGATAACGACCTAAAGGGTCAAATTTTGGCAAGCAAGGCTATGGCGATTATTCAGCAATCCCTTTCTTCTGGTTCTGTTCTGTTCACGTTTCAGAAAACTTTGTTTCCTGATCGTGTTGCCGCTTACAAAGTGATTCAGGATCAAATCTCACCTGACGTGGAATTTCGACCTCTTAGTTTGTATGATTCTCGTGCTGATGGTTCTCTGCTGATTGAAGCCAGGTTTGCTCAGGTGGAGCATGCACAACTGGCTATGCGTGAAGGGGTGACTGTACAAGGTGTAGTGTACAAAGCGTCTACCTCCAAGGAAAGTGCTGAATTTGGGGATGTCAAGCATGTGCGGTTTACACTTATGCGTATGGTGGACAAGACCACTTTTTTGTCGGATCTTATGGAGTCCTTGTCGTACTTTGGTAAGGTACTGCAAGTGAAGAAGTTTACTCACCGTGGTTACTTTGAGGGTAAACTTTCGGTGATTTTGGATACTTCTGTTGGATTTCAGGTAGGGGATGAGTGGCAGGAGGCCAAGCCCCTAGATAGAATGCTCTATCTGAGCGAATTTGACTGTTTTGTGCCAGCGACTTATCAAGGTGCTCCACCTGTTTGTCATTTCTGTCAACACAGCGGTCATGTTCGCGCCAAATGTCCTGAATTGGCTAGACGTCGTTGCTTTAGGTGCAATAAGCAAGGGCACATGTTACGTTTTTGTCCTGAAAAGGAGGTTCAGTCTGCAAATTTCACCAAGAAGCACAAAGTTCACCATCATTCTGAGGATTCTGAGGATGTCACTCTGGCTCGTAAGAACACTGTGGAATTGATGGAGTATATTGAGAAGGAAAAATTAGGCGTAGGTAAGGAGGTGGAGAAGGTAGAAGAAGAAGAACTCGACTATCGTGTAGTCGAGGATGAATCTCTTCAGGGTGAAAGTGTTGACGAATCTGAAAATGATGAGTCCACTGGTAACGAGGATTTGGATCTTCTGAGTGAAGATAACCACCAGGTAAGTATGAATGAGGATGAGGACATGGAGGACGACAAGATTGTGTTTGCTGGAGCTCCCAAGAAGCTGGATACCGTGTGTGGAATACATCCACTATGATCTGCATTCCGACAGTTCATCCAGTTACCAGATTTAGATATAAACTGTATGTACACAGGATTAGATGTACGATATCGATTTATACTATAAGAAGATATGGACTTCAGATACGCTAGTACTATTATAAAATTCATACTATATAAGATATAGGCTATAGATAACACCACAAAGATGGATGGCGCTATAGACTTATACTTGTATTCCGACATTGACTACGAATGTTTATCATATCTGGATAGGCACCAAGATTAATGCGATATCAGCTTGTTGCTTCAGATGTGCACTTCATGATCCACGCTATAAGACACATGCTTATATCCGTGATACTAGCTACAGATACTTTATGTACTACAGACTTGTACTATATATGAGACATGCTATAGACATGCATACGATATGCTATAGACATGCCATATATCCAGATACATGCTAAAGATGTATGCTTAGCGATATACACTCAGATATGTACTATTAATATAAACTAAGAAGACTGTACCTATCGGATACATGCTACTAGATCGATATTAATTATCCTTATGGAAAGGATAGATCAGGGTACTTCGGATGAGAGTCTAATTATTCATCCAGACAGAGCTAAATCATGATTAGCTTGCTGGAGTTGTCTTTTAGCATGATTAGACATTAGTTGATCTGAGTTGACTTATTTGTTAATCTAATTAATAGAACTTTTATCCATTGTTATAGTATATAAGAAGAATCATCTACCTGGCCAGTAGAGAGACTTCAGTTTACTTTACACCTGTTAGTTTGATAATAAAACATACCTTTATCAAGTTGACATTACTGTTTTTTTATTCTTTTTTTTCCGTGAATTTTAGTCTGTAAAGCCTCAAGTTCCACACCGTGCGTGGTTCTGCCTACTCCAAGTATGCATCCACTGAGGTGGCTGTGAATATGAACATTGACTCGCCTGAGGAGATGTTGAATTTGACCAAGTTGAAGGATCTTGCTCAGCGCAAAAGAACGGAGGTCAATGCGAACCTGAAAGGTGCTATTGGTGCTGGTATAAACAGTGGTAGCAAGTTGAGTAACTCTGGTGTTGCTTCTGGTACTGGTGCTAAGGGTAACAAGTCTGGTGTTGCTTCTGGTGTTGTTTCCGGTGGTGTTTCTGGTGGTGTTTCTGGTGTTGTCAAGAATAGCAAGACTAATGGCCGTGCGCTTCTCAAGACTAAGCAAGACGCCCGTAGGGCTCAATGAGTACAAAATTAGGCATCAAGATTGGCTCCTTGAACACGCGTAGCTTGTTCATGCAGTCTAATCCTACAAATTTCAAAGAGTTTTCATCTTATCTTCGCTCCTCCTCTCTCCATCTGGATATCCTTTGCTTGCAAGAGGTATCTCATTTCCGCTCTCAATCTACTCTCACTGAATCCCAAGTCCGTTCCTTTTCTTTTGCTTTTCGTAATTGTTCTCTCGTTGTGTCCAAGCACTGTGCTATTATATGTCTCAATTCTCGCTATTCTTTGGTGGATACGGAGGTATTGTTGGACGAACGTTGTCTTGTTGCATCTGTCGTAGATGCCTCAAGCAATGTTTTGTGCAAAGTGGCCAACATCTATGGTCCAGCGCAGTCTTCTGACCGTCCTTCATTTCTCTCTGATTTTCTCTCTCTTTCTATTTAGTCTGATGTGTTCAACACACCTTGGATGGTTATGGGTGATTTCAACATTTACTTACCGTGACCCACAAAACTGTCCCAATGTTTAGCAGTTTTTACTTTCAGACCTTACCACCGGACGGGAAGTTATCCAATAATAATGAGTCTAGTATTTTCTAAAAGCTAAAACTGTTTTCTTTATATCGTTTAATTTTTACAAGCACATAGCTGTAGAATCACAAGCTGTGATTAGCCAAAATTATAAGGTACATTGGGACAGTATTGTGAGATATTTGGAAAAATCAAGTTTTATTATTTTATAAGACTTTAATACTTTGCCCATTTCCCTTTTGCTTTGATAACGGCCGCAATACGTCGAGGCATACTTTCTATAACCTTTTTGCACTCCTCCGGCTTCATTTGGTCATACCAAATCTCAGTTACTCGCTCATATAATTCATTCATACCCTTGGTTGCGGTTTCCTACTCATTGAGACGCCTTTTCAACAAAACCCACATGTTTTCGATAGGATTCAAGTCTGGAGATTGTGGGGGCCACTCCATGACCTGGTATGACTGTTCCTGAAGGTAATCCTTGACTGAATTTGAGGTGTGTTTGGGATCATTGTCTTGCTGAAATATCACTTGTTCACGGCTGAAGCCCAATTTCTCAACGGAAAAGGCAATAGTCTGTTCCAATTCGTCTTGAAGGATTTTCTTGTAGAGTGCTTTATCCATATTACCATTTATCATGCACTTCCAGCCAACACCAGCATACGTAATGGCACTCCAAAGTGTGATACTACCACCACCGTGTTTTACCGTGAGCTTGACATGGTGGTTTTGAAGCTGTTCATCAGATCGGATCCAGGCCCACTGTCGCCCATCTGAGTAGAAACGGTTAATTTTGGTCTCGTCTGTCCAAATAACACGTTTCCAGTCGTCAACAGTCCAGTCCTTGTGCTGTTTACACCACGCAAGTCTCTTCTTGACATTAGCGTCACTAAGCAAAGGCTTCTTTTCCTTCTCGAAAGCCCCTAAGCCCGCAGTGCGGAGTGCTCTACGAACGGTTTCCGGATGAACCTTCATCTGGAAATCTTTCTCCAAGATTTTTGTGACCTTGACGACGCTTGAAACCCGCTCCTTGGTTACCTTTTGAACACAGTAGCGCTTGTCGGCTTCAGACAACACTGTAGGACCACCACCTTTCGAGGTTTTCACACCCGGACAATGCTCCATTCTGACTCGCCCAATAGTAGACTTACCCAAAGACAGTTTTTCAGCAATTTCCCGAGTCGAAACACCGCTTCGAAGCATTGTGATTGCAGAATTAACCTTGGAGACAGCAATGGCTTTCATGGCTTGACAATCGACCTACTTGATATTTAAAACTCCGATTTGGATAATGGAGACTACTTGCGCTATATGAGGCCTTCTTATACGACGCTCTCGAGGTTTTTCCAAATTGTGGGTTTCAGTTATCACCGAATTCGTGATCTTTCAAAAGATCTCACAATACTGTCCCAATGTTCCTAATGACTTTGCCCAACCACAGCTTGTGATTCTACAGCTGTATGCTTGTACAAATTAGAGGATATAAAGAAAGCAGTTTTAGCTCTTAGAAAATACTAGACTCATTATTATTGGATAATTTCTCGTCCGGTGGTAAGGTCTGAAAGTAAAAATTGCTAAACATTGGGACAGTTTTGTGGGTCACGGTAGCTCAGTTTAATAACGGTTTTTTTTATTTACAAATGTAGTCAACTGCGGAATCGGTATGACCATAAAATTGCAAGACTAACAGTGATTCGGCGGGAAAAAGAATGTTCTTAAATTAAAGGTTAGGGGGGCTGCTAAAAGGGAGGGGACCAATAAAGAAAACGGCATCAAAACCCACCAGAGAGGAGGAGAAAACAGAGGGAGGAATAGCAATGGCCGCGCCGCAAGACGGGGGAGACGAACAGGACTCAAGATAGAAACCGGCCAGACGCACCGCAGCACACCTAAACGTGCAAGCGCAAATACCGAGTAACATGCCAGGTTAGAAAGGTGGAAAATATGGATGCGAAGGTGGGATTCGAACCCACGACCTCTCGGCATACTCACTGCTTCCGCATGAAGCTCTAACCAAGTGAGCCATTCAAACATCCATGCGGGTATAGCTCAGTTTAAAGATTGTTTTTATTTATAAGAAGTTTAATGGGCACTCGATGTGAGCATAGCCTAACTTCAAGAACAAATATAGAGCAAGTAACTAAAAAAACCCCTCCAGAGCACTTTCAAAGGAGAAAAAAATGCAGTGACAAGAGTACAGGACATGGAGACTAGTGGTGCTCACATTGAGGATTTCGAGGGACAACCAACGGATGGGAACTTTGATAATGACTTACCACCGAGGAGCCGTACGTAGAAAACAACAATGGAACATGTTCATCCCTGTCAGATCAACCAGTACTGGAGTACCAAAGAGACGCTGGATCTGGATCCGGAGCAATGACAGCCAGAGGATGCACAAGGCAATCGATAGCATACAGGAGGTTCAGTAGAGCAGGCCAGAAATCAGGAGGACCGGCAGAGGCATTAGTGGGCAAGCAATTAAGAGCATGGTCAATACGGTGCATACCAGGTGGAGCAGGCGGCAAGGCATCGATCAAGGCAGGATCAAGAGCACGACAGTACATAAAGTGATCACGAGAGATGTAGACACCTGCAGGTGACATACAGGGACACTCCTCACGCATGTTAGTAAAGCGGCCAAGACGCCAGCGGACCAAACGACTACGGGCAATACGACCAAGAGGCAGATAGAGTATGGGATCAGGCCTTGTGGTATCAGGACGACAAGCACGAAGCAAAGTATGACGACCAGTGACAGTAGCAGCAGAGAGTTGGAGATCAACCTGATCTTGCCAATAAGCAGCAAAGGTAGTACGCAAGCCAGCAGAAGAAGGAACAGGGTCAGTCAGCGACTGATACAGAGGGTTTTCACATATAAAACGATCCAACCTTGTATAGTGCAAATGGGCACGAAGCAGAACCAGCAGACAATCGTCAGGCAGAGTATCAGCACGCAGAGCAAAACGGGTAGCCAGGACATTGTAGCGATGTTTGATACTGGGAAGACAGGTAATGTGCTTGGCGACATTGACCCAAGTACTACCCACGAACATGCCAACAAGTCGGTTTTGCAGAGTATCCAGAGCAGTGAAATCACGAGCAGAGAGATGCGAGATGGCCAGACCGTATTCAAGCTTAGGACGAATAAATGTCCTGTACAAGCGAGGGGAGAGCAGCAAAGAGAAACCATTGCGGTTGACACCAACAGAGTTTAACAGAGCCATGGTCTTGACAGCACCAGCAGAACGCAGAGACAGAATACCAGGAGCATGCAGGCCTTTGTATCGGAATGGCATACCAAGGTATGTAAATTCGTCAACGACAGGCAGGGCTTCATTGTATAGTACAAGAGGAGAACCAGCAAGAGCAGCAGCAGTACCAAGCACAGCGCATTTGGAAGGCTTCCACCTATATCCAAGAGAGACAGAATGACCAGCAGCAAGATCCAACATACGCTGAACCTCAGACTTTGAACCAAAGACAGCCACATCATCAGCGAACAGGAGACTATTGATAGCAATAGGAGCATCAGCACCAGGCACAGGCAGCATAGTAGCACCAGTAGCACCAGAACGCAAAAGACTTGGTAAAGAGTTGATATACAACGAGTACAAGTGAGGACTGAGCACTGAGCCTTGCAGAACACCAGTGACAGGAGAGAAGGCAGTCGAGTTGTGATTAGCAATCAAGACAGAGACAGACACATCATCAAACATGTTGATCAACAGACCCAGAACAGCACGAGGAAGACTAGAACCAGCCAAAGCAGACCAGATAACACGACGATCGACTGTGTCATATGCTGACTTGATATCCAAGAAAGCGACAACAGGACGACGACGGTGCGCAACAAAGTAATCATGCATCAAGTCATGCAAGCAGAGGGCTTGATCCAGAGGACTACGTTGAGGGCGGAAACCACCTTGGGCAATGTCAAGGGCAGGAGAATGGGCATCCAGCTCAGGCATGAGAGAGAACTCAAACAGTTTGCGCACAACAGAAGTCAGGGAAATAGGCCTATAGTTGGCGGGATCAGAAGCATCATCTTTCTTGAAGATGGGGAAGACTTGGGCATGACGCCAGAGAGCAGGAGTATACGACCATTGGTAACACAGAGTGAACAACAGAGACAACACCGGAGCAATCTCAGAGACCAAGGACTTGAGCATCTCAGCTTTAATATGATCTGGACCAGGAGCTTTATGTGTTGGGAGCCGCTGAATGTGAGATACAAGAGTATCAACATCGAACAGTGACAAATCCACAGGCACACAAAAAGGCAGAACAGAGTCAAAAGTGGGAGGAGCAGCAGGACGAGTAGCAGTGGCAAGCAGAGAGCCATCATACACTGAAGCGAGATGAGAACCCATAGCAGAAACAGAAGCAGCAGGACCGTCGGGATGACTGTAGGTAGCAGAAGACTCTTTGTTACGCTTGATGCGCTTGATAGCAGCAGTAGCTTTTGAGAAATCCTTTTCTAGAATACCACAGAACTGTTTCCAGGACCTTCGCTTTGCAGCTTGCACCAGGGAGCGAAACTTGCGATGCGCAATTTTGTATAAGGACCATTTTTCAACTTTGACAATACCAAAGGCATGCCTCCATTGACTATAAGAGTGATCACGTGCAGTAGCAGCATCCTGAATTTCTTGCGTCCAGTACTTCTTCCAATGGCCAGGACGACCAGATTTCACACCAATAGAACTATCCAGAGATTCATACAAACATTGATTCAGAGAATCGTTGAGTGCATCAATATCTGGACGAACACCAGGAGGAGCAGACACCAAACCAGAAAGAGAATCAACCAGAGGTGCAACAGAAGATCGAAAGGATTCGCGGAGTAAGCCCAAGGGCTTCTCTTTCGTCAATTTCGAGAGCTTCCATTGACGCCGAGGAGCCAGAACAGAATCACCAGGAGCCACAGTGTCATCAAGAGGTGGCACATACCCGAAAGTAAGTGACATCAATCGATGGTCAGAACCAAGAGACAGATCAGACTCAACCACCAGTTGAGGATTCACCAAAGCAACATCACCAATATTTGTCAAAAACAAATCAATGATACTACTCAATTCTTGCTGCTGCCGAAAAGAAGAGTACGTCGTAACACCAAAAGCCAAAGACGCATTGAGCACAGACAAGCAACGTTCATCAAACCAAGGTTTGAGAGCATTACCACGAGCATTAGAGATAGCATCACCAGTGAGAGAACCCAACCGAGCATTGAAATCGCCACATAGAATAGTATCCCTAGTCATAGGTAATGAACTAAGGGCCGAGAGCACCTTATCAGATGATAAGGGTGGAGGTAAGTATACACAATGGACCGTAAGGGAGCCAACCTTAAGGGACAAAGTATGCGGATTATAGGATGGGAGTTGATAGACAGAGTAAGGACAGGAAGGAGAGACAAAAGCAGTAATACCACCAGAACCACGGTTGAAGGCACCAGGTACTTTCGAACCGTAAAGATGGTATTGGGACCAATCTGTAGGAAAAGAGCCAGAAGTTAGCCAGGTTTCAGTAACCAGCAAGACATGAGTATCCAGGACATGAGAGAGAACATCGTGAATCACTGATTGACGAAGACCATTGGCATTCCAAAGAGAGAGAGAGACAAATAAGGAGTGGACAGGGTTATCATTTTGGGTATACAGTATCAAGGACTCAGTGGTGGAACACATTATTGTTCCATAGCAGAATCTTCATTGGCAGAGTCAGCATTAATCTTGCGACGGAACAAGAAGTTAGCCCTCTTGGGTTCCTTCTTTGCAAAGCGTTGAATGGCATCACCAACAGAAACAGAAAGGTCTTCGTCACAAATCCAGCCTTGCTCAACAAAGTACTTACCAACACCACTGACATTCAGAGGACGTAGGAAAGCTAAGGTTTGCAGACACCGAGCAGCAGTAAATTCCATGATCAAAGCAGTACGTTGATCCAGAGTCAAAGAGTCATACTTAGGATCAGCTATGTTAGCAGGGTCCAAAGGGTCAAAGTCGAAGAAGAATTCAGCCTCACAAGCCTCCAAAAGTGCAGTAAAATCCTGAACATATTGCACATGCACCAGGATGCCAATAACATCGGATGCTGGGAAACAGATGTCAAGCACACGACCCAAATCAACGCCGGCTTTGCGCAAGAGAGAGCGAACTTCAGAGCGTGCAATCTTCTTAGATCTACCAATATAAACATATTGGTAACCTTGAGGACCTTTACGAGCAGCAGTTGTAAAGGCGCGACCAATAGCAAGACGCTTCTTAGCTTGCTTAGCTTCAGTAGCAGGATCAGGAAGAGTAGCAGCAGCCTTTGCGACATTTGCATAGCTAGGTGATTTAGTAGCCTTAGTATTCATAGAGCCAGTAGTAGTTTTGAGGGTTGACCCCTCTACCGCCGTGGGCCGACTCGAACCAGAGGGGACCACGTGACCGGAGACTGCACCCTGCAATTTTTGAATTGCAAGGTCCTTGTCCTGTAAAAGTTTTTTCAACTCTGAATTCTCTTTTTCCAGAGTATCTAAACGAGCAAGAAGACCATCATGTTCGTTGACGCGAGCAGTAACCGAGGTAAGTTGTTCTTGGAGCTGATTAAGAATCATTTGAAGCTGATTCATATCCATACCCTGTAGATTGGTAGCCATGACGGAGAATATTTTTTTATAAATTTGAAAATTTTTAAAAAAATATCAAGGAGGTGTTCGACAAATTTGAAACTATAACACAATAAACTGTTACCAAAGGCAAGCAAAGTTGTGTAATTTCGAGTTGTTGGAGTTGGTAGTTATCGAGGAAATACGTTTTTTCTTGTCTGGAACAACTTTTTTCCGAAAACGGTGGCAAAAAGTGTTGAAAAACGGAAAGAGATGCGGGTATAGCTCAGCTGGGAGAGCGTTAGACTGAAGATCTAAAGGTCAGGTGTTCGATCCACTTTAGCCGCATTTATTTTGCAAAAGAGTATTTTTGTAGTGCGCCTAGACTAATTGTTTTTATGATTCTGCCAGGTATGCACAGACTTCGCGTGTACTCTTTTTAGTTAGTACAAATATCAAATCAATTTGCAAAAGAATAAAGATCAATTTTTATCTGATTTATACTTATTTAAATCCACTGTCTTTACACACGAAAGTATTATTTTGAATTAGTTATGAGTTTGACATTTAGCTCTCTATTTGACTTGTGTGACATGTAATGGGAATACAATGGTCCTGTAGTGAGAAGACAAATGTACTAGCAAAGGGCAAATTTGTATTACTATTTGTAAGTCCTTAACCCTGAGCAATACTTTCTATATAATTGTTGCATACAAGCATGCATCTTGGGGTACATTCACTTTCTCCTCAAGCCACCACTTTTACAGTGTAGCAACATAGATGATGTTTATCGTGTCGCATCACATCTGTGTTTACCAGTCCAGTCAACTCTGTGTGCACGGGTACCTCAGGAACTAGAATAGATTAAGTATCCCTAATGACAAGATGTCGAGGTCCACCTACACTACACGAAACATATCGACTTAGGTGGCCCCTCAACAAGCTATCTATACCAACAACTCATAAGGCCCCAGTGGCCTGCTATTTATATACCATCTCAACGTAGTAGTCATTGACCAGGAATCTATCATATTTAAGCTAGTTAGGTGTCCTGGAATAAAGAGGTGTAATGATCCACATTACATATGTTTCTGTTAAGCACAAAGAATAAAAGGATTATTATTTGTAGCTTATAAAAAATGTTCGACATTTTAAAAACAAGAAAAGACTTATTTGAATAAGGTAATACACAAAAACTAAAGATTTATTGATGAAGACAAGAGTTATTCTATTTATACTAAGTTCTGAATGCCAAAGTAGCAATTTATCTTGTACAACGCTTATCACATCTGGTGAACCTCAGTGTTTAGATAGCTGAGATGCACTTCAATTATCATAGCTTGTCCATGTTGTTGCACAACACAGACATATCTACCCATCAAGAATACCTTAATCTTTATAGACAGTTGTAGCCCTTCTGGCACAGCAGTTTCAATCATGCAAATTGAAACATTAACATAGTATGTGGAATCTGAGGCTTTATAGACTAAAATTCACGAAAAAAAAGAATAAAAAAAAAACAGTAATGTCAACTTGATAAAGGTATGTTTTATTATCAAACTGACAGGTGTAAAGTAAACTGAAGTCTCTGTACTGGCCAGATAGATGATCCTTCTTATCACCAAACTCCTAAAATAATACATTTTATTCTGCCGTCACACAGTGAAAAGTTAATTACAAGAGTGCCCGTAGGGAAATCAGCCATTACTGTCAGCTTGGTAGAAGCCTAACAAAATTCTTGGAAAATAAAGCATTTACATAATCCTTTTCTCTTCATATACCCAAGTTTTACCTAACAATCCAAATGCCTCGAAGCTTGAGAAGTCGTTTAAACCGCTCTGATTCTTCGAATACTCCAGCTGAGCCATATACTGTAAATTTTGTCTTTCACAATTTCCCTGAAACTGCAAATCCTGTTGTTCCTGAGCCTATTGAAGGTAAGATTCCAGTAACAACTTTTCCAACGTACATGAGCCCACTTTTGAAATTAGGAGCTACCGTCAACGAGAATATAGAAAGGTGTAAGTGGTATGGCCGCGCTGGACACCAAAGGCGTTCGCATAAGGATTGTGGAATGAGGATACTTCGAAATACTTCTGACAGGAGAGCAACTTGCCCATGGTGTCATAGAGAAGGACATATAGACAGAAATCATCTTGACTGTGCGCTAAATCCAATCAATCAGCCATCTGAGCAACCATCTTCAACACCAATTGTACAAGACTTTCCAAATGCCTCTCAATCTAAGGCCACAGCTGAAACTCTGGACTCCAATGTCATCGTAACAGCAGTTGTATGTCCCTTTTGTGGAATAGAAGGACACCAACGCCGATCTCATTATAATTGTGCCGAAAATCCTCTACGTACAGGTGCAATAGATTCTTTTTTGATGGCGCGAAATCCTGAAGCGCCTGAGGCTAACCGAAATGATTTGGGAGGCATGAATGCTTTGTGCTCAAAATGTGGAGTCTACATGTGGATTGATGAAAGAAAGCAAAGAACAAGAGCTTCTCCAACGTTTCAAATCTGCTGTCAAGATGGCCAGGCAATCTTGAAGCCAGTACACCATTTTCCAGAGCTTATTTTCAATCTTTTGAGTAGCAATGACGATGTTAGCAAAGAGTTCAAATCGAACATTAGAACGTACAATTCTGCTCTCAGCTTTACCTCCATGAATGCAACTTTAGATCAATCAGTTGCGAATAATCAAAATGGTGCCTACGCATTCCGTATTCACGGTAGCGTCTATCATCTCATGAGCTCTGCACTTATGCCAGCAAATGATACACGCCCAAAATTTGCTCCAATATATATATATTCGATGATGGGGAAAATGAGCTCCAAAACCGACTGAATGTTGCTGGAAACCCCAACGTTGAGAGAACCACTATGCGTCTCTTCCAAAATATGATGCACGAAGTCAATCCTTTTGTTGACTTATTTAAAACCATGGAGGAGCTATCAGTTGGGCAACCTGGAGGAATTCAAAATATACGAATGATATTTCGTTCAGAGGATTCTCCTGATCCAAGAAGGTACAATAGACCTAAAGTTCCAGAAATTGGTGTACTATTGTTTGATGGCGACGATGAATGCAGCAACGAACAGCCAAAAAATTGTGATATCGTCTTAAGATTGAAAGGCTCTGGTGATAACCTAACAAGGGTTAATGAATCTAATCAATTCTTTGATCCTCTTCAATACGTTTTGATGTTTCCATTTGGCGATCCTGGGTGGCACATCAAAGTGAAAGGCTTTGATCACGCTGAAACCGAAATCGACATTGCATCTGATAGCAATAATGATGATGAGGACAAAACCATCACCATCATGTAATACTACAGCTCAAGATTGATGGTACGACAAGGACAACAGCAAGGACTACCAAAAAATCAGCAAATTAGCCTGCATTCATTTGGAAGATTATTTCACCAATACTTCGTCGATATGTATGCTAAGATGGAACAACAGCGACTGAACTTTATTAGATTCAATCAAGATACCTTACGAGCTGCTGTTTATAGCGGCCTTCAAGATGCAATTCAGCTGAACGACCATGACATTAGTGCAATTGGAAAAAAGGTTATATTGCCTTCAACATTCACTGGTGGCCCAAGGTTCATGGCTCAACTATATCAAGACGCTATGAATTTGGTCAGAAGATTTGGCAAGCCAGATTTATACATTACGTTTACCTGCAACCCGGCGGCCTGGCCAGAAATAACCAGAGAATTGCTTGAACAACAAATCTCAACTGACAGACCAGATCTTTGTGCCAGAGTTTTTCATCTGAAGCTGAAGCTTTTCATTGAGGATGTTGTAAAAAAGTCTGTTCTGGGAAAAGTAATTGCATATGTTTACTCCATTGAATTTCAGAAACGGGGGCTACCTCATTGTCATATGCTGTTTATATTGCAAGACCAGGACAAGCCAACGACCACTGAACAAATCGATAGGAGGATTGTATCCGCAGAAATGCCTGATCCTGCTTCAAACCCACTTGCATATGAAACTGTGGCTAATAGCATGATTCACGGTCCATGCGGTCTGTTAGATCCGAATGCTCCCTGTATGGCGAACGGCGAATGTTCAAAAAATTACCCGTACCCATTCATGGACGAAACGACTATCAACCCAGAAGAGTCAAGCAAAATTATATACAGAAGACGATTGATGACTGATCGTACAATTTCCAGGCATAGTGGAAGAATTACTATTGATAATTGTTGCGTCGTGCCTCATAATTTCTATTTGGTCGCTAAATACAACGCACACATCAACATGGAGATTTGCAGCCAAGTCAACTCGGTCAAATATATATACAAATATGTATACAAGGGCCATGACAGAGCACAGGTATATATGGGTTCATCCTCTCAAGATGATCACCAGGATGAGATAAAAAAGTTTCTTGATGCAAGATATGTCTCGGCATCTGAAGCCTGTTGGAGAATCATGTCTTTCCCTATGCATAAGGAATATCCCTCTACAGAGCGCCTGTAAATCCATTTGGAGAACGAAAGTTCTGACCAGGCCTTGAGTCGTACACTTCCAAAAACAATCCTGACAGCTTGGTTCAAGTACAATATCAAAAATCCTGAAGACAACGAAGCTAAGCAAACTTTGTATCCGGACTTCTGTGAAAAGTACGTTTTTCATCAACAACAGAACCCAAGAGTTTGGAGACCTAGACGTTCAGGTTTTGGTAAAGCCATTGGCAGAGTCTATGCTGTATCTTCAAAAGATATTGAAAAGTATCATTTAAGAATTCTTTTGTATCGAATTCCAGGAGCAACATCCTTTACCTACATGCGAGCGTACAATAGCCGCGTCTATCCGTCTTATCAGGCTACTGCCAGAGCAATGGGTCTTCTTCAAGATGACAATGAATGGAATAATACCAGGTCAGAAGCAAGCATCACTATGTCACCTCAAAAAATACGGCAACTCTTCTGTATTCTGCTCTCCTTCTGCGATGTTTCTGATCCTTTTCAGCTATGGTTGAATCACAGATTGCATCTAGCCGAGGACTATTTGTATCGTAGGCAACAAAAGGCAAGAGCTCTGAATCAACCTGTTCCCACTGAAATAACAGATGAGATGTATGACCACTGCCTTCTTGATTTAAATCAAATTTTGGTTGCCAACCAATTTGATTTGAAAACTACGAATGGTTTCAAGGACATTTTCCCTACTGTTGATACCAGGGATAACTATGCTTACCCTGAGGACTCTACCCCGTTGGAAAGGATGCATGCCACTCTGCTAATTGAAGCCTTGGAAGCTCCTGACCCAAACTCATTGCCATTCAATCCAAGTCAATTGATAGCTTATAATGCCATTCAAAGTTGCGCGTTAGCCGACGAAAACTATGATGCTGCACAGTCCAAACTGTTTTTTTTATTGACGGGCCTGGTGGTACTGGGAAAACTTTCATCATCAATGCTTTGTTAGCTGCCGTCCGCAAACAAAATCAAATTGCAATTGCAGTTGCTTCAACAGGAACGGCGGCTCTGCTGCTGAAAGGAGGTCGAACTGCCCACACTACCTTTAAAATCCCCATCGACACCTCATCTACAACAATGTGTGATTTTACACCATCCTCTGAAATAGCTCAATTCATCAAGAGAGCCAGGCTGATTATATGGGATGAGTGTTCCATGATTCGAAAAGACTTAATTGAAACTGTAGACAGAACCTTCAAAGACATGATGAAAAACAGCTTACCTTGTGGTGGCCGCTTGATCGTTTTCGCTGGCGATTTTCGCCAAGTTCTCCCAATCGTCCCAGGTGCAAGTAGATCAGGCATTGTGTCTCAATGTATCAACCGCTGCTGCTTTTGGCCACAAGTTAGAAAATTCAAGCTGGAAACTAACATGCGAGTGCAGCAAGCACTTGAAGACAACAATCAGGATTTAGCCAACCAGCTACAACAGTTTTCTAGCTATTTACTACAAATTGGTGAACGAAAAGTTAGAACGGTGACATTACCTAGGGACATTATTCCTTCGGATTTTGTGCGTATCCCAGATGAAATGTATTTCAATTCTACCAACTTGCTGGATTTGCTAGCTGTTGTGTTTCCAAACATCAACAATAGCTCAACGATTGACCATTATTTTGCAAAACGTGTTATATTGACCCCAAAGAACCAAGATGTCTCAGTCATAAACAATCTGCTACTTGACAACTTGCCGGGAAGAAAGTTCACTTATTACAGCTATGATCAAGTCTGTGATCCTCAATTTCAAATTCAGGTGCCTCTTGAGCTTCTCAACTCCATAGAATCTGGTTCTCTGCCTCCACATGAATTGGTTTTGAGAGTTGGGTCTCCAATAATGATCTTGAGAAACTTAGATCCTTCAGCCGGATTATGCAATGGAACCAGGCTAATCGTAAAATCTTTGGGTGTTAGAATAATTGAAGCCACCATTGCCACAGGGCCAAAAGCAGGTGACGTTGTGTATATCCCAAGGATCAAGTTTATCACAGAAGCCAACCGAAGAATTCCCTTCGACTTCAGTTGCACCCAGTTTCCTGTGAGATTGGCCTTTGCCATGACTATAAACAAATCATCGCAGGGTCAAACATTATCTAACGTTGGATTATATCCTCCCTCTCACGTCTTCTCACATGGTCAGTTGTACGTCGCAATGTCAAGGATCAGTAAGCCATCATCGATAAGAATCATGGTTGATCCTGATATTTCTGTACTGGAAAACGTACCTGGCCACTATACACACAATATAGTATACTCTGAGGTCTTTCAATAAAGTTTTTATATATTTATATTTCAAATTACATCCATTTTTTATTGTCAGGCCGTTAGTCTCATCATTTCTCAACAGATATAAAGCTTTGTTTCATGGTGGAGTAAGCCTGCGGCAGCACGACGTTGTATACACCGCGAAGCGATGTTGTGCAACTAGTTTGTGTATAAAATGAACTGAAGATCCTGGAATTGAGTAAAAAAAAGAAGAGTATTTATACATTTGCAGCTAGCTTGTAGGATTAGTGATGTTAGAGAGCAATAGGTGCTGCTATTGCGATATCTGGCAAATGTTGTTGATGTTTGATTTAAAGTGGTAATCAATGCAAGAGCACTGGCCATAAGGGTCGATTTGAGTAACCTTGATGGGCTTGGGTGAGCTATCGTCATAGCATGATTTAATGTAACATTGATGGTTTAATGTCTAGTGTGATGTTTGTTATTGAGGTATGGAGCCCTTTATCTGGGATATTGTGCAACTATGGCAGCAGGGCATAGTTGTCATATTTGAATATGCTTGTTATTGATTTGATTTCATTTGGATAAAGATAACTTCTCTTATTACGACCATCATGGGTGTGATTGAATACACTGTGATCAGGAGTGATTCATTCACACGATGTGCGATATAAGCGTGTATCTTTACTTTAGTATGTTTAAATGGTTGTTGATGTACATTTGAGCGCTTTTATTAATAGATCCAAATAGCATGCATTTGAATGAGTGCTATTTGGTGAATTTCGGTTTTCAATCAAGTTGCGTTTGGGTGGCTATTTAATTACAACAGGTATTGAACATGAGTGAAAATATCTGTCATTACTCTTACTATACTTTTATTACAATAAATCCATCCCCACTTAATCTAATACTACTTGTCCAATAATACTTACATATATTATATAGTAAGTGTTGCCCAAGATTAAGGACCTACAAATAGTAACACCACCTTGTCCATCAATAGTATATCTGTCTTCTACCCTACAAGATCATCATTGCACTGCTCATTACAAGAGGCTCTTTGCTTTCGTTATAGATACAGTCGACAACTGATTAGTACCATCGACTTAGTATCACGGATTCATCAATAATATATGTAAATATTATTAAAGTAGTATTAGAATTAAGTGGTGATGGATTTATTGTAATAAGAGTATTGGAAGAAGTAAAAATAGATATTTTCACTGACGTTTAATACCTGTCAAAAGGAAGGCTATTTACGGTAGTTCTTCAAACTTGTGGTAGGTTTGTTTTTGTAGATCGGGATGGTACAAGCGTGGTTTAGTGTAGATTGGGTCATGGTTGAACGTATCAATGCGAAAATGTATTTTGTTTGTGATGCTTGGCGCTTCATCATCTTTTCTGAACAGGCCTTTGTATTGATTCAGTACTACCGCGTGAACCTTGCTTGTTTGTTGATCGGTCAGATGAACTAGTAAGGTGCTAGTAGACACAGTGGTATTGTAATCCACATTTACAGTTCTGAGGTCAATATGGCAGGTGATGACTTTGTTTAGCGTGTGAATGGCTACTTTTCTTTTCATCATCATGTCCCATCCTACGGCATGATCATGTCGCGAGTTAGACCTTTGATAATGTGAAACTTGACAGGTACACCAAAAATTATGAGAGTAGTGGTACCGATGGTGCTTGTGATCTTGTTGCTGACGCCTGAGTACGATATGACGGTATTTGTGTCAATTGTGAGCTGTAATCGTTCACATGTACTTTCATTGATGGCTGTAATAATGGCTGAACCAGTGTCCCATAACGCCTGAATCACATGTGAGTTGATGCTTATGTTGGTTGTTGGCGTGAATGATGCGGGTGCTGCTAACGTGTGAACTGGTCTCGCCTTGATAGTGTCGATGGTAATGATGTCTCCCTCGTCTGTGGTAGAAGATGTTGCGTTTGTGTCGGCAATGGACACATTCTGATGTGGTTGTTGGTGTTGTGAGCACTGGTAATTGCAATGTATACCGCCACAGGCTGTCCCTCTTTGTTGTATAACTGGGGAAGGTCATCATCAGGTCTTGGCAGCTTGGAAGGTCTAGAATAGCGATGCTGTTTAAAAGATTTTTTTTAGCGTTTTGCTTTTGTTTGTGCATGCAATCTACTTCCATAGGGTCATCAGGTACTTGGGCTTTGACATCCTGCCTTGTTTCCGGTTTTTATTGATAGTGCACCTAGCACCTAGCACCTAGCATTATGTTGTATTCTCGCTTGTCTTGTATAGCCCTTGTCTACCATATTTTTGCGCCAAGAAACATATAAGGAGGTGGTGTGAGCGGATTGAAGGCCTCCCACTTATTTTTTTTTTCAATGATGAACTTAGCTAAGCATATGCATCATATTGACAACTAACCAATTGTAAATTTTGCTTTTTCGTGAAAATGTATAACTATCTTGTGATGAAAAGTATTAGATTTGTGTGACAAGATCTCACGGAGAAATGCATAAAACCAAGACGTCTACGACTCGATCCATATATGCGAAAATGGACTTTCTTGATCCCAAACTGTGGTACCCCGCGTAATGTTGACACGACAAATTTCTAGCCCGCGTCGATTTTTTTTTTAAAAAAAAGTAGGAGAATGGGCGTCGCACCTTTTCACTTGTTTCTTTGGTACAAAGTCATGTCAAATATGGATCTAAATTCATCTATCACTCTAGAAGGTTCATCTTCGTTGGTTGTAAAGTTCTTTGGTAGGTGTATATCAAGCTGTCTTTTGTGCATATCATCTCACGCGAGACCCGCTTTTTGTCTGAAGAGTGTAGTTTGAATAGGTGAGTAGAAAAATGATTAAATAGTGGCAATAACGACAATGAACGAACCATCCACTGCATCTAGTATTCTCTATCAGCGAGGCCTGTACCCTATAGATGATTTTAGCATGACGACACGATATGGTATGAAGGTGCTGATTTCAACCAATCCTGAACTTACAGCCTACATCAGCAGCATCATCCGACAATTACAAGGTACATATCGCCTAGTATACTATTCTACATGTGATGTTTACAAGGCTGCAAATACAGAATGGCTAAAATCAAGTACGATCAGCAAGCTTGTTATTGTAATCAAATCAAGAGAGACATTGGAGGTACTGGAGAGATGGAATTTCAATATCGAAGTCAATGGTGAGAATGGCCTCCCTATGGCAGAAAATATACCTCCTGATCAGTAAGTGCTGGCCTTTTCTAGTATTGCTCAATTTGATGCTCATGTACCCAATACTTTTACACAGGGCTAAAATTATACAACAAAACACAATCAAACAGATCCGATCCATTTTACGACAAATTACAGCAAGTGTGTCATTTCTACCAGAACTAGAGGGAGATGACTGTAAGATCCAAACTCAATGGTGCATGAGCAATTTGTATGTAACGAGCTTTTCTTTCTATAGGCACATTCAATGTCTTGGTTTATGCCAACAAGGATGTAGTGGTGCCTGTACAATGGGGAGACAGTGGACCAGAACTCATTGAAGGCGGGGGTGAACATGTTCGCTTGCATTCTCTGAACACTCTCGTACATAAGGTGGATTCATTTGTTGCATACAAAATGGATAGTGATTTATAAAAAAAAAAAAAAAAAAAAAAAAAGAGACAAAAAGACAAAGGGGTTGTTACATTACACTATACGGCATATATACTGTGTATCACTATTATTAAAGAAATTGGTTCCTTTCTAATCTTTTCAAGTCTTATCCTTCTTGGCCAAAATCTGATGTAAAAGTAACATGCTGTTTGATATCGACATCATTCACTGTGGGGCGAGAGCTCTGAACTGCCTTCAAGAAATCTTGGATTGTTAATTCTGGTTCTAACAATTGATCTCCTTCGATATTCATCCAGCTCATCACTTGAGCAGCAGGATCACCTGGAGAACATGGGGTGAAATATTGACTCATTGTTCCTGGATTCAATCGAGATGGTGCAGTAACCTTGAACATGCAAAGGTATTAGTCATTTTAGTGTCATTGTCAAGGCATGTAAACACGTACAGATTTGAAGTGAGTTGCGCTTTGGACCTTTCGAATAGGCTGCATAAGCGCATCTCTGACTAATACAGCAATATCCGAACCAGAGTATCCATCTGTCATGTCAGCCAGTTGTTTGAATTCTTGTTGTGAAAGTGTGCAAGGTGTATTGCCCACATTCAGTGCAAACAAGTTGGCACGAGCATTTGCATCAGGAAGAGGGATATAAATACGTCTTTCGAATCTAGAGTTGATTTTTGTCAGACATTTTACATGAAAACTCACTGGGGAAAAAAAAAAAAAAAAAAAAAAGTGTACCTTCTTCTGATGGCAGAATCAAGCTGCCAAGGTATATTTGTAGCACCAAGCACCAAAACGCCGTCCATATCATTACCTACACCATTCATTTGCACCAAAAACTCTGTCTTGATACGGCGAGAAGCTTCTGATTCACCTTCACCTCTCGAGCCACATAGAGAATCCACCTCATCAATAAACACAATGGCAGGCTTGCTTTCTCTTGCCATTTGAAACAGTTGTTTAACCAATCTTTCACTCTCACCAAGCCATTTCGAGACGAGATCCGAAGATGACACAGAAAAGAAGGTGGCATTGGATTCTGTAGCAACTGCTTTTGCGAGATATGATTTACCGGTACCAGGAGGTCCATAGAGCAAAATACCACGCCAAGGTTTGCGTTGCCCTGTGAAAAGATGGGGGAATTTGATGGGTAAAATCACAGCTTCTTTCAAGGCTTCCTTTGCCAACTCCAAACCAGCAACGTCGTTCCAGCTCACATTTGGTTTTTCAGTCAAGATAGCACCGGACAAATTGGCTCTCATCTTTTTCATATCAGCATCATCCTCTTCATCAGATCCTCCACTAAACGCAATAAATAAATAAATAAAAAAAAAAAAGGATCAGCATGTGTGGGGCTCTGTAATTTGCTTGGGCTGCATTTGGTTGCTATTTTACACTTTTTTCGTTTTTCCAGCAGTGGCACCGTTCTTGGTGGGGCTGTTGCTCGTACTCTGCTTACTATTCTCTTCTTGGGTATTCAAAAAGGTCTTGAGAGTTTCAGCTCTGTCCAAGTATTCCACAAGCTTTTCGCGAATACGCTCCTTTAGTCTATCGTTTTTCTCATCTAAACAGAGCAAAAAATTTGGGATAAATATCAACTCTTTCCACATCATATAGCCAAGCATACGTACATCGAATAGCTGTCATGAAATACTCCAGGCAGTTCTGATACAAGTTGTAGGCGTCTTTATAGTTTTCATTGCGGTCCTCCTCGGTAGCCTTTTTAGCTATATCGATAGCTCTCTGTTCGAAATGTATTCAGGTGAACAAACTAGCATATGGAACATGATGGCTTGATGTGTATAGTTACCGAGAGAAAATCTGTATTGGACATGCTTTTTTGTCGTTTATTGCAAACAAAACAAAAGAAGAAGAAGAAGAAAATGCAAAAAAAAAGAAAGAGAGAAACGTACGATGGCCCTTAAAATTCGAAAAAGAAAGAGGTGTGTTTTTCCATTTGCTCAACTTGGGGGCAGCAGATTTTGCTTGTGGACTCTTGCAAGTTGGGAGTTGCAGCAGAACACCCAAGAGTCACACAAAAAAGGGAGATTGCTTCCCTCGTTTGATGTGCGTTTTCCTTGATCATGTATGACATGACGTATAGACACTCTGGAGGTTGTATACATGGGCATCTTGATCCATTTCACATGGCTTACATTGATGCGATCCGGCGGTTAGCAGTAGCATAGTATAGAGATCAGATTTGGATATCGAAGATCTAAGCTTTGGTAGATATTTGCAGGATAACTACTACAAAAGCAAGTGAATGCAATCGAAGCGTATTCAAATGTAAAAGCTTGCTCAGGCTGTGCATGTTCTCAAGGAATTTCTTTGTCCCGTCATTGCCGTTATACAATTTTGATCAAGGGCTATTCACTTGAAATTGCTGCATGATTTACATGAATATCTATGGTGATCCAAATCAGCTTTATCAAGCAAGACGCTGTCTTGGGTATGCCTTGAAGATACTTTTGCTTGGTGTATAGACCAAATATCTCATGCGAGTACATGGTGATAATGCTATAGACACCATTGGAAAGCTACACAGTTACTCACAGGTAAATTGAGTTCCAATCAACATTTGGGTTATTTGAAGAAGAAAAAAAAAAAAAAAAAAAAAAAAAAGCGCATCACATAACCTTTCTCTCTTCTTTTTGAAACGATATGTCAGATAATAAAAATTTGGCTACATCGCCACCTGCAACGGGCGAAAACCCTGAACAGAAAAAGAGCTTTATGCAAAGGTATGGTGGCTCCATTGTGCAAATGATCTTTTTTTGGCTTGTCATGAAGACTGTTACAGGAGGTTTGTGCTTTTTGCTGATGTTTGAATAACGTGAAGTCTAATATAATTTGCGCAAAGGGTTTAATAAACCTTCAACTGAGATTGGCAACAACAATGCACCTGCCTCTGAGAATGGAGAACCTGTCATTGCCAAACCAACCTTTGTGCCTGGCTCAGTAACACTTCGCGATTATACTCATGGCGTTCCAAACAATGTATTCTATTATCCTCATCCCGAGATCCCTCTTACCGATTTGCCAGAGACTTTTGTACCTCTTTGGCAATTAGGCACACCTTTAGAGGTCTCTGTATTTGTCAGCGAGGACGAGTATTTCAACAATTATGAAGCAACCCCTGACTTCACCACCTCTGATATTCATTATGGCCAACAGTTTGAAGCAAGAGAACACCGTATTGATATTCCTACCACAAAGGTAAGTTGTTGCAAGAGTGTATTGAATAGTGGGAACCACAACGCATTCTAACAGCGTTCTTGTAGAGTATGCAACATAACGGAACTGTCTATGCTCATGTATTTATCACTCAAAATGGCATGCCCATCAACCCAAATGACGAATCCTTCAATCCTGATTCCACAGTCTACTACAGACATGGTAACACATCATTAAAGTCTTTCCATACACCAGTAGATCAAACTCATCTCACATCTTTTTGAAATACAGTTTTGACCAAATTTTATCCTGCCAAGACCATTGTCAAGCAAAAGAATCTTTTAAAGAAGGAATCCGAAGAGGAGGAAGAGGCAGAGGAGCAAGAAAAGGCAGAGGAGACTGCAGCCATCGAGAATGAGAAGGAGGATAAGCAAGCTGACCAAGTAAGCTGATGATCTCACTGGGTGTTTTCAGCACATATCTGATATTAGCAACACATAGGAAGCTACTCCTGTAGCAGGTATTGTTGGCCTTGGTGCTGGTCTTTTGGGAAACTTGACTCGTCGTGCTCCCTTGGTTGCTTACTGGCAGCAAAATGTCACATTTGCTCTGCTCAGTGACAAGAAGAATGTGCTTCCAAAGAGTGGCTTGCAACCTCCAGTTCTCAAATGTAAGTCGATTGGATCTGTTGTTTGCGCAATTGCCACTAACTAACTCCTACGCTCTCTAGACGTACAATTCGATCATGGACTCGCTCGCAGCCCTTCAGGAAAACAAGGCTTTTACAGACCCATCTTGTTTCCCAATGATTTTTGGGCTTTGCAGCAGAACGCATTTGCAGTCAACGAAACAGTCGATACATTACCATTGAACATTCGTATTGAACCCATCTCCATGTGGAAGTTCAACATTTTTGCCTCGCTCGACGATTCCATGAAGCAACAAGCCAACAGTCCTTTGGGTGGCATGAGTTCAGGCGACATGGATGAGATCAAGCGCATGTTTTTGGAAACCAATCCAGTGCTTTTGGGCACTACCATTGCTGTCAGCTGTCTTCACTCTTTGTTTGAGATGCTCGCTTTCAAGAATGATATTGCTTTTTGGAAGAAGAAGCAAAATAGTGCTGGTATCTCTGTGCGTACATTGATTGTCAACATCTTTTTCCAAATCGTCATCTTCTTGTATTTGCTGGATAACAACCAAGAGACTTCATGGATGGTCTTGATCAGTCAGGGCTTTGGTCTGGTGATTGAACTATGGAAAGTATTCAAAGCACTCAAATACGAGCTTGTGTGGACGCCTGGATCTCTTTTGCCCTCATTGGGACACCAAGAGGCAGATCAAACTGAAGAGGAAGACGACACAGCCAAGTATGATGCTATTGCATTCAAGTACCTCAAGTGGCTCTCCTATCCCTTATTGGCAGGCTACGCCATTTACTCTTTGTATTATGATGAGCACAAGAGTTGGTATTCTTATGTTCTCAAGACATTGGTGGAGTTTGTCTACATGTTTGGCTTCATTACCATGTTGCCCCAATTGTACATTAATTACAGACTCAAGAGTGTTGCTCACATGCCCTGGAAGACCTTGATGTACAAGTCGTTGAACACGTTCATTGGTAAGTTTGACAGCTACTAGAAGCATGATACGCATAAAAATATTCACATTTTTTGTAGATGATTTGTTTGCCTTTGTCATCAAAATGCCCACTTTGCACCGTCTTGCTTGTCTCCGTGATGATTTCGTCTTTTTTGTGTATCTCTATCAAAGACATGCCTACAAGGTGGATCATACTCGCGCCAATGAATATGGACAAGTTGGTGAAGAAGCGACCGAAGAGGACAAAAAGAACAAGGAGACCAAGAAGGATAAATAAATATCTTTTTTTTTTTTTTTTTTTTTTTTTTTTTTTTTTGTTTTTTATTATTTTCAAAATGTTGCTTTCATATCCATGTCGAGTGTTATGGTGTGTATGTGTGTGTGTGTGTGTGTGTGTGTGTGTGTGTGTTTGGTGTTTGGTGTTTAGTGTGGTGGGTGTATGATCCAAGCTGAAAAATAGACTGCGTGTTTGTCACTCCATGTATGCTACAAAATCTAAATACGTTCAAGAGCTTCCATAATGGAGATGCTGTTGCCACGAATAACCTACAACAGAAAAGGAAAAAAGTCAAGATTGACACTTTATGGATGTATATTAGGAATAACCTTACCACCATGCCAATGTTGTGTTTTTCAGTAGCACTGATTTCTTCGACAGTTTCATCCAAGACAATATTCATAAAGGGATCAAATCCACGAAGAACACCAGTAACCTTGCGATTGCCGTTCAGCTGAAGTGAGAGACGCTTGTCCATGTATCTGTAATCAACATACTGTTTAGTCTATTTCTTCTGTTACGAGAGAGGGGAAGGTGCTATTCTTACTTTTTCAATTCTGGTGTAGTAGTCTTTCCCATGCTGTCTATGTATCTGAAAAGTATAAACGCGTTTGTGAGTTGGTTTCTTTTCACTTGATGATTTACAATCAAAAATTACTTTTTCTTTTGCAAAAAGGAATCCAAGAGGAAAAAGAAGAACAAAAGTTTTTTTTTTCTTTCTCAGGTCTTTTTTCTGATATAAAGTTGTTGGACTACCATCACCACTACGGTGAAATAGCATTGCTCTCTTTTGTGATTGATATGAACGGAGAAGAACGTGATGTGCTATTGTCTACAAAATATATAACTTGAGCATTCGTATCTGGAAGCATACTGCTCATGATAGCCCATGTCAATCACATGGATGTTAATTTTAACTGCATATAAATGTCGTTGATCTAGAGCGGTAAATGAGGTCATTAGAGCCATACAAGCATCGACAGAGTGCTTGCCATAGAAAAACTGTATCTTCTTATCACGTCAAGCAAGGCTTACGGCATATAGCAATGACATTGCTATACAACATGTCGATGATGATGATGGTGATGATGATGAAATCCTTTACAACACCGACATCAAAAAGTTCAATTGGGAACAGGTTCAGATGGCCTGCGACTTGATAAATTCTTTTTAACCCCTACACTTTACATTATGGCCAAAGCGAACAAGTTTTATACTTTTGTGATCATGTGCACTGGCATGGCTGTTGGAAGCACTGCTGTCAACAAGGTAAATTTCCCGTTAAATAAAAGCATGTTAAAATGCAGTGTATTGAATCCTCTTGCTTTTATTTCTTTAGATCATGAAGCCAGATATGGTGAGTATCCCTAAGGAACAATGCCATGTTACTTGATTCACTCAGCATATACCATAGTCTATTCCCAAGGTTGAGCTTCCCAAAAAGACAGAATAAATCACTCATATCCCATCCTGCCGATTAACAACATAACAATCAAAGCGTTTGTAGAGTTACAGCAACACCAAGGCTCTTTGTCAATGAAACGACATGTCAAGGATGAGGAGCAACTCTAAGTTTGGGAACGATAATCAAAGTGTGTTCATTTAAAAATAAAAATCGTATCAAATACTATATTGCAAACGCTTGGTTCAAACTAGTCTTTTTTTTTTTTTTTTTTTTTTTGACATGCCATACTTGTGTTGCAGTTACTTCGAGGTGCCGCGTCCACACAAGCTCTATAAACTAAACGTACGTCGAAGCTTTTGCATACAGATGAGCTGGATCTAGTGCTCAATTGAGTTTTGTTCTCTACCAAAAAGATATAGGCCGATTTTGTGATTGGGTTGTCCCATTCAGCGTAAACTTCGGTTCATCAAAAATTGATCTCGCAACAGTCAGTTGTTGCTCTTTTTGTCTTTTTTTTTTTTTTTTTTTTTTTTTTTTTTTTTCTCTTATTCAACAATTCATGTCTAGTGGAAATAAACGTATCAAGGGGATCAGTGTATCAAGACCATTCTATTATGGAAGCATTGCCTATCCTTTGAATGGAAAAAAGGCATCAGATGCAGATCATACTCACAAATGGACCGTGATGGTGAAAGGTCTTGATAATGAAGACCTTAGCTACTATATTAAAAAAGTAGTGTTCAAGCTACACGAAACATATCCTAATCCTCTACGAAGTAAGTGTCCCTTGCTTCTCAGACGCGTTGTCATGACACTCTCTCACACACACATACAAATAGGCATTGAACAACCACCATTTGAAGTATCAGAGACAGGTTGGGGAGAATTCGAAATCATGATCAAGATCCATTTCCAAAACGTTGTCAGCGAGAAACCCGTTGTTTTATATCATCATTTACGACTTCACCCTTACGAAGACGACGTGAATGGACAGCCATGGCCAAAAGACAAGCCCGTGATGAGCTTATTATACGACGAATTGGTTTTCAATGAGCCAACAGAATCCTTATACCAAGTCTTTGCAGACCACAATGCGTTGAATGCCAATTTACCAAACAAAAAGACCATCAAGGATCCCTCATTGCCGTTATTTAGCACACAGTTGGAGCAAGAAGAAAACGAGCGACTGGATAACGCATTGGATGAAATCAACTCTCAAATCGCAACATTACAGCAAAAGATATCATCACTCGACTGATGGATGAATACATCCGTGTACATGTATATATATATATATATATATATTTACAACAATAAAGCGTGCGCGCTAAACACTACTGTTCATGAAATTACTGGGAATGGAGGCAGCCATAGACCATGTTTGTCTATACTCGTCGTAAATGGCACCTACCCACCATGATTGTTGTGTGATATCGGCATCTAGAATGCCCATCAAATTATTTGCCCTGAAGGAGAGTTCGTCTGCATCTTTGGCATCGTAGTCATACTTGGCACGAGCTATAGAATACAAAGAGTTAATCCACTGTTATATATATATATATATATATATATATATGACAATTAATGAGACGTTTCTATTGAATAGTATGCTTACCCCAGAATTGAATGGGCCTTCCGTCTGTGTATTGCAGTGGTCTTGGTGGTATAGCAGTATACTGCTGGGTGGGTGGCGGTAAGATGCCGCCAGGCGACACACCGCCTAGATGAGAGTAGGACATGGATGGCGATGGCTGAGGTGTCGCTGCAAAATTAGTGGGAATTGTGATGGGAGGCGGCAATGTGCCTCTTTGTTGCACCATGGGAGAATGGAGAGGCTGCATCATGGGTGAGTGCATTGGCTGCATCATGGGCGAGTGCATTGGCTGCATCATGGGCGAGCTGATGGGCTGTATCATGGGAGATCTCTGTGGTTGCATGTGTGGGGATCGTTGTTGCTGCATTGGTGCTTGAGCCATGTTCTGTGGTGCGCCCATGTACTGCTGTTGCTGATACTGATGATGTCCCATGTAAGCGGGATTAGGCTGGGGAGCATATCCTGTATTCTGCTCTGGTAAACCCTGCTGCATCATATTAGGTGAAGGTTGTTGTTGCACTGCTGCTGCTGGTTGTGCATACATAGATGAAGGTGCGTTGCTGTTGTTATTGCTGCAGTGTTGTTGTTGAACATCTCTGTTGGTAATTTGTTGTGCTGGGGGACGAGGTGATTTTGGAGCAGCAACAGCAGCGACTGGATGAGAGAGTGGCTCTGGTGTAGAAGAGTGCAAAGAAGCAGCAGGGGAAGTGTCCATGACTTGCTGAAGCACATGATGATTAGAGTTTTTGTTGCTAGTAAATCTTCTAGAGGGAATAGATCCTGTATCAGGCTTATACTCGGATGGCTGTCGACGATATCTGGCCTCATCACTGACGACAGCATTTGGGTGATCTTCCGGTGTGGTTGAAGCATGCGTGCTGTTGCTACTGCTGCTGGATCCCTCAAACGATTTCAATAAAATGTCCAAAGAACCATTGTCTGCGTCTGCTTTAGCAGCTTTATATGTGTTGGTGTTGTTAGTTTCTCCTTTTCCTCCTCTAACTGAGGCATAGGGCGTACTTTGCTGCTGCTGTTGCTGCTGTTCCATTTCTCGCTGTTGACGAGCTATAGCCATTTCACTCGACACTTGTTCCATGAGAGACTTGTTGAGAGGCTTTCTCTTGATTTGGCCCCGAGTAGCAGTACTCCCCATATTGTTGCTGATATTGACACCACGGAATTGATTGTTATAAGGATCAGTCTTGGATTTGAAAGAAGAATCCATACTGGTATCATGTGTTGGCGTGGTGGAAACAACAGCAGAAACTGATGCTTCAACAGGCTTCTGTTGGATGGGGTCTGGTTGCTGCTGTTGCTGTTCTTGTCTTTGCTGATACTGTGGTTCCTGTCGTGGATGGCGATGTTGATGGGATGGAAGCTGCTGTTGTTCTTGATGTTGAGAACCAGTATCGTTTGGTTCGTGTTGCTCTTGTGGCCTTGCGTTATGAGTCACATTCTCAGGGATATCCTTCTCTTGCTGCTGCTGCTGAACATCTCGGTTTCTTTGCATTGGCTTGGGAGCTTGTTTCTGTTGTTGTATTGGTGGTAGTGCACCTTGTTGACGAGGTGGCTTTGATGGTGGTTTGGGCACGTTCTCAGTAGCAGAAGCTCTTTCGGCCTGGTGCTTCTTCTTTTGCTCTCTCATCAATTCGCCAACATATTCGTTTGTGGCTAAAAAAAAAAAAAAAAAAAAAAAAAAAATACTGTGAGATGAGCCGATCAATACGAGACACATAATGAACATTTGGCTTTACTTGGTATCTTGGAGCCTGTTGCATACAATGCTATACATCTCTCAATCTCTTGCTCGACATGGCACACTTCCAATTGCTTGCGAATATTCTCACAGCACTAATTAATGCAGTTAGATTTGATCAGCCCCAACGTGCCCACATGCTATATCATGACATCTTCCTACCTCATCTTGTACAAGCAGTGTCGCTGATGCTAGATTTGCGTATTCCCATACGTTGTTCTTTAAAAACTCGACACGGTCCTCTTCCATGGCTTCCAATACCTTTTTTTTTTTTTTTTATAACTTGGTGTGAGTGGTAAGCGACTCATGCAGTTTCAACTGAGCTACATTACCTCACAAGCTTCTCGCCATGTTGAATTCCATTCTTGAGCAACCTCATCCACTTTCACCACCATGGTCTTGTACTGATTTTCTACTCACAAAAAGGGCCGTTGTTTAACATGGTAGGCTTGACAGTCAGGGGATGGTCATGTCCACTTACTCAATGCTTCCATGGTAGGTGTTGATTGCCCTTTGGCTATGTCGTGTTCCTTTAAATACTTTGCTCTGATCTAAACACGGTCATGTCAACATCCGTTTTCTCTCGCGCAAAACGAGACAAGCAAAGCTCTCTTACTTTTAACAACTCGATGGTTTTTTCTTTTCGGTCTTGATACAGATCTTCCAGTGCAGTTGTCCACTTGGAAAGCAACTCTTTGTACTCTGTCAATTTGTTCTGGCATTCCGTAGCCACCTGATGCTTCAACCTGTCAGATAATTCCAAATGTGTGGTGGCTGTTTGCTTCAGCTCCATTGACACTGCACGGTATGCAGCCAAGACACCCTGTACGTTTTCGCCTTGATGGCTCTTCTCTTGATCTCTTGACAATGTCAGTAGTCTCTGTCCAAATTCATGTTCCATGGCAGATCGCTCAACATAGATGCTGTGGATCATTTCAAGATCTTGGTGTGTTGTTTGGATGTAGCTGAACAGTTTGTCCATGCCTGATTTGTCTTTGGACCAAAAATGATCGATAAACGCCACGGGTGTTTGTTCTTGTTGGATATTTGGAGGCATTATGTATATTTATATATATATGATTTAGTATGATAAAGAGAGAGAAAAAAAAAAAGAAGGAATGGAATTAGACAGTTGATTTCTTATATCAGATTACAAAATGAAAACAAGGCACCATATCAGGACAATTGTACCACGTACAATTAAGCAAACTACCTAATTTGGGCAATGAATAATAATGCATTTTTGGGACATTGGATTTTTTTTTTTTTTTAATGTATAGTGTGTTGACAAGGTTAAGAGTTAGGGTTGGCATTATTACTATTCGGTGCGTTATTGCCTTGCTGCTGCTGCTGTTGTTGTTGTTGCTGGAAGTTCATCATGTTGTTTCGTTGTTGAGCAGCTGCTGCTGCCGCTGCCTGTTGTTGTTGAAATTGTAAATTCATTTGAAATTGCTGTAATCCCTGTGCTTGTTGTCCCAAGAGCGTTGCTGCGGACACATTGGGTGTGCCATTACCAGGAGCTGCAACCGAAGTCAATCCAGGTGTACCTGATGTACCTGTAGCAGCCTGCTGCTGCTGTTGTTGTTGTTGAGCAGCAGCAGCAGCAGCGGCGGCTTGTAGTGCTGCCGTGTTGATGCGATTGGGACCAAGCCCTGCCATCATTGCTGATCTGTTCAAGTCTTGTACATTGCGCATCATACCGCCATTTTGACGCATGGCCTGAAGTGCGGCCAATTGCTGCTGGGTCAATGGGCCTCCTGCACCTTGTCCTGCTGCTACTCCACCTCGTCCTCTACCTCTCATGGCATTCAAATTTCTTTGCATCATCAACTGTTGAAGAATTTGCGCTTGTTGTGCATTGATCTGTGCATTAGGAGCAGGAGATCCTTGTTGCGGCACTTGTTGCGGCTGCTGTTGCGGTGTACCTTGCTGCTGTTGAGTAGGTATTTGATGTGCAGACAGTTGCGGTGTACGTCCAGCTTGGGCAGCAGCAGCAGCGCGTGCCTGTGCCTGTGCCTGTGCCTGTTGCAATGCTTGCTGTTGCGCTTGTTGTTGCGCTTGAAGCTGTGCTTGTTGCTGCTGCTGTTGATGGGCTTGAAGAATACCTTGCTGTAATTGTTGTAGTTGTCGAATTTGAACCTGTAGCTCTTCTGGTGATATACTTCTCTGTTGAGCAAGCTGAGCTAAATGATTACGACGTACCATCAACACGCCCATTTGCTGTTGATGATGAGGACTCATTTGTGCCAACAATTGTGATGCTGCTACACTAGCTTGTGATTGCGCAGTGTTGGGTACTTGTTGTTGTTGTTGTTGCTGCTGTTGCTGTTGCTGCATGCGTTGCTGAACAGGCGATTGCTGGTTGAATTGCTGCTGCTGTTGTACCTGTTGTTGTTGTTGTTGTTGTTGTTGTTGTTGCGCTTGCTGTTGAGCCTGCAATGCTTGTTGCTGTTGTTGTTGCTGTTGAGCGGCAGCGGCAGCAGCAGCAGCAGCAGCAGCTTGCTGTCTTTGTAGGTTTCCAGAATTGGCCAACTGACTGACCAGCTGCTGAGCAGTGGCAAGGGGTATAGCGCCAGTAGCAACCAATTGCTGAATTCTCTGTAACGAAGCCTGTGGTGTGATTTGTTGACTATTGCCTCCACTGAGAGCTTGCTGAAGAGCAGCTTGCTGTATAGCTGTCATGCCTTGAGGTTGTTGTTGCGGTGTGTTAACAACATTGGTAGGCAGCATGTTGTTGATTTGTGAAGTAGGTACGGATGCTTGAGCAGCTCGTTGTGGTAAAGCCAAGGATTGCATAGCAGCTTGTTGCTGTTGCTGCTGCTGCTGTTGCTGTAAGGCAGCCATGTGTTGTGCAGAAAGCTGAGCTTGTGCTTGAGTGGGTGTTTGTTGTTGCGATTTCATGCCACTGCCAGGTAATGCCAGTGATTGACGAGGTAAAGATGCAGATTGTTGTAACGGAGTTGCATGTGATATAGTGGGTGTGCTCAAATGAGATTGAGATGGAGTAGATGCTCGCGATTGAGCTTGTTGTTGTAGTTGTTGCATATGAGCTTGAGACTGGCTTTGAGCAAGAGCTTGTGCCTGGGCCTGTTGAGCAGCCTGTGCTTGAGCATGTGCTTGAGCTTGTGCCTGGGCCTGTGCTTGTGCTTGAGCTTGGGCTTGAGCCTGAGCAAGGGCTTGGACTTGAGCCTGCTGAGCAGCCTGTGCTTGTGCCTGTGCCTGTGCTTGTGCTTGTATTTGAGCTTGACTTAGAGCATTTTGCTGTTGAGTCTGTTGCTGCTGCTGTTGCTGAGCAGCTTGTTGTTGCTGAGCTTGTTGTTGCTGTTGTTGGGCTTGAGCCTGAGCAAGCAAAGCTCTTTGATGAGCAGGAAGCATGGCAGCCTTTGCTTGCATCGCACGATTTTGTTGGGCATGTAATTGTTGCAATTGAAAGTTGGTGGCAGCTTGCTGTTGCGCTTGCTGTTGCGTCTGCTGTTGCATGCTGGTAGGTATACGTGCAGTGGAAGGCGATGGCGGTACGGGCGCGATATTGGCATTAGAATTATCGCAAACAATTGTATTGAATTGACCGTAGGTTGATTTCAGAGAGAGCACATAGGTTTCCATCAAGAATTCAGGGCCAATATTGAAATCAATATTGCCTCCATTCACACTGGTATCGTATACAGTGCCCCAACGAAAGACACCATCATAATCACCATTATATACATAGATATTCACAATTGTATACACCTTCTTGTCGGCTTCAGATCGCTCAAATCGAATCGTTCGTACACACTTTCTACCGTCCGATAAAACAGGCACTTCACTGCTGACACTCTTTCTGCCCTTCCCCTTCTTGATATCGATCGCTGACAATGCTTCTGATCCTTGTTTGCTCTTTTTCGATCTCCAATCTTGTACAAATGATATTTTTCCAAAGCTTGGCTCAAAGGGAAATGTGCGTTTTGCTCTCTGTTGGTGCCCGCAAGATGTATTGTTAGCCATTGATAATCCCTTGCACTTACTCCACACATTTCTATCACTTACGGAATCCATCAATGTCATTAATTTGTTATTTTCTGCCTTCTTTGCTAATTTTTGCTCTCGCTCGACAGAATTGTATTTTGCTTTTCGTTTAGGTCGTCTATGCCCGGTGGTGAATTCCAACGCATTGCTGATACGAGTTACTTGAATTGTGGGATCGAGACACAGGGGTTCCTCTGTAGCAATCTACAATACAATTCGATAAGAGGAGCTCTTTTTTGATTTGTACATATTGCCAAAAGCCAGACTTACAAGGATTTGTGCCTCCACTTGCAAAGCAATGCTCTCTGTCCATGGAAATCCCCACTCTTCACTCAATAGATTGATATCCGTCCATATACTCTCTGCTGTTGGTTTCATCACAATGCGCTTCGTGATTGCTGTTGTTTCGGTGTTTTGTCCTCGATGATCGTGGATCTCGACAATCAAGCAGCCTAATCAGTACACTCGGTTAAAGAGCCTGTTCTTTTCGCAAGGTGTCTGTGCATTTATACCATCATAATATCGACACTGAGCTTCGTCAAACACATCCATGAGATCGCCTGGTAATCGTTTATCTTTGATGCAAGCCAGAAATTCCTGTAGGACATCTGTATAAGTACACGTTCCATTCGACATGGTGACTCATGATTTACAAACCTTGAATTGACTCTTGTACGAAAAGAAACCATCCTAACACAAGACATCAAAGAGTTGAAAAAAACGTCAACCGAGCCTCTTCAATTACTCATTTTTACCTCGTGCTCGAATTTGAAGTAGGTTGGATATAAATGAAGACAGAGGGATGGTGGATCTTTCTGGTGGCGTTTTAGCAACTCTGTAAGATGAATCGGTTAGTCGCTGGCGTCTATTTAGAGTTTATATCGTCCATTTACCCTTCTCATCTCGTGAAGGCGGAAACTTTTTTCATATACAAATAAGAGTTAGTTGAGTGCGATCAACAGGCATCTTTACGAATTTACTTTGTTTTGCGCTGATGCTTGGTTTGCTAATACGTTCTGGTGCCATCGCTGTGCTGCTAAGCTCGCTCTTTTCGCAAGAGAAGAGTTGGATAGATTGGAGCCTTGCTTTGAATGATGTTCTGCTAGTTGGGTTATCGAGTTTTGGTCTGCTTGAAGCTTTGCAAACACTTTGGCTGAAGCCATGTTGAGCTATATCTGTGAATGGTGTGTTATGATATGTATTGAAAGGTGTAAATATGAATAGTATCTATAGCCTAAATGGTATCTTGGTTCCCTTCAATTGGCGTTTCTGATATTTTACAAGTGTAAAGAAATTACACAAGTTGAGTGAAAAAGAGAAAAAAAAAAAGAGGCATGGTGTATAATAGCCATTAAAATGGAGGATGCGGATCAGCCATCACGTGATCTATTGTATGTGCCATTGTAAGGTGTAGTAGTTGTAAAATTACAGAATGGATTGTTTTATTTAGGTTTATCATATTTGGGCTTCCAAATCCAACTGTTGCCCATGATACCTTGGCCTTGCTTGTCTGCTTTGCGGTAGTATTTTGCAGCAAGATACAAGTCTTTTTTGACACCTTGTCCATGGTAGTAACAATGACCAAGATCGTTTTGTGCATCCGGATCACCTAAATCAGCAGCAATTTTAAAAAATTGCACTGCAGATTCCTTGTTTTTCTTGCACTGTTGTATAGATTAGTCTTGTTACTACTACACCATGTCGTTGCTTATCACTTACTCCCCATCCATGTCTGAACGAAACACCCAGCTCATAAATAGCCATGATGAGCTCGCCCTTGGAAGCAGACGCATTGACCGTATTCTTGATGTTGGTTAAATCTTCAACAGCATGTTCTGCAGCCTTTTGTAGATACTGGAAAGCAACATGTTCATTCTTCTTGCATCCCCATCCATGTCGTAACGAGACGCCATAAAGAAACATGCCAATTGGATTACCCTTTTCAGCTCCAATACGGAAATGTTGAGTTGCCTTCTCCAATTGACCCTTTTCATGGAATGAAATGCCTTCATGAACAAATGCTTCTACTTGTGCTTCAGGAGAAAGCTGTTTGTTACTTGTGTGGGCGATGGGTGTAATGGGTGACGGGATAGAAGCAGGCGAAGCGATGGCAAGAGAACTTATTGTACCTGATGGATGATCTATTGTTAATGGAGGGAGTTTCAAATCATCACCGTCGTTGATGTGGTGATCGTCGTCATCTTGATGATAGTTGTAGGAAGCATAATGAGATTGATCATGCTCAGTGTACTGGTATGAGTTCATGGATAGTGTGCTGACAGGTTTGGCGGCCATGGTGGATGTATTGGGTTCTGCGATTGATTAATTTTTCTTTTCAATTGATCAAGACTTGGAGATGTAAAATATACTTACCAATAAAAGTATCTCGAGAATATCCTGCTGATGAATCAACATTTGGGTCTATTAAGGAATCCCGGTTGATATGATCCTACAATGTTTAACAATACAATATGGGAACAATCAAAATGAGTTCTCTTGTAACTAATTGACGTCCATTTCCGGGAGATGTATAATGTACCTGATGATGAATTGCTGCTTCAACACTATGCAATGTAATGTTAGTTTTTTTTTTCTACTAGTTTCACAAGTAGGTGTTTCGCATGTTTGCTTACTGTGGTGATTTATGGAATTGAAGCGATAGTTTCTTAAACATATTAGCAAGTAATACTCTTTTTTATATTTTTGAAAGGACAGGAAGGGGTTTTATAATACTGTAGAAAAAAAAAAAAAAAGGAAAGGAGTCTTTTTTGTGGTATAGGGAGGAAAAGGAATAAAGAATAAAAGAAAAAAAAAGGGATATTGTTGTAAACTCATAGCAACTGCTTTATTCTAATCAAGTTAATTGATTAAACTTGTGAAATCCACCTATATTTGGTGGGTTGAATGTGACACTTGCAACTATTTGTAAATTGGGAGTTTGAAATGTCAAGAAAAGTAACCTTGATGGCATTGTCCTTCCTTGCAGTCGATATGAAGGGAGATTTATATGTGTCTATACACAATGCAAGGTATGATTTGAAACAAATGGGTTAAGGAAAGAAGAGTAGATTTTTGCCACAAGAAGCCGAGAAATTGCAGCCAGTATGGGTTTGATCTGGCACTCAAATGTTACCATCAAAATAACCTTTGGAGAGATTGACAAGGCCAATACAAATCAACATCACACCAGATCAACTTTAAATATCAATGGACGAGAGCACACGAGTTCCTGTGTACCATCATTCAGATGAATCTGTTTCTCTTCAGAACTATATATAGTTCAAGTGTGTGCATATTTGTATGTGGTGAAGGAGTCCTATACCTGGCGAGAGGTGAAGAGTCTACATTACCGTCAAAATAGATGATTCAAGCTGCTACAAGCTATCAATGTAGCTTGGCATACCTTGGCATGTAAATTTAAGCATATGTTATCTATTTGCTTTGTTCAATTCGTAGCGTACGCTCTTTCGTATGCCACATCCCACAAATGATGCCAGTATGAATTGAGCACAATTATCATACTTTAGCTTGCAGTAATGTTTTTATTTTAAATTGATAACGAGATTAGAAGGTTTATTATGTAGATTAGATGGCTCATTGAAACCCTACTGAAAATTCCATTTTCAACTTGGAAGCTTTCCATTAACAACCCTGTAAAGGCGAAGCTGACCCTTCTGTGATGCTCCACATCTGTGTGAATAAAGACACTTCATAGTTGGGACAGCAGTATGCTTGCATTACCTCTTACTACTCCAAAGTATGCAAAACACAGCGAAATTTATATGCAGTTGAACCGTGATATCTCGTGTTACAAGCCGTTTTAGACAGCCAGAATAGCACTAAACGGTTGCTCTCAACTAGCACTTGCTTTTTGATACTTTTGCTCAACTTTTTCTGAATCAACAAAAATCGGCCCAAAACCATGAAGGATACCTCATAAAATTGATCAAAAATCAGACAATCGCGTTTTTGACCCAAAAATGAAGACTTCTACTATAGCATATATTAAATCAAAATGCTTCTCTCGATCCAACGCAACCCTTGAAATCACTTTTATGAAACTTTGATATGCAAAAACTTGACATTTTTGTCTAAAACGTCATTCCATACATTCAATAATTGCTCGCTAAGCTTCTTAAAAACATCTATTACAAATAGCACCATTGGAAGCTCCTTAAAAAGTACTCTCAAAAAGCATAAGGCTGCAAGATCGAATAGCTGCAATTTACATAGTCTATTTCTACAGAATAGATCAATTGAGTCGATTTTAACCAGAATCTATCCAATCTGGAGCAGACGTATGTTGGAGTTAAATTTTGGCGGTTCCTGATGATGATTGATGATTGATGACAGGCTCAACAGTAGTAGGTTGAGCATCAATGGATATTATTTGCAAAGTTTGACCAGATAGTAAAACTATACTTATTCTTGAAAAAGAAACGAAATTGCGATTGCTTTTAGTCAATTTTTGGATGTTAATGTTACTAAATTTTCAACAGGAGCAGGTAATACATGTCTTTTTATATGTTTTGTTTTTTTTTCAGGGGTAGATGATTTCAAACAGTTGAGAAAGCCCAGTTCTTTGGCCATTCAAGACACAATCTTGGCGCCACCAAGGTAACATCCACCAACGTAGCTGTGGTTTTCTGTAGCCAGACATGATATTCATTCACAATCTCCTTCAATTCATCTACTGCCTTTGAAGCATACACTTGCTTTGCTTGATCGTATTTCCAGCTGTGTACGATGGATGCTATAAAGGGTGATTGAGATACATCTCCAGACACATGCTGTCTGTTTAAATTCCAACTTTTTGCTGGCCATTGAGGAGGGTAGTGCAAAGAGTAGATGTTATATCCATTGGCTATAGTATAAATTTCTCGAACCGCGATCCGTCTGTTCTCGTTGTCCATGTTCACTGTACAGAGGCCTTCATCTTCTTCAGAACTGAACCTTTGTAGAAACACATTCTTTTCTTTCCCTAGTCGATATACTAGACCATGATTGTGTCTAAATAGCTTTGACATGACCGAACGCTTTCTTTTGAGCGTCGCTGATACGAATGAGGAAGGTGCTTCAGAGTTTGCGCTCTGGAGAGGAGGAAGCTCTGTCTTGATGTATTGACTCGCATCACTAGGCGGCAAGAATACGAGATCCGAGGAGAAGCTATGTGTTGGTTGCTCAGTTGTAGGAACTACATTTTCTGCATACGGGTGACCATTGGGCTGTCCCTGCATACTTGAGTAGTGCTTGTGAAATGATACCATTAGTGTCTCGAGTTTGATATGTATTTCCCTGCGACATGTAATGCATTAGAATATAGTTATATTATCGACAAGCATTCATATATATATGTATATATATATACTTTACAAGGCGCACTGTTGATAAGCTTGCAACTCTTCTGAATCGACCCCTTGTGGAAGGCAGTGTTTTGAAGACCATCGTAACCAACATTGATGCCCATTACAAAAGTGAGAGTCTCCCTTGCCACGAATCTCATCTACTATCTCTGTACTCCACAACACATTTTCTGTACTCCAAACCCGACTGACACGCCAAACCAGACATCTCAAAAAGAAGATACGCACATTCTTTCCCCAGTGCAGCAAAAGACGTTCTAGAATAAACGTATTCATCAAAATACCGTTGCAAAGTGTATCCAAAAGAGCAGCATGGACTGTAAGGAACTGAAAATGAGCGTATATGAACGACAGCGATCTGAGCAATGTAATTGTATGATCGCATTGAGATAGCACAATGTTCAATGTTTGCAAGATAAAGGGGCGGTCGATTGGAAAGTACGCTAGTTGGACTGGATATCTATACATGAGAGCACTGTCAGTAAACAATGTAGCATTTATGCCATGTCGGCATACTTTTGCAACTCTAGCACCGTTTGTTCCAAAATGTCAAATAAGCCTATGCTCAAAAAATTAGCAATGTAACTTAAATATTCTCTTCAAAGGAGAGAGAGAGGGAGAGAGAGAGAGAGCTTACAAAATACTTGTTCAGAATTTGTCAACACCGTCTTCTTTATCACTGCCCTGAGCCAAACATTCACCATGTCATGAAACAAGCCATCTGGATCTGCAGCTACAGTATTCCAAGCCATACACTCTGTATAGCGTCTTGTCGCCATGATCAAAGGCTTTGGCTTTCCAATGATGCTACTGGTAAACATGGTTTTGACATGCCCTGTAGTAGCGGGCTCATTAATCAGTTGAATGTTGTCTGTGGGTGATAAGGTAGAGGCTGTGAAAAAGTTGCTTTTACTGTTATTGTTGGTGCCTATTCCACCATTGGTGACGGAACAAATCTCTCTTTGTGTCAGTAGATGCAGTTTACTGGCAAAATAAGATGCCAAACACAAGTAGCCTGGCGATACACTGAGTAGCAGGTTGCGTTGGTATAGTCGTAGCTGTGGTAGGTTAGGGTATCTCGCTGTCATGTACACTTTTAGTGTTGCATGGTAGTATCGATAAAACAAAAAGAAAAGTTCACTATCGTCGCTTGTCCATCTTCGTATCCAGTTGCCCGATTTCCGTAAAGGTAGCTGATTATAATCCACGTCGTCCAGCAGGCAATGTTGATATGATTTCTTGTCGGATGTCATGATTGTATGTAAAAATGATGGGAATATGTACTGAATGTCTGATACAAACATGCGCTGTTGCTGCCGATGATGCTGCTTCTGCTGGCAGTGCTCTGTCATCTCTTTATGTACACTGTGAATCATTTTCAGTGGCGAATCCAGCGCTCTCAACAATGAAATAGCCACTCCAGGTATCTTAAAGTAGCAGATGGCTAGCACTTTGGCACTGAATGCGATGATGTTGGAATAGATGGCTTTTTGATTTAGCTTCTCTATCGCTAATCTCAAGGAAGCAACAAGTAGTCGTCTATAGTCTCTGACAAGTACATGTTCCTGAAGCTGAAGCCATTCCGTGTACTGAGACGGGCCCAAAAAGTCTTTCCAAAATAGATTAGCCCATGTGTTGATCTACTTTCTACCTTTTCGCTCTCCATCCTTACCAAACTCTAAAAACTCATTTCTGCATGAAAAAAAGAGAAAAACAAATAAATTAATGTCTTTGATCTCCTTATTTTAGAAGCTTTTTTTTTTTTCATTTAAGAGTTGTCTCCTTTGTATGCAATGTACCTTGTCATAATTTCCAGAATAAACTCAAAGTACAGGCCTTTGTCATCTTGACTTGCTATAGAGATATTGTTCAGCAGTGATCGCCACCTATCCAAGAGTGTCATGGTAAGTAGTTGGAAATCAACATGGCGTCTAATTCAATACCATTTCATCAAAATAAATCTGCCAAAGTCGAGTTTCCTCTCTTCCTTGGCAGCATCTTTGATACCCCAAAAAGAAACAGCTGCTTGCAATTGTGGAAAGTAAATGTCGTTTGAGTTTTTACGAAACCAATGCGATACCTGCTCCTTTAAGAGATTTCTTCGATGCTTGGGTTTGCTTTGAAATCTGTGTGTTTGTATAAACAAAAATGGTTAAATAACATAAATGCACAGCAAACATGATTTGTACATCTCATCTCTGTATATATTACTTTAGAAAAAGCTTTCGAAGTGCAGTGTAGTCCGGAATGGTGCTGCGATGTTTCGCGCGAATGATGGGCCGCTGATGATTGATTGTGGTGTTGTTGCAAATGGTGGACGAAGACGAAATCGAGGTAATCGTAGCAGTAGAGCAAGATGAAACGCAAGCCTCTTCATGCCGTTTACTGAACAGCGATATTAGGCCTATCAAATGGCGTTTTTTGATCGAGTTTTGGCGATGAGCACAAAGAGATTCCTTCATAGCTTGTATATCTGGAAAGGTAAGTAAAAAGAAAAAGAAAGAATGCTACAAAGAAAGCCAAGGGAAAGAGAGAGAGAGAGAGAGAGAGAGCATCATTTTATTTATAACAATTTATATGCATAGAAAAAAAAAAAAAAAACCTTTTTTTCCCCCCTTGGGGCAAGATCAGAGAGGCCAGAGAAGACAAGAGCTAGGCAGTTTTTGTACAGTTATCTTACACGGAGGGACACAGAGGATAATTTTACTTGTACTCTTCTACCAGTTGCTTGTGGGCAATAGCCAGTTGAGCTTCCAATTCCAACACTCTTTGTCTATTACGTTGTTCTTTTTCAGTAGCATGAGTTACTTCAGTTTCCAATACAGCTACTTTCACTCGCAATCGTTCGTTATCAGTCTTCAATACATCAACGCGCTTCTCCAATGTCTCCATTTTGATGGCTTTTCTTAGTCTTGATCTGCGTGCAGCATCTGTGTTACGCTGTCTCTTTACCACCAAGTCAACAGGTGGACGATTATTGCCCCTCTTCTTTTTAATCACTGGAGTGGGTTGGACGTGTTGATGGTGGTAGTGAAAGTCGCTGTTGCAATTAGCATCATTGCTACTGACAGTGCTCAACACAGGCGAAGGAGGAGGAGGTGTGGCATACAATCGTTTCTTGTTGTATTGCTTTTCCTTGACCAATTGCTCGTTTTGACGAATTGTATTCAGTAATGAATAAACCTTGATAAGTGGTATCAAATGTGGTGGCAATGGCTTGTCATCCGTATTGTTCTTGATGCTGTCTTTTGAAGGCTCTTGCTCTTGTTGCTTAATCTTGGATTCCTCATCATGGGCCAGTAGATTCTTCAATGAGCATTTCGTCGCATTATTGTTGTTTGTAGTATTATGGGTATCTTTGTTATTTTTAGGAGTAGTGGTGGTGGTGGTAGTAGTATTAGTGATTGATTTGCGGCATTGGAATAAGCTGGATTGCTTCAAATCGTTTTCAAGCCAGTCGTCCAAAGTAGTGCTATCCAAACCCCAAGTTGTGGCAGGAGTTGTAGTATGGCTCGAGTTGGTTTTGTTGCTGATAGACATTTTAAATTGGTGTTTTTTTTGTATCAAGAGAAGGAAGAGAGGATGTCTCAAACGACATGGAAACGATTTATAAGTAAACCTCTCAAGCTGCTAGATTATCACCTGGCATTGTTGTTTTTTGATTGGATGAATCGATGACAAGTTTTGTCTCCCCTCCTACTTGAGCACCATGATTGGCTATCCAAATGTGGAAGAAACTAACTTTTATACCATTTTGTTTCTTATTTATCGAAAGGAAGGTTCAGTACACATCATAAATCTAGGTTAACATGATGTAAATGCTAGCTCATTTGATGAGAGCATATTTCTGCCACGACTGGAGCCAAGAAAGATGGAGAAAAGAGGCAAACGCGATGATCATTGGAATGATTCATGTTGATAGGCATTGCGTTCTTGATTTGTGCTCCATATCTCTGCTTTTTTTTTTAGTGTGTGGGGATGTTGCTACAATATCAAATTTGAGTCAGAGATTGTAATGCGTTTGTATTGGCGATGAGTGCATAAACATAAATCAGAAAAATAACCAATCAAATGTCAAGATGCATGGCTATCTCACATCAATGCGCAAATTGATCCATCTATCTACTGTATAAAGTGGCAACTGTTTATTACTAAAAAAGAATTGGGTGTATATAAAGATGTGTATATAAAATATGAGTGTGGTTAGATGTGTTGGAGTATGCTTTGAATGTACATGACAGGATACATCATGTTTGTGGAAGATCTGTCTTTGCTCAAATGTATGACAAGATTTATTCAATTGACCACATATTTTCATTATGAACTGGCTTTGACTTGGTGTTATCTGTCTCTAATAAAGTTTTGCTGGCATTTACTGGATTTCCACTCATCTCGTAGTCATCCACGCTCTCATGATCAATGGCGGTTTGTTCATTTCCATACACCTTGTTCTTGGGCAAGGTCTTGTCTTTAAAGATAAACACATTGTTGTTGACATTGATGAAACATTTGCATGCGACAACCACCGTCATTAAGATCAGCGCTGCTGCTACCACAGTAGTAAAGATCAAGAACTGACGAGTATGAGCATAGGGATCAGCGTCGGCAGGACGTGGTTGAGCAATCAGTACAATTCTGTAAATGAAGTAACCAATAGATGCCAATCCACCAACAATGAAGGTCATCATGGCATACTTGTTCTCTCTATACACTGCAATCAATGCGAGTGATAACCCAAGGCCGCCCAAAACGAACACCAACACAGTTTCTGTAATGGTATTGTCGTAGCCTAGTTTTTGAGATGGAATCAATTGTGCTGCAAACGAAAAGACAAAGAAGAAATCAAGCTTCAGCAGCGTCAACAAGAGGCTGGTCATGATCAGTGCGTTACGAATTCTACAGTGAGGATTCCATTTGTTGAGTATTGCAATTTCTAATCTTTTGTGGGCATGTGTTACCTCATGTCAGCAGAGAAGTTTCTGTAATTATCCCAAGCAAATTGTTTGCGCAACTTCCAGCCAAAGAAAGCCAATACGACAAAGAAAAAGGGGATCATGCCGATGATGGTGTATTCAATGGGTCGCATGATGCTGCGATAAAAGTCTTTGGCTGCGTCCATACCAAACAAATTGGCTTGCCAGCGACCATTCACAGGTTTCCAAAAATCTTCATTGCCACTATAAACATGGTGAGTATGTATGATTTGTATTTGGTTGACGAGGGAAACTACTCACCATACAGCGTCTTCCAGAATAACATGCTGTTCAAGTTGAATGCCAGCATAGCTAAAGCCTTAAGGTTAGTATATATATATATGATCGACTGGATACTCAGCTACTTGTTTGCTTACACTAATTTAAGGTTATTAATAGACTGGGCCAACTCTAATTATGGCAGAAACTCACCTACGACCAGGAGACCAAATGTGATCAAAGCACAAAGTTGAGCTAAGTTTGATTGGAGGGAACATCAATACAAGCTAAAGGGCGATTAGATGGAATGCAAAGCTTTACCTGTATTTCTTTGATACAAGGCATCAGCACACAACACAACTTGAAAGACTTGAGCGATAATGAACAGTGAATGGTAAATCAGATCAGATTCACTGACACCTGAAAAAAGAAATCGACATGAGCATACATAGAGATGACTAATCGCATTCAGTCTCACAAACCTATGCCTGCCGAATCTGGACTACAGTTACTGACAAGACCTAAATGGTTCATGATAACAATGCCTTCCAATATACAAATCAGGATGGCTTCAAATGTCACCACTGAAATGGTGAATATGGATTCTTTGGTCTTGAAGATGGGGTTTTCTCGTATAGCCATTGGTTGTATTGTGCCTCTGCTGTTTGGTGAGTGGTAAAGAAAGAGAGAGAAACAAGAAAAAAGCAAAAGAGACGAAAAAAAAAAAACAGAGATGCACAAGTTTTATAAGGATTAAGCCTGTTGTACTACTACATTCAAAGATCTGTTTTGTCTCTAGGTGGGTGCCCTTCCACACTCATTGACATTGCAAAACAATTTAGGCAATCGGTTAAGTTTGGGGCGCAGTCTTTGTACCTTTGGACTGTAATCATGGGACACAGAGCAGCTTTTCTCTTCCACGCTTTTAACTGCTTTCATACCAGGAATCCACAAGATGGGCTGAGGAGCAACTAGTGCCATGTTGAGGTGCTCTATAGGTTAAAACCCAAGAGACCAGAAAGTTTATTTCTTTGAACCAAGGTGGATCCAGATCTGCCGATTGATAGATGTAACATCAAAGTGAAGAGCGTGTAACCTGTAGCTTCTTTACATGCATGGCCTTGATTTGTCTGTTCCCGTCAAGTGAGCTTATAATTTGGTTTGTTTGGCAATCTGTAAAGTCTTGTATTTACATGCAAAATGCATAATTTTTAGTTGTAGACTTCTGCATAAAGACACGCTTTAATTCAATCTTGGAAAGAGAGATTTCCACAAGGCTTCCAATGTTTCCTCTTGCCATACCTATACACAAGGCTTTAAAGGGGTAATTGCCAGGTAGTTTTCTCCTTTAAAAAAAATTCATATTGAGATAAAAAAAAAAAGGGCATATAAGAGAGTGTGGAAAGCTCCAAAACCATGGATTGTATAACAGCAAATTTAACACCACATGTTTTATATACTAACATGTCGTACATGTTACTATTCGGTTTTCTCTCTTGTTTGTAGAACAAGGATTGGCTTAGATGAGTGAGCTACTCCCTTGTAAGTCCGTGATTCCTATTTGACATCAGAGCAATAATTCCATCATTTCTTTAAGTGGCTCAGTGCCCATGGATAGGGTACTCGTTTCTCTACGTAACAGCATTTGGCAAATGCGTGTAATTTGATTTGTATGAGCAAAGTGCCTGTCATTTATGATGTGTGTGTGACAAATCACAGATTCGTATATACTACCCAAGAAAGAAGCTACTTTATCTATATTTCTTTTTCATTACGAGAATTTGAACATGTTGGTATCTGTTGGAAGAGGGGCTATCTTGACCAAACCTTTCAAATTTATCTTGTTTTTAGCAGCCATAGCACGAAGATAGCACCAGTAATCGACATGATTAGGTAAATATGGTTTATGTTGACAGATAATCTTCATATAAACAAGAACATCAAGCATAAAATGTTCACATCTATCTCCTTTAGGCAGATGAAAAGCAAATGTTGATGTCTTGGAAATCATCAAGGCATTTTGTTTACAATTTTATATAATGTGTAAAGTAAGCTTTGTTGATATCGTCCTCTACAATCAAAGAAACCAATGTTTTGAACTGATTTACTCTATTAGTATCAAAATGATCCAAACGAAACTCATATACACATTTGATCCGTAATCTGACATGTTGGTGCTGTAATACCAGTTTTTTTTTTTTTTTTTTTTTTTTTTTTTTTTTTTTTTCAAAATTATGAATTGCTTGAAATGTGTACATAGGACAAAGTACGGGTTAATGTAAAGGTAATAGCGAACAAGAGTGAAATACCAACAACTAATTTGGGATCAGCATGACCAGCTTGCAAAGTTAAATTTGGACAAAATACGATTATGTTTTACACCGCAAGGATATTCCTGGTAGTAAAAAATAGCATTGGGTTATTAAAATAATATTCAATGCTCACTTTGCAAATGCCAAGCAAACATAGCCCCACAGACATAGATGGGTAGATCAAGCCAAGCGGCGAGTGCTAAGCAATGACATTGCCAGGGCGGCCTCAAGACGGGGAGAACATCTCTGATTTACCCCTCCAATAAATTGTTTGATGTGGGAGGAATGCATCAAGGCACTGCAAACATTAACGAGCAGGCATATCTGATAAAACACTGCTAACGAGATGTTTTGAAAATGAAGGCTAGAACTCGAGCGAATATTTCCTTGATATTCTACTTTATGAAGCATTCTTTTATTTGAATGGCGTCAATAATCACAGCATGACAGTTTCAATTCCCCATTTGGATGATATTAGCCGATTCATCTCCTCCAAAAAAAACAATCGCTGAAACCTAACATGACCCTTTCAAGCCGGCGAAACTATTTTCAAGGTCATGTAATTGGTTGACAACTTGCTGGAAAGTTGTTGCTTTTTGTTCATTTGACATAATGCGATCATTGAATAATTCTTTTTTGCCTGTAATTGGAAATTTCAGTCAAGGGGTTGCAAAAATCGAAAACTATATAAAGCCTAGTGAGCTTCTAGTTATCTCTCTTTTTCCATCAAAACTTACATTAAAAACATGGATTACAATCACGTTGTCAAACAACTTGAGAAAACCTCCCATCAAGCAGTCGAATATCTCTCCAATCGATCCAATCTGGAAGAAATTGGCAAGATCACCGCCATTTCAGTAGCCACCTATGTTGTTGCAAATGTAAAACGTCAAAAGATAATTGTTCTGATTACACAAGTATTCTGATTCCTTTTTCCTTAGAAATTATACAATGCCTACTTTGGGCCCTTGAGTAATATTCCTGGTCCTTTTTGGAGTAGATTCATTGAATTCCCCAAATTTTATTACAATAGACCTAATGGAACAGGGTAAATTATATTGAAAGCAAATGGTGTGCATTAAGTCTCATGCTTTACAAACAGTTACAAGGCCATCTTGCGCTTCCATGACAAATATGGCGATGTCGTTCGCTTGGGCCCTGACATTGTCGCTGTTGCAGACAAGGATATGATTAAGCAAGTCTTGGTTACGGATGATTTCCCTAAAGCTGCCATCTACGAAGTCTTTCAAAGTAAGTTTAACTATGTGTTACTAGAAATCCGTTAGTTCGGAATGGCTCACAAATTAATTTCCTATAGAGAAAGGCGCTCATACTTTGTTTAGTACTACAGATGCAGCCTGGCACAAGAAGCGAGTAAGTACATCTCATATTCTCATCATGGAATTTGGTTGTTGACAAGTGTTCCCAGAGAAGAGTCGTTTCTCCCGCCTTTTCCATCAAATATCTCAACTCTTTAGAGCCTTTCATGACCACTGTCACCGAGTCATTGGTACACAAGATCGATAGCGAAATTGCTCAAGATCATGACGACTTGAATTATGGTACAGTTGATATCTGGAATTTGGTGCAACGTCTTGCCTTGGATGTCATTGGCGAAACTGCATTTGGCCAAACATTCAATATGGTCGAAGACAACAAACATTTTGTCCCTTCAGCCATTTCTCAAGGTACTGTATAGACTATCACAATTGGACTACTTTGATACTAAATCACGTATCCGCCAGAAATGAGAAACAGTGCTATCAGTGTCATGTACCCAACACTTTCCAAGCTCTTTTTGCCAAACGGTGGTAAGACAAACCCCAGATTACAAAAGGTAAAAAAAAAAAAAAAAAAAAAAAAAATTATACTTGCTCTCATTTTAAGCTTAAGACGATACTAAATATTTCTGTATACATATAGTTCCTTACTGGTGTCATTGAAGATCGTTTACACAAAACTGAAGGCGAAAAGCGAAAAGATATCCTTCAATTCTTGATTGATGTTCAACATGCTGCTGAAACTGATGATAGCTTGACGGCTGAATCCATCATGGCAGAAACTGTCTTGTTCCTGATTGCTGGTTCAGAGACTACAAGTAACTCGATCGGTTTCTCCCTTATCAACCTTTTGCGTAACCCTGACAAACTCAAAAAGCTGTATGAGGAGCTAGATGGTGTGGAGCTGGAACAAGGTCAAATAGTATTCCATCATGAGCAACTCAAACATCTCCCTTACCTTAATGCTGTCATTCAAGAAACTCTACGTGTCGATAGTATTGCTGCTGCTGGTCTTTCAAGACGTGCACCTAAAGATGTCATGCTTGGTGGCCGTGTATTTGTTCCAAAGGACGTAAGTAAAAGGTCTTATTGAACGGGCAATCCATATTCTAATAGAATACATGTAGACAACTGTTGTTTGTAGTTTGTATTATGTCCAAAAGAGCGATAAATATTACCCTCATGCCAGCGAATTCAGACCAGAGAGATGGATTGAAGGTGAAGATCAGGATGAAAAGAACCAACTGGACGCATTCTTTTCATTCAGTGCTGGATCAAGAAACTGCATTGGTAAAAATTTTGCCTTGCAAGAAATGCGTATCGCCATTGCCACCTTATTAAAGACATTTGAAATCCAAGCTATCGAACAAGAAATGAAGGACACTGAGGACCGTAGACAGTTCATCACATTAACTGTTCCAAAGAATAGATTCAACATCAAAATCAAGCGTAGAAGTTAAGATATACCTCAGTTGTAAATAATAATGTATTTATTTGAATAAATGACATGTTCTGTTCCTCAAAATATGGAGTCGTTGTGAAGGTGACGAACCTGAATTCCAGCTCTCATCGTCGTTCAGCACAGGTACACCTACTTGCTCCACAGTGTAACTTGCAGACACGGCGCCATAGAGTGCTGCTTCATTCACATCGCCATTGGTATGTATATAGCCGTAACAGTAGCCTCCGCAGAATGAATTACCAGCTCCTGTAACATCTACTACATGCTCCCCATCCGTCTTCCAATCCCAAAAAGCGGGTGTCCATTGAGCAGCTTCTCTACTATTCCGTATCAGAGTCATGGCTCCGTATTTACTACATCTCACAACTAGAATCAGATTTCCTTTCTCTACTCGCTTCATGAATAGCATTCCGCAATGTTCTACAGCATCTTTGAACTTGTTGTGATGTGAGCTCAACAAAATATCAAATTTGAGTCCGAGCATATCAGCTAGCTCCTCATGGTTTGGTGTTATGATGTCCACTCGTTCAATTGCTTCATAGATGCAATCCAAGTTCTATCGTCGTGTGAGATTGTTAAGCATTTGTTCTTAAAAGTACAACATGTGTCACTTACCTCTGGTAAGCAAGCCCAAGGTAAAGGCTCCCATAAAAATCTTGTCTTTTCTGATGCATTTAGGTCATTTTCTCTCTGTTTCCACTGATCGATAATCTCTATTGCTCTTTCCGGTGAACAAATTAAATGGAGTATCTTGACTGACCTAATCCAATCGTCGGGAAAGTCATCTGTTGTTGCGCGAATGATAGGATGAATGTACTTGAAGTCTCTATGGTCGTTTTCTCCAAAAGTATTTAAACCTCTTGTAGTATGTTTGTCAGCATGAAATTTCGTAACAAGCGATATATCGAGCCGGTTTATCTGATCATCGATGTCTTTGGGATAGTCAAAGCCTTTGTGAATGATGTAGCCTACGTTTTTCGATTGTTTCTTTGGTTGCCAAAGTCGCATACCTAGAGTATTATTTAGTGCTCAACCATCAATAAAATCCTGCTTTTTCTAGTAATACCATATATCGCAAATACGCCTGCGCCTCCCAAAACGTTTTGAGACTTTCTACCATCTTTGTATATAATATCGTCAATGATAAGACTTCCAATAGAGGCAAAAATTGGACAGGTACTTGTAGGCATTAAATAGGAAAAAGAGGGGGGGGGCAGTTTCATGTGAGCAGGCAGTCAGGCTCTATCCCGCCCTCATATAGCATTTCCATAAAAGTCCGAGAATAATTTAACCATCGAAAGTTACACTCCATATTCAAACTTGGTTTTTTTGATTTTTCTGAAAAAATCGAGTCTACAACTTTTTTTTTCGAGTGCCAAAAAAGTATACAGCTAACCAGACATTCAAATACTTCTTAATGCAAGCAATAAAATGGTGTAACTCTCATGTCTGCATCTAACTTAGATACCGAGATATGAGCGTTTGAAATTTTGTCAAATTTCACCTTAATGCAATATATCGACAGATTTTACTATAGAAACCCTAATACCTGTTATAATTAAACATATAGCTAGGCATATTTTTCAAATATTTCTCACTAGTGAAACTGACAGCCAAGCGCAAATTACAGCGAGTGATACTAAAAAAAAAAAAAAAAAAAAGAAAAAAAACGCAACGAATGCATTTGAAGTGTCGAAAATGAGCGAAGCTATTTACATTACATACAAGATCTGGATACCTTTTTTTTAACAGCTACGTACCTGTTTTTGTTTTACTAAAAAATATCGATTTTTGGCCGAGAAATGTAAATGATTATCTGAAGCCAATATTTTTTGAGCGATATTTAGCCATTTACTGCATGAAGGCCTGCCAATGTCAAAGTCAGACTCCGCTTCATCTGGGTTATTTTTCTGCCGCCTTTATATAGCCGTCCCTTTTAGTCGCGGTTGTTTCCTTTGCTTGTTTCTCTCGTTTACTTTCCACAAGCATGAGAAATAAAGATTTAGCAAGAACACTGCCAGTAGACTTTTACAATCCATACAACAATAAAAAGCATAAAAACAGTAAGTCTTGGATACGAAGAACTGTCTAAATGCTTGCTCAATTTCTCTCTCCCTCTCTTGTACTAGCTACAGAAACACACACAACCTACCCATATATACCATACAACAGCAACAGACCAACATCTTTTTACTCGAGATTAATGAAACCAAAGCACCCCATGATGAAGCATACCATTGATATTGGTGATGATGACGAAGTAGATTCATTACTCGACAAACTAACAGCACTCAGTGTCAATCAGCAGCAGCCGAGTCCCAAGAGTGATATGGATCGTTGTGTAGCAGATATACTTGAACTGAAAAAGAGTGCGCTCAAAGTAAATGACCCCCTCTCTACAAGTTATCAACAGAGTTCGGCTCATCTAATTATAAATTACTAGATACTTGTTGACCAAAACGACACCACATTTGACAAACGATATGAAGAGACAGAGATACCAGTACCAAAAGAAATCGTCAAGCCATTAACAGATCAAGAGAATGCAATTGTGGACAGACTGTTTAGAAAAGGACAGCAAGGGGAAGTGTCCAATTTCAAAAAGGCAACTGTCAGCTTTCAAGATTTATACCGTCTTTATCCAGAAACATGGCTCAACGACGAGGTAGTGAACTTCTACTTTGAGTTACTGTCAGATCGTGCAGCCAATTCACAAGATCTACCCTCCATTCATTGCTTCAATACATTCTTTTGCTCAACACTGCGAGATCAAGGATACGCCAAAGTGAAAAGATGGACAAAACGAGTGGATGTGTTTTCAAAAGACATCTTGTTCGTGCCTATCAACCAGTCGTACCATTGGGTGTTGGGTGTGATGGATATGAAGGCAAAGACAGTGGCTGTATATGATTCCTTGGGCGGCAATCACGACCATACACTCAATTTATTTTTATCTTATTTGGAGCAAGAGCATTTAGACAAGAAAAAGACACCATTTGATACATCGGATTGGAAGAAGCTGACACCCAAGGATATACCAAGACAGGGAAACATGTCAGACTGTGGTGCATTTGCTTGTACCTTTGCAGAGAGATTATCAAGACGATCCACATTTAATTTCGCTCAGCAAGACATGGAGACAATTCGACGTAGAATGGCATTGAACATCTTTAATAAAACTATTTAAAAATTTGATTCTTTTTTTGTTTATGTAAATGTATATATATATAAGAAATAATAGTGATTTTTTTTTTGTGCAAAAGAGAGAGAAAGAGAGAGAAAAGGGTGAGTTTATAATATGAAAAGGAAAAGAAGAGTTAGTCAGCATCCACAAACATACGAGGAGCAATGTTCATGGCCATCAACTCTTGGAATAAAAGTTTACAAGCATAGGGGATATGGATTTGTGAGATTCTAGTTTTGTTTTTACATGCACGACATTCAAAGTTGTTCTTCTTCAAGTTGGCAATGGCCATCAAACCACAAATATCACAGACATGGACACGATAAGCATCAGAGGCATCAAACAAACGTTCCTTCAAGAACTGTGCAACACCATGACTGATCATACTACAATAGCAAGTCAATACCGGATCATTCACATGCACACACACACACACACACACACACTATCGCACTTACCAATCTCTCTCCATTTCACCAAAACGAAGACCACCATCTCTGGAACGACCTTCCACAGGCTGTCTCGTCAAGATCTGAACAGGACCTCTTGCTCTACTATGGATCTTGTCATCCACCATGTGCTTCAAACGTTGATAATAGGTAGGACCCAAAAAGACTTGAGCGTTCAACTTACGGCCTGTGAAGCCATTGTACATGACTTCAAAACCACGGGATTGATAGCCTTGTGCTTGCAATGCTTGAGAGATGGCTTCCACAGTGACATCCGTGAAAGGAGTAGCGTCACCTTCATTACCTGTCAATGTAGACACCTTACCAAGCAGACATTCAATCATGTGACCAATGGTCATACGAGAGGGAATAGCGTGAGGATTGATGATGAGATCTGGCGTGATACCCTCGGCAGAGAAAGGGAAATCTTCTTGACGGTAAGTCATACCAATGGTACCCTTTTGACCGTGACGAGAAGCAAACTTGTCACCCATCTGAGGCACACGAGTAGAACGGACACGGACCTTGACAAACTTGAGACCGTCTTGATTGGTGGTCAACATGACTTGATCGACGATACCAGTTTCAGTGGATCTCAACGGTGTGGAAGCATCGCGCTTGTTGTGCGTGGTTGTTCTTTGACCCAGTTCTTCGGAATCAGCAGGGATGGGAGCAGTTTTACCAATGATAATATCATCACCAGAAACACGCGTTCCAGGTGCAATCAAACCATCTTCTTCCAGCTTTTCATAGGTACCATGCTTCAAACGCAACGTGGTGTCACGCGTGGGCTTCTCAAACTCTTCCATAAACATCATACCAGCCTTCTTTTCAGCATCCATATAAGTACGGAAGAAGAGAGATCTGAACAAACCACGATCAATACTGCTCTGGTTCATAATGACGGAATCTTCTTGATTGTAACCAGAGTAACATAGAATAGCGACAATGGCGTTTTGACCAGCAGGCAACTCTCTGAAACGCAAGAACTCCATGGATCTGGTGGTAGTGAGAGGCTTTTGAGGATAGTACAAGATGTTGGCAAGCGTATCCATACGCGTCTGGAAGTTGGTGAGATAGACACCCATGGCCTGCTTACCCATAGCAGATTGGTAAGTGTTACGGGGAGATTGGTTGTGATCAGGGAAGGGAATGATACTAGCACAGATACCGAGAATCATACTGGGGTGAATCTCACAATGAGTCCAAGTATGTGAATAGCTGCCAGTTTGAGATTTGACACGACTGAACAAGTCTCTGGTCTCTTGGAGAGGGGCACCGTACTCTGCTGTCATGCGAGACTCGGCCAAGTCTTCAGGCGTCATACAGATCATGGCAGTTTCCTCTTCATCCGCATCCACGTACTCGACAATACCATCGGCAATCATGTTTTGCCATCCATAGTCGTCTTCGGTGTCTTGAATACGCAAGACATGATCACGCGTCAACTTGAGCTGTTGGTTCTCCACCAAGAAAAGAGGTCTGCAACAACGACCAGCATCCGTGTACATTCTCAATTCCTTTTCACGAATATCACGCACAATACTGACTTCAGGCGAAATGTCAACGGAACGTCTCATTTGCTTGAGCGAGTTGATCAGTTCTCCAGGATCACGATGGATACCAATCCAGACACCGTTGACAAACACCTTGGTGGCATCAGCAATACTCGTGGCACTCAATTCCTCCAAGTTCTCCATGGCCCATTCTTCCAAGAACATGATGAGAGGCGTAGCAGAAGAGCCGACAGAGATGTAAGACATAAGAGCCAAATTCTTGACAAGACCACAAGCCTGACCTTCAGGCGTTTCAGCAGGACAGACAAGGCCCCAATGGGTGTTGTGCAATTGACGAGGCTTGGCAATCTTACCATCACGGCCGATGGGAGTATTACAACGACGCAAATGGGACAAGGTAGAGGTGTAAGTATATCTGTTTAGTACCTGAGACACACCAGCACGCGATTGCATGGCCTTCTTTTGATCACCCCAGTTACCGGTAGCCAAAGAGTACTTGAGACCGTTGGTGATGGTATTGGATTTGACAGCAAGCGTCAAGTTGAACTCTCTGCTGGATTCAATACACTTTTGCAAGTACTTGGCCACATCCTTTGTCAGTTTCTTGAACAAGAGTCTAAACAGACTTGCCATCAAGGGACCAGCCAGATCCATACGCTTCTTACCATAGTGATCACGATCGTCCAATTCACGACGCTCAAGAGCAGCCAACAACAAACGATGAATCATGTAACCAAAAAAGTAGGACTTGCGAGTCTCTGTCTTGTAAGCGGTGCCAACGTGAGGCAGCAGTTCTTTTTGCAGAATTTCTGAAGCGTACTTGATACGCTTGTCCTTGGTGGCGCCGACAGTGGTACCTCTTTTACCGATATAATCCAAAGCAACATCTTGATCTTGAATGACAAACGATTCTTCAATCGAGGGCTTCAACAGCTCCAGCATTTCGTAATCATTGCGATCGTAGCAAATATGTTCCAACACATCTCTATCAGCGACTTGACCTAGCGCTCTAAACACAATGACAATGGGCACTTCAGAACGAATGTAGGGCAAAGCAGCACGAATACATTGGCCAGAAGAGCCTCTTTCAGACGTAGCTCTCATCATCTTGATGAACAAGGGAGAGGCGTTCTTGGAGCCCTTTTCAGGTTGTGATCTGATTTCAGCCGTGTATTGAAAGTTGGAGGGAGGCGCCTTTGAAAAGACGTACACTGTGTTTGTGGCCATACGTTCCTGAGCAATCAATACTTTTTCGGAACCGTTGATGACAAAGTAACCACCCATATCAAAAGAACACTCGTTGAGTTCATGCATGGAGCTTTCAGGCATGTCATGGAGAATACAGTAAGTGGATCTCAACATGATGGGCACCTTGCCGATGAATACTTTGGTCATTTGTGGGTGTTCTGAGCCATGTTCGTCTTGGAACAAGTCGTTGGGATTTCGGCCGGTGTTGTTGGGATCGTATGGTGTTGCGATTTGTGTACGTTTACTCATGTCAACATAAAGCGGGGACGCGTATCTGTTTTCTCTCTCTTTGTTAGTTTTGGGCCACTTGCGTGTGCACCAATATTCACTTACGTCAAGTTACGAATACGCGCTTCTTGGGGAAACATGGGCTGCGTACTACCATCTGCTTCTGTCATGGTGGGTTTTGACAAGTAGATTTGACCAAAGTCAATGATATATCGTTTCTATAGGCGAGAATTAAGTAACGCTATGGAAATACTTGCACACAAAAGACACTTTACTGTAACATCACCGTCGCCGCCAACATGCTGAAGAACAAGATTCGAGTTTTCGTCCACGAGTTCTTGCATGGTATTCTGCACAAACTCATCAAAGGAATCCAATTGTTGTCTGACAAGACCCTTTTCTTCGAAAAAGGAGGAAATCACTGTCCAACAATCTTCTTGTCTATATGTTTTCAATGGTGAGTCATCTATGTATTGTTGTTTCTAGCGTGCACACGTACGTAATGGGTTCGTCTTCATACATCTCATCGCCTTCGGGAAGAAAGTACTCTACATGTATCATATAAAATGCATCAGTATACAAGGGCGAAAATCAACAGAATCGCAAGTGCTGCGTAATTTTCTTTACCGTTCTCTGCCATTCTATAGCTGTCATCCATCATATCAGTCATGTTGAATTATGTCGAAAGTTGTGTTGAATGAGGTTGTTGTTGAAGCGTATATACGTTTTTTTTTTTGTTGTTGTTGTTGTTGTTGTTGTTTCTAGATGCCTAGTTCAACGAGAGTCTAGCTGTTTATATATGTATATTGATAGTTGTTGCTGTGGATGTTGTTGATGCTGGGATGATTTCTGGACTAGTAAAACGTGTATAATTAGTTTCCATGTTCAACATGTTTGCACAAGCAAATGTATGCACGCACACACACACACACAAAATCACACACAAATCGCAAAAGCAGTTGGAATAGGCAAGAAGATAGAAAGAGCGGTGGAAACGACAATTATCTATTCAACTAGTAAAGAAGAAAAGAGAAAAAGCCTAGCAATGAGAGGAGTAGAGAAAAAATCTTCAAATAAATCTTTACAATCCGCGCAGCAGCACCACCTCACACGGTCTAAAACCATGACGGACCCCAACTTTACCACCAATTGTGCTAAAGATGGGCTTTAGATTCAGATACAGACTTCTTGCTCTTTTGCTCCTCTCAGCTTTTACATAGACATAGAGATGGATCATTTCATAGAGACATACTGTACATGCGAGGCAAATGATAAGCAAAAACATATTATAGACCAACATGTCACGGATATTCTGTTCACTACCTTACAACCTATTTTTAAAAAGCAAGCATCGATACATCCAAGTCTGTCCACCAAGCGATCTCAATCGAGGTATGGATCGAAGAACATTGATATTCACGAGGATCAACAATGGAAAAACGGATACTATGTGGAACTCTTGTCGTGGCTACTGAACAATATATCGGTAAGCAACAGCTCCTGTATTGGGATTTGGCAGACATCCTAAATAGACTTGAATGCAGACACAGCAATTGCAAGACAATTTACATCTATTGATACCACCCATATTGATCATTCTCGATGATTATGATGTTTCATACAAAGAACAAGGCATTTATATGCTGCACGCCATGATTCAGAAGCTAGATCCACAATGCATCTCGAAATTCGGCCTAGACAACGTGTTCTTGGAGGTACGCATTATTTGAACACCATACCTAGAAAATCAAATTAGACTCACACACACACAAGTCTTTGTTCAAATGCCTTTCTTATCTATCAGAAGAGCGTGATATCCCATTACTGAAAGCAGCCTACCCATGTATTCTGGATTTAATCGCCACAAAAAGACAAGATCAAGTCAGGTCCAATCTGTACGAGCGAGTATTCAAGGATGGCATCATGGCTGGATTCTTATATGCTGGACAAAAGATCTCTTTCTTGCCTATTCTGTTGACACATATTCCGCGGCTATACAATGCCATGGGGGCCATTGGCGTGCAGTATCTAAAAGCACTGATACCAGAGCTGTGTGCGGCCTTGTCCATGACTTTGAGCAACAATCCAAAAATCAGAGACATCCATCGATTAGCGGCCCTGTCACTCATCGCAGTGATCAAGACATGCTGGCCTCGCATACCTCACTACAGAGGCAGCATCATGCAATCATTGGCAAAGACATGGACCCACTACTACAATGCAAAAGGTTTGGTTGCTGAGTGATGTGTAACATGTTCATTTATGCTCATACTACTGTCGCTTATATAGATCAAGACATGTGTCAATTATTAAAACAGGTGTATCACATCTTTGAAGCTGCATGTCATGGCCAAGAAAAGGCTGATAGAGAGGCATTGATTCAGTTTAATCCCACTGTATTCGAAGCCTTATTTTGTAAATAAAAACACATTTTGCATATATGTATATATGTACAATTCTAAGGTTTATTTGCGCATGCTTCTAAAGCTTTCTATTGATATTTTGTATGTTGATCAGGAATCACCAAACAACGGATACCAAGATAGGTGCAGATGCTGTCAATGACAAGCACAGCCCAACGAAGATAAAATACAAGTGCCAACACGAAATAACAGACCAAGTACACGTACTCTGACTGAGGCGTAAAGATGGGGTCCATGTTGGTGTACAATGGCAAGTTGGTGATGATGGCACCCAACACCAAGGGGATCAGCAAGCCTGTGGGCAAAGGTGATTCAGACTTGGTCAAATGAGCCAAGATGATCTTTGAACAGATGCGACCAAACACGATACCGACAGCCAACAAGTAGATGGCATAGTGTTCATGAGACAGGATGAAGGAATAAGGCGAAGTGACCCAGAGGTAGAAGGAGACGGTATATAATGTGATTTGCCAGTTGTCGTACAACATGCTACGAATAAACGGTTTACCCTTTTGACGACAGGCCTTGTACATGGCATAAAAACTAGAGGATGATTCACATGTCAGTTGTCTGTGCACACACACAAACACACACACACACATATATATATACACTTTAAAGGTCTTACCACATGGGCACATGAGTCACCAAAAACATGATACCAATGAACCAAATGTAAGCATCGCTCAATGTCAATGCTTGCATAAAAGAAGGCACTTGGCTAAAGACGGATCCCACTGTCTGTTTCCAAAACATGGGGCCGTAGATACCAGAGATGATATACATGATGCATAACAAACACACACCTTCAGTGGGGACATTGATATAGCCGAGATACAATGTGCCTGTGTGATACTCTTCAATGGTCGATAGATAGAATCCAGTGGTAGCAATCGCATAAATGATAACAGCCTTGTGCGTGTGTCCTAGCCCCAGAGCAGACATTTGAATGATGGCAGCATATGAGCAATTGATGGCATCGCAGCCATGGTCAAATAACTCGCCCAACGGGCTGGATGTACCTGTTCTTCTGGCTTGACGGCCATCCACATTATCAAAGGTGGAGTAGAGCCACAACCCAAGTGCAAATGAAAAGTAAATCCAAGCAGGTCCTGCATCCTCAGCTTCCATGGTGGGTACATAGATAAAGACAAGGATGACATTAAAGATCATAAACATCAAGCCAGTCAATGTAATGAGGTTGGGTCTGTATAGAAAAGTCAATACATGTGTCAGGATGATTTTTTAACGCTGTGCTGGATAGTTACGCCATGTTTAAAGGAAACAACTTGATACAGACATCCCAGTAATGACGAAGCACATATTTCGTTAAAAACGACTTGTCAATGCTCGAGTACTTGTACAGCTTTAGGTTGGAGAGCTGCTCATCCGTCAGAACGGCCATATTGAAAGGGTGTAAATGAACAAAGCACAAGAAGAAAAAAAAGAGAGGCAAAAAACTTTTCCCAACTAATAAAATTGTAATGTTCAACAAATGGGATGTTTAATTCAAGAGGAGAGCTATTCCTGATTTCATATGTTTGGTATAGTAGCAGTAGTACGATATATATAAAAAAGTCTATTTTATTGCTCAACATTCAGGAACGACCAAGCACAGCCAGCATATCTTGTATTCTTGAGAATTTCTCTCTGGGTTTACCCAACTTCCCACCCACAGCGAATTCTGCAGCTTCAATCTGTTTCCAGTCTTGATAACTGACAGGTTGAATACCACGTTCCTTGAGCAATTCATCAATGTCTGCTCCAGCCTCAGATGATGACAGCATGTCTTTGCCATTCTTCAAGTCATCCACAATGGTATCTGCTGTTTCATAGGCGTCTGTCATGGTAGATACAATCACACCGGTAGGACCTCGTTTCAGCCAGCCAGCTGTATACATACCAGCCAATTCATTGTCATCCTTGTCCACGATTTTGCCATACGTGTTGGGCACCCTGCCTTGGCGATGATCAAATGGCACGCCCTTGATAGGCACACTCTTGTATCCAATGCTTGTAAACACCATACCGCACTCTTGTGATTCAAATTCACCAGTGCCCACAGCACGTCTCTTCTCTAAAGGCCCTTCTAAGCGGTTGATTTCATATCGGATACCACTCACACGGTCGTTCTGTGCTAAAATCTCGACAGGACTACGCAAGAATTGAGCTGTCCATGACTTATCCGCATGCTGTGTAGGTGATCCTTTTTCTAACAATCCCATCAAGCGCTTTAAGGGTCGATTCTTGCTGATGAAGGGTTGTGATTCTGCGATTGCTCGCTTAATAAAATCCATGTCAGCCTTGAACTCTACGCCAGGAAGTGACATTTGCTCTCTCAATTCTTTTGAAGTGAATGACACCTGGGTATTACTTGTTAGCAAAAACAAGATGCTCCCCTTTTGCAAATCACTTGCAACTTACCTGAACAGGACCTCTACGGCCCACCACATGCACATGCTTGACTCTGCTCTTGGACAATGCCTCCAGGGCGTATTCCGTAATATCCGTCTTTCTCAACACATCAATGGGACTGAGTAGGATACGAGCAATATCCAATGCCACATTGCCTTGACCCACTACAACCGCTGTCTCTGTATCGTCCAACGCCAGCTTCAAATCTCTATAGTAAGGGTGGCCATTATACCAACCTACAAAGCTCCGGGCCGACTCGACGCCGAATGTATCTTCACCAGGTATTCCCATCTTTCTATCTTCACTAGCGCCATAAGAGAGAAGAACAGCGTCAAAATGGTTTTGTAAATCTTTGATGCTGAGTGATTTACTGCTGTTGGTGCCGACAGGGACGTTGCCCAGGAAGCGGAATCGCTCATCTTCAGCGACTTTATCAAAGGTTGTCATGACGTTCTAGTGTCGAGTGAGTCAGTAAATACGCTGATTCGTCTGAGAGAAGAGCTTTTTGTTATTACCTTGACTTCGGGGTGATCTGGAGCCACACCAAAGCGCACAAGACCATGAGGCACGGGCAAACTATCAAACATGTCTATTTGTGTATTGGGCCATTCTTTTAATAATCGGTGTGCTGTATAGAAACCAGCTGGTCCACTGCCAACAATGGCTAGCCTGAAGGGCCCTGCTGCTGCTGCTGTTGCTGCTGTTGTAAATGCCCTGGAGATGATTGACATGCTGATAAATGTATGTAAAAGTTGACAAGTAAAAGCTGTGTGTTAGCATGTCAAGCGGGTTCCCCCCTCGATTTTTATATACCTAATTTAAGGAGTCACTGTGAACATTTAAAAGTTGATCCGAACCCGAGATTTGAGTGTTTGTATTAGTAATGCAGCTGAACGTACTGTGATTGGGAGAGTCTCATGAAAGGATCTGCTTGGTGGATAATGCTAAAATCCAACGATGTGTAGTCATTTTCACATTGACATTGACAGAATTCCCAATGTCAGGTCCTGGGCTCCATGAGTTAGATCCAATGCCATTTGTTGGGCTTGGTGTATACAAATTATGGTACCGTTCTATTCAAATGAGATTGCAGTTTGATTTCCATTGGATCACTCGGGCAATACCTCTCATAGCAGCCCTTTCTTTCAGTGCAATGCTCACTAGAGATACATACCAGAAACGCACGCTTCCTACTTGCGCACTTATTTGCTACATTATTCCATCATACAGCACTGATATTACTATACAAAATTGCAATTAATTGATGTGTTTCGCTGAGTGTATTTCTTTTGATGCTAGCAAGGCAGAAAGAAAGGAGACATCTTGGTTAAACAGACATCATATTGTCTAATTCAAAAAAAGAAGCCTATATTAAAGCAAAGGAGCTGTACATCGCAGTAGTAAGAAAGGCATATTATAAAAGTACATATTGAAAAGGAGCAACAAGAAGATGGTGTATATATTTATACAAATTGGCATTGTGTGTCTCCTTATAGTGCTACATGCTCTCTCCTCCCCTTAATTTCATATTATTTTTTTTTACCGTGTTATATAAAATGATGTGATATCTCGTCTCTTTCTTTCTTTTTTCTTCTCCTTTTTCCCATTCTACTATATATCAGTTATGGATACCAAGACATCGTACGAACCTCCAGTTGCAGTGTTGCAAGTGCACAATGATAAAGAACTAGATTATGCTACCACTGAGACATCTACCACCATGAGCAGCAACAACAGCAGCCGTCGTTCCAGCTTGAGCAGTTTTGATAGTAACAATGATCATACAGCTCCACTTGAATTAGGGCTTGTGATCAATGCGCTTCAAACATCACTTGCAGAGCAAGAGGAAGAAGAAGAAGAGCCTGTTCGATCAAATACTACCACAGATCAGCCAGTGCCATCTCCACAATCAACAAGCTCATCCACTACTACAACAGCAGCAACAAGCGTCTTACCAGCAGCAACATTTGGATCAAAAGGACTCAAACGAGAAGAAGCAGTGATTGTTGATTACGAATTGGACCATGGCGTCGCGACTACTACTGCTACCAGCAGAGAGAGTAATGCAACTGGATCTGCGAATTTGATCGTCTTGGATTGCATTGATCCCAAGTCTGTCAAACCAAATAATCTCACACCACGTGAACAAGAGAAAGCAGGTGAGAGCACAGAATCAAAGTTAGGTCCCAAGTGTCAGAACTGAAAGTCTAATTTATATTTCAACGTTTAGATGAACCAATACTGAGAGCAATGCACCACTTGTTCAGCAATCGCTTTATGAAGGCAAAACGATTGTTTGAAGAAAATGCGCAGAGGTAGGTGTTAGATGCCGTTTTGTCGTTTAAAAAGACATGAGCTTATTGGATTGATATCCAGTGATCCTCTTCATGCACTTGGTTTGGGCTCCATGGTATTCTTGAAAGGTAGACCTACAAATGCTATAGTCTAAGCTGGCTGATACTCACACTCTTTTTCTTACCAGCACTCATGGTATATAATATACAACGAATCACAGGCATAAAGCAATGCGACTAACAAGCGCAATAGTCTAGTAGTCAGCAGGCCACAGACAATGCCATCAAAGTACTCATGTCTACCTACAGTCTTGCCAGCGCACAGATCGACAACTCAACAAAGAGAAATGTAGGAGGCACGGTGATACAGTACTTTGCATCTTACTGCAACTCAATTAAATTCTCCCGTGGATCAGGCGTGCCTACCAACATCACTCCTGCTAAACCCAAGGCACTGGAAACGCATAAAGTGAGTACGGTACCCAACGGTATCCTAAGAGCTCATGTAGTGAAAGCAGAGGCATGCTTGCAAATGGCTATACTCTATCTTTTGCAAGAAACCATCACAGGGTATATCAAATGTGGATTGAATTTGAGGAGAGGCAAGTGCTTTAAAAGTTCCTGCTGGCTAGAGTCGCCACTAACTCCCATGGCTAGCCTACTCCAGTTACAGCATTGTTTGGCAAGAGTATAAACGCATGGGTCAATTGCACAATGAGTACATTGACAGAGACACCATTTCCGGTATACAGTTTGGCATTGGTGCTGTGCATTTGGTGCTATCTTCATTGCCCCAAAAGATTCTAAGAACGGTAGCAGCATTTGGTTGGAAAGCAGACAAGCATTTAGGTTTCGCCTTGCTGAAATTATGCCTCGAAGGTCGAAGAGCAAGAGCTTCCATGTCGTCCGTCATGCTGTTGGCTTATTACACCACCTTGACCAGCCTTTGTCCTCAGATACTAGCAGACCAGTACACACAACCTGCTATTGAAACACTGTTGGACGCTCAAAAGGCATTTCCCAACTCGGCCATCTTTTTGTATTTTGCAGGCAAAACATCTCGATTAGCCCGTAATCTGACACTGTCTACTCAATCTTTTGTGTACGCTATCGACACTAGTAAGAATGAATGGGCAGAAGTAGAGGTACTTCACATGTGTAGCTATGAAATTGGGTTCAACCATATGATGAAGAACAAGTGGGCGGAAGCAGCTGCTATATTCCAGACGCTGTCCAGGGAGAGATACTGGTCTCAGCCTATTTTCATGTACCTGACGGGCGCTTGCTTGGATATGATGGGTCAGCGCACAGAAGCTATCCTGGCTTTTGCAGAGATCCCTCATGTGATCAAATCAAACAGAAACAGCAAAACATCGAGCACCTACTGCATTGAACAGTATATTTTACGCAAAGTCAAACTGTTCCAGTCCAGCGGATATCAGGACATGGACATGACCATGTGTGCGCTGGAATACATGTACCTCTTCAATGCTTACGAGTTTATGGAAATGGCACAGTTGGAGCAAAATATGGCATTGACAGATCATGCACTGAGCAGGATTCTGGAAGCAGAAAAATTGGAATATAGCATCCGTACAACAGAGCTTTTGCCAGAGACACCGCCTCCAGAGTACTACGATCAAAGAGGAGCTCTGTTGCTCATCAAAGCATCTATCTTGAACGCCATGGGACGCTATCCAGAGTCTATCATTCATCTCAATTGGATTGTGGATCACAAAAACAAGATCACGGCTGACAAGTGGGTTGTTCCTTTTGCGTATTGGTAAGTGAATGGCATGTAATGGCATTATTTGCAATTGACTGATCGTTAGAACATGGCGTGTAGGGAGGTGGGCATGACTTCTTGGCATTTGGATCAAAGAATACGAGGAAAAGGATTCTGGGAGGTCGCTTTGTCATACACCAGCTATGATTTTGAATATAGGCTAGCCATGGTAACTGAATCTACGATATTCACCTTTTGCGTTGAAATCTAATAATTCGCCATGTGATAGAGAATTAATTTAGCCTTGACAAGAGCTGCTGAAATCGGCATCAGCGATAAACAACAAGCGAGCGCTCCAATCAGCCAATTTGAAGCGCAGCCATGCGACAGCATAACTCAAAGTCAATGCAATAGCGATGTGGAGGATGAGAGCAATTTTGAACTCCAAGACGACAAAGAGGATGATGCTGATAAGAAGCAACAAGATGACAGATCGTCCACAAAATCTCTCAATTCTGACTCGACAGCCAACACTGAAAACTTACCAGACAAAATCCCCGCAGAAATGGAAATTGAGCAAGTTGTTGATCAATTGAAGCTTGGTTCCGAGAATCCTGCTGCTATAGTAGAAGCCCAACATTAGATGAAATCATGCATAGATTTAATATCAAAATAGTGTCATGAAAAATAAATTCATAATCACAGAGTATTTTCAGAAGATCAATACTACAACTGATCTTTTTTAAATACGATAATGTTAAGCAAAACTGATAACCGACATGAAGCTGCAACACCCCTCATCAAAAGCATCGACTGCCTCTAGGAAGAGAATGGCCGCCAAATTGGTTAAATCTCCGTTCTATAGTCTGTCTCAATTCGTTGATTTTAATTAATTTGCGACTTGTTTGAACTATTTTGCCGGATTTGACTATATAAAAAGTAATAATCACTCTACCTCTCCTTAAGCTTTAAATAAAACCTGGAGCTCGACTCCCCTACAAAAAAACCTCTCCTTAAGCTTCCTTAGAGTACTTTTCAAGGCGCATCCAATGGTGCTACTTGAGAAAGGTATCATAAACAAACTTACTGAGCAATCTTAGAAAGTATAAAATGAGGTTTAGGGTCAAAATGTCGAGATTTTACATATCAAGATCTCGTAAGAGTAGTTTCAGGAGTTACCTTGGATCGAGAAAATCATTTTGAATTAATATATGCTATATCAAAAGTCTTCATTTTAAAGGATCGTTTGATTTTCGATAAAAACCACAAGGGGTACATCATGGCTTGGGAGCCCGATTCTCGACGATCCCAAAAAAAGGTTGAGCAAAGATGTCCTTGAGTAACTGCTGGATGAGAGCAATTGCTTGGTGCTATTCTAGCTGCGCAAGACAGTCTCTAGCGCGAGAAATTACGGTTCAAATACATCCAAATTTGTTATGTTTTGCGTATTTTTGAGCAGTAGTAGGCGATGCAATTGTGCTATATGCCCGTACGCAAATTGCTCCCATAGATACAGGTTTGGAGCACTCGAAAAAACTCAAAAGAGTCATATTTATGCAGAGCTCTCGCCGGATAATGGCGTGCTAGAACATCTACATTCGTTAGATGTTGTATTTCAATGAAATGAATAAAAGCGGTCGGCAGAGCAAGCCGCCGCCGCATAGATTGGTTCTTACCGAAGCAAAGCGAATTTAGAAAATCATCCGAAGCGCACAAGCACTCGTAGTCTCTTAATACAGCTTTGTTTGAAGAGGCGTAGTCGGTTTGCCTAGCTACTCTCCAATGTTAGACTAATGCCAGTGACTCTATTTAAACCAATCAAGCAAACTAAAAATCACTTTTTTTTTTTTTTTCCTCGGTTTCCTTCATTACAGTACACCCATCTCAACATGCCGTCAGACAGAATTCAGTTATTAGATACAAGTGTCATTTGCCAACTGAGATCGTAAGTTTCTTGCGTGTCTAGTCTTTTTGATCTGGGAAATTCATGCTTTGATTAGATCTCTTGTCATCACCTCAATAACGCAATGTATCAAGGAGCTGATTGAGAATGGTAAAATATACTGGACTATCGCCGAATTGAGATGCTCAACTTGTACTCATATTCATCTAAATAACAGCCCTCGATGCAAAGGCTAACAACATAGAAATATTCCTGGATATTGAAAAGTTTAGTTTGCAAGTAAACGACGATGGTATTGGAATACAAGATTTGAGTAGAATAGGCCAACGTCATGGTGAGTTTGAATAGCCATCATGTGTCACTCTTGCTTATTTTTACAAAAGTTACATCCAAATGCCATACATTGTCTGACATCAAGCAACTGAAAACATACGGGTATCGCGGTGAAGGTATAAATTTTAAGTGTCTTGAGTGATCCGTTATTGACTTTGTTTATTAGCATTAGCTGCTATTGTAAACGAATCATTGACCCAGATCATCACAAGACACTATCTGTCAAGCGACACATTTGAAGGGTTTTGGAGGGTATGTAATGAATCAAGATGTATCCGCTCATACGTTAACTATGTGTTGCGCAGGATGGAAAGATGGTGAGCGAAATTTGCGTTTCCAAGCATACAAGAAAGAACCGTTCAGGCACAAATGTTGTTGTTCGAGATCTGTTCTACAAGGTGCGTATGTAAAGTTCCTGATAAGAAAGAGGAGCTAACGCTCTACTTTAGTTTCCTGTGAGACGAAGACAAATAACTGATTCTTCCTCATCTTACCAACAAGTTGTCATTTCTGAATCTGTAAAGCGACTGATAACAACGTTCGCAATTTTATTTCCACATGTCAGCTTCAATCTTGTGGACAATGCTCGCAACATCAAGCTTTTAACGCTGAAAAAGACAAGCTCGACTATACAGACATTCAAGCAGATATTAAACCAAGATATTACCAAGGTAAGTTTTGGTGTACTTTTTAAGCCTCGAACCTATTTATAAATCAAGTTCGAATAGCATTTTCAAACATTATCGATGCAATTGAATAACCTCAGGACCAAAGCTTATTTTTCGCCTAAAAGCTACCCAAACAAGGTATATCACTGTCCTGATATTAGCTCGTGTTAGTTTCAAACTGATCAACGTATCCTGTGTTAGTCTCATCAATACATATGTGAGTGCTTACATCCAGGCCGTGGACAAAGTATACGAATCTAACTTCAATCCAAGACTTGAACAATTATCTAGTTCCAACAAGCAGTGATTTGTACAGATGCGTATCTGATCTATTCTCTGCGAGCCAATTCTCAGTGGCCAAGGTAAACGTCATGTTAATCTCGTCATGGAAAATTGCTTAAAAAATAAATCAAATACAGGAAGAAGAGAGGATGACAGCATTTAGTCAAAGTGGAAAAGGTATCTATTGAGTATCATGGCAAATTCATATCATCTCATGTACTGAATGTAGGCAGGTTTATCCAAAAATACCCCATTTACATCATCAAGTGTACCTGCGATACTTGGAGCAGTTACGATATCAGCGTTTATTTGGAAATGCTCGATGGATTTTATGATTATCAAAACATCAAAACTATGATAACAAGGATCACCAAACAATTTTTGGACCATTCTGGTTTTACAAAAGAGAGAGTGAATCTAGAACCGAAACCCAAAAGACTCAAGACCGGCAAGACCAAAAAGGAAGTTGTAGATCCATACGTAGCGCATTCTGCAGCGTCAAGCCATTCACATGTAAGCGAAATTGTTCAACAAGTACAACCAAAGACACAGCAACAGCAACAACCCGAATACTTGACTTGGTGGGATCCCAATAAACAGACCATGTTTTATATCGATCCAATCACAGGGAATAGGTATTTTATGGAAGGCGAGTTTGGGTTGGCGTTCATTCAACTTGTAATCCTCATAGTTTCCTATCGCCCTCTCAGTTATCAAAATCAGCAGCAGTACCACCACCTCCACCTTCATCAGATATAAGCTGCCAAACATCATCATCAAAACGCAGCAATATTGACAGATCACACTTGAAAACAACGAGCAATCAATCGAAAATCTCATTAGACCTCCTCTTCAAAAACGATACGCCATGGCCTTCGAAAAGCCCCTTTCTCGAAACATCTTATAAACTATCAAAGCAGGATTTGCAAAACGCCACTATACTTGATCAAGTCGATAAAAAATTTATAGCGCTTCAGTTGAATGGCCCCAACAAGGTACTTATCATGATAGATCAGCATGCGGCAGATGAGCGCATTAAGCTAGAAGAGATGATCTCCACTGGGATACAATCGACTACCATTTTAGAGCCAAGCATAGCCATTGACATTGATTCATCCACTGAATATCAAACGTTGAAAAACGATGATCGCATATTGAAATGTCTGAAAAAGTGGGGTATCCAGATCCAACTTGTTCAAAATGATACTGCTGCTCGTGTCACATCATTGTCGCAATCTCGGTACTTTGATATATCAGAAGAGTCTTCTCATTTTCAAAAGAGCAAAATTTTTGTAACACATATACCGCAGCTCATCACCGAGAGATGCATGGCCGACCATTCTCTTTTGAAAAGCATCATTCTCGATCATATGTATTGGGTGATGGAGCAGACGGATGAGTTTGCTATAACGAATACATGCCCTAGAGGAATTTTGGAAATATTGAAATCAAGAGCTTGTCGAAGTATAACAGTATTGCTACTTTGCGTATTGAATCACTGTTTAATGGCGTTATTCGTAGGTGCTATCATGTTTAATGACGAGTTGACTGTTGAACAGTGCTCTCAAATTGTAAAGAGATTATCGATGTGTACTTTTCCATTTCAGTGTGCTCATGGGAGGTAATATAAAACCGTCATCTCAAATCGTTCAATGTCTTACACTCTTACATCAAGACCGTCAGCTATACCAATTCATCTCGATACTTCATCGTCTAGACATAGCTCTCAACGACCAACAAACTGGAATAGATTTAAAATGTAGATTTTGACACATTAGCGTTATAATAGAGCTTTATATCTTGCCATAATTTATTCTGAAAATAAGTCAATACGGGTTAAAATGTTCACATTATCTATCCATTCATTCTTGATCTGGAAAGCTAGGAAGCTGAGAAGCACCAAAACCAATACCCCCCCCCCCCGAAAACTTGAATCTTGCGAGTATAATAATAATAATGACAAATTAGTAAAGCAATTGCTTGAATAAGCCAGATTGAGCGCATTATTACCTTGAAGACTCAAGCGTTCGCTAATGTAGTGCCGCTGTCGTCCCTTTTCTCGTTTCTGTTACAGAAAGAAGTGGTCTTGGAAATAATGGCAGTGTTAGATTGACTGGGGTTTTGGATTGGATACAGACAATGGCTGCTTGAATAAGAGAGTGGAAAGCCCAGAAACAGCGATGGCCAAAACAGATGTCTTGTCTCTACCTTGAATAGCTCTGTGATTGAGAACAGATATACAGGCAGGATTTAAGCACATGAATGCATCACGAATGGACCTCGTCTTGGTCTTACCATCCTTTGCTTTGGTGGTTTGTGTGTGATAAAAGTTGGGACCAAAGCAGTACATGCACGTCTGGGATGTCTTGTGTTCGTCGGTAGTATGCACAGTGGCGACAGATGAATGTAAGAGAGGTTTCCATTTTCCACTATACTTCATATGACCCTTCAAACGAGAGCCGATACAAAGACCACGATCTCCAATGAGCATTGCAAGTAACGTTTGGGATCGAACACTAGCACAAAAGAATCTTTCACGCGAAGCAAAACGAGAACGGAAACGTCTATCGATACGCTCTACCTTGTTAGAGAGAGTACTCTGCTTCTTTGAGTGGTAGAACGCTCGCAATGCTTGGCCATTGCTTTTGTGTGCAGCAGGATTTGACATGACATCCTCTGCCTCTTTGGCTCTCAACACACTAGATTTCGACAATTGTTGCTCAATTTCTTGAACCTTGTTTCCTTCTTCTGTTGTTTTCTTGTCTTTCAAAGTGATCTTTCGCCTCAAAAATTGGCCAGAACCAAGGTCGACATCTTCAGCGCGCATCTTGTATGATTCTGGCAGAGGCTCAAATGTTGTTGTCTGACCACGATCATTAGCAGTAGCACCAGCGTCGTCATCATCAGCATCAAGAACACCCGAAGTATCGCCACCTGGATTGTTAACGGCATCATCGCCACTAAGCGTACCAACGATAGAAGCATCACCACGAAGGATATTACCAATATGGGTATCGCCAATAGGAATATCGCTAATATAAACACCACCACTAAAATCATCACCAATAAGAACATCGCCATTGAGATCTCCATCAGAGGAGAGAGGTGTTTCCTTGGTACTCCCCTTTGCTTATACACGGATATCAAACGAAAGTGATGTAAAATGAGTTCAAGGTTTATGCAGCATTTGTACACCACATTTTCTGGTAGTAGAATTATCATCCCATTCGCTGCTGTTGCCCTTTAGATGGCGGCATAAAGCTGGCCATGCGTAAATACAGGACTTGTATAAGATTTACAGCAACTTTTTTTTTGAGAGATTGTCATTGCAAAAACACCGTTATTATAGAAAAAATTTCCAACAAATGCAAAAAAAAAAAAAAAAAAAAAAAAAAGTATTCAAGCTGAGCGACTGATCTTTCAGCTCATGATCCCTATTTAATCAGCACCGCAATCATTAAAGTTATCGTCAGAAAGACATTTGGGTCAGCCTGCAGCAGTGCTGCCCGCTGCCAAAATTGGTTCAAATTCAGAATCCTTTTTCTGCTCAAGATTGGTCACATTTTGTCTTTTTTTTCGACTTGATCGAACTATTTTACAAGATTCGACTATTTAAATTGTAATGATCAGCCCGCACTTCCTAATACATTCTTGGAGTACTTTTCAAGGCGCTTCCGATGTTGCCAAGTAAAATAGGTGTTTTGAATGGATCTTTTGAGCAATTCAGCTAAATATAAAATGAGGTTTTTAGCGAAAATGTTGAGGTTTTGCATACAAAGACCTCACAAAAGTAGTTTCAGAGGCTGCGTTGGATCGAGAGAAACAATCTGAATCAATATATACCATAACAAAAGTCTTTGTTTTTGCGGTTGAAAACGTGATCGTTTGATTTTTGATAAAAATCATGAGGTACCCCTCATGGTTTTTTTGATCCCAAAAAGTTGAGCAAAGGCGTCGGTAAGTTACTACTACTCAAGTACAATTGTTTGGCCTTATTCCGGTGGCTCAGAAAGGCCTATATGTTAAGATATGAAGGCTTCAAAGCTGTCAAATTTGATTGTGTTTTGCTTTATTGCTTTTATTTACACATTATGCATCACATTTTTGGTGACTGAATCTTCTAGAAAGGTAGTTCTGCATCCTATGCAATCTCTAATTCAAATAGAAGGCATACTAATTTCGGTAAAGTCGGTTCATGCAAATTTTGATGCGTTATGTTTTTGGTGGAGGGACCAACTCAATTCCCCCTCCCCAATGCCAGCTTCGCCCGTGGTTTTTTCAAGCCTTGTACGGCGCACAGTGCTTTAATTTTTTTATGTCTCTGTTTTTTATATATGCTTTTTTGGTAAATATATTAGAGATGATGGTGGATGGCAGATGTCAGACATTATGCTCGCAAGATTTAAGGCATGCCCAATACCCCTGAGCGGACTTGATGTGTCAAATTATTTCCCGATTTGGTAATTTAGGAAGCTGACCCTGATATGCAGATCATTTTTTGACAGAAAAAAAGTACGCAATTGTTGGTATCCAATTCTAAGATAGAAAGACTTTTTTTTGATATCTCATACATTTATTACCTCTCATAAATACACTTTACAAATTTTATCACGAAAACAGATATTTGTAGTTAAATGATTTTTATTGTTAGGATATAAGAATCGATGAATGATTGTTGAAATTTAAATATTGGTGGAAAAAGAGTCTATTATACATACAAAATGAGAGAGAAAAGAAAAAGGAGTGTTGCTCTAAGGAAAAATTACATAAAATTACAGAATCCCAATTAGTTGTTTTCCTCCATGTATTCCTCAGGTGAAGGACAAGTACACATCAAGTTACGGTCACCATAGGCATCATCAACACGAGAGACGGAAGGCCAGAACTTCTTTTCACGGAGATAGGGCATAGGGAAAGCAGCAACTTCACGAGAGTAAGGACGGTCCCACTTATCGGCCATCAAGGTCTTGATAGAGTGAGGAGCAGAGTTGAGCATGTTGTCACCCTTGGGCAATTTGCCGTCAATCACTTGTTGGATTTCACCACGGATAGCAATCATGGCATCACAGAAACGATCGAGTTCAGCCTTGCTCTCAGATTCAGTAGGTTCAATCATGAGAGTGTTGGTAACGGGCCATGACATGGTAGGACTGTGGAAACCGTAATCTTGAAGACGCTTGGCAACATCAATAGCTTCAATACCGTTATCGACGAAAGGTCTGATATCAACAATGAATTCGTGACCACACATGCCATTCTCGTTGGTATACAAGATTTCGTAGTGCTCACCGAGACGGCTGGCCATGTAGTTGGCGTTCAAGATGGCAAGCTTGGTAGATTGAGTGAGACCTTCACCACCCATCATTTTGATGTAAGCCCAAGAAATAGGCAAGATGGAGGCAGAACCGTAGGGAGCAGCAGAGACGGGGCCAATGGCGTTTTGACCACCACAAGCAATGACAGGATGACCGGGAAGATAAGGTTCAAGTTCCTTAGTACAAGCGATAGGGCCCATACCAGGTCCACCACCACCGTGAGGAATACAGAAAGTCTTGTGCAAGTTCATGTGACAGACATCAGCACCGATTTCAGCAGGCTTGGTCAAACCAATTTGAGCGTTCAAGTTGGCACCATCAAGGTAGACGAGACCACCGTTTTCATGGACAACCTTACAGGCCTCAGAGACACCAGCCTCAAACATACCGAAAGTAGAAGGATAAGTGATCATGACAGCAGCCAATTTGTCCTTATGCTTTTTGGCCTTGGCCTTCAAGTCCTCCATATCCAAATTACCGTCGTTATCACATTGGACAATGACAACATCCATACCAGACATAGCAGCGGAGGCAGGGTTGGTACCGTGAGCAGAGATGGGGATCAAGCAAACGTTACGTTGAGTATCACCACGAGCGTGGTGGTAGGCACGGATGACACGGAGACCAGCATATTCACCTTGAGCACCAGAGTTGGGTTGAAGAGAGACACCTTCGAAACCAGTGATTTCCTTCAAGTCATCAGCAAGTTCATCGAGCATGGTAACATAACCTTCAGTCTGTTCAATAGGAGCGAAAGGATGAATGTTGGAGAACTCGGGCCATGTAACAGGGATCATTTCAGAGGTGGCATTCAACTTCATGGTACAACTACCAAGAGCAATCATGGAGTGAACCAAGGAGAGATCCTTGCTTTCGAGGTGGTGGATGTAACGGAGCATCTCGGTCTCAGAGTGATAAGAGTTGAAGACAGGGTGTTGCAAATATGAAGAGGTACGCTTGAGTTGACCAGGGAAGGTAACAGACTTGGCATCAAGAACGCTAGAGAGCTCTTCAACAGTGACAGCGGGAGCACCTTCCTTTTGGAAGACGTCAATCAATTTACCGAGCTCTTGTTGAGTAACAGCTTCATCGAGGGTGACACCTACAGTGCCGTTATCGATAGCACGGAGATTGATACCAGCAGCAGAAGCCTTGTTGAGGATATGAGAAGAGTTACCAACCTTGATGGCAAGGGTATCGAAGAAGTTACCATCGTTCTCGATAGTATAACCAGCCTTGCGAACACCTTCAGCCAAGACAGCGGTCAAGTTGTTGATACGTTGAGCAATGGCCTTAACACCTTCGGGACCGTGGTAGACAGCATACATGGCAGACATGTTGGCCAAGAGAGCTTGAGCAGTACAAATGTTACTGGTAGCCTTTTCACGACGAATGTGTTGTTCTCTGGTTTGGAGAGCAAGACGGTAGGCGTGGTTTCCGTCAGCATCCTTAGAGACACCAATCAAACGACCGGGCATACGACGCTTGTGTTCATCCTTACAGGCAAAGAAGGCAGCATGAGGACCACCGAAGCCCATGGGGACACCGAAACGTTGAGAGTTACCGAGAGCCATATCAGCGCCGAATTCTCCGGGGGACTTGAGCAAAGTCAAAGCCATCAAATCAGTAGCGACAGCAACTTGACCACCAGCAGCATGAACACTAGCAGTTAATTCCTCATAATCCTTGACTGAACCGCGAGTATCAGGATACTAATAACAAGACGAATGTGAGTATCAAGTCGGTATTTCAACACACCAAAGATAGAGATAGATGAGGTATACAGAGCAGATAGAAATATAGATTCACACTATAAATGAATGCTACATTGGATCTCCTCCCTGATTTTTTACATCTTTTTCTATCACACGCCTTTCCCCACATTTATAGGAAAAAAAAATTACCTGTAATAAGACACCGCAAAGGTTCTTCTTGTTCTCAGCAAAGTTGTAGTGGAAAGTATCAGCAACGACGACCTCAATGTTGAAAGATTCAGCACGAGTCTTCAAACAAGCAATGGTTTGAGGGTGGCAGTTTTCGTCTACAACAAAGAGGTTCTTCTTGCGACGACCAGCTTGCCATGCCATCAACATGGCCTCAGCAGCAGCAGTACCTTCATCCAAGAGAGAGGCATTTGCAATAGGCATACCGGTCAAGTCAGTGATCATGGTTTGATAGTTCAAGAGAGATTCCAAACGACCTTGAGCAATTTCAGGTTGGTAAGGAGTATACTACAAGGACATTTGATTAACACCGTGTATTCTATCAGCCTGTAATAAAGGCACTTACTTGAGTATACCATGCGGGGTTCTCGAGAATGTTACGCAAAATGACATTGGGCACAATGGTATCAGTATAACCTTGACCAATGTAGGAACGGTTGATCTTGTTCTTGGAAGCAATGTCCTTGAGACGAGCGAGCAATTGACGTTCAGGAACACCCTCAGGGATGCTAAGAGGCTTGGGAGAACGAATAGCGGAAGGAATGGTCTTTGCAAGCATCTCATCAATGCTCTTAACACCGAGTTGATTCAACATGCTCTTGACTTCATTGGATTCGGAACCAAGATGACGACGAGGGAATGTATCAAGAGGAGCTAATTTAGCAAGAGCAGGCTTTGTTGTATGTTGGAAACGGACAAAAGGCTTGGTGACGATGATGGGCTGTCTGAATTGTTGAGTAACCAAGCGTTGTGTAGGTAAACGTGCAACAGCACTCTTGGATCTAATAGCAATGCGAGACAACATTTCTAAAGCAATTTGTGTCTCTTGGAGATTTGACTATAGTACAATAAGTAGAAGAAGAAGAAGAGCAAGTTTCCAGAGTGGATTTCATTATATTTATTCAATTTCGAAATTGGCGCGTGAATGCCTTTGAATAGAAGATGATTCGTATCTATTGGGGAAGCAAGGTTTGATCTACCTACCATTACAGGCAACATCATGGCCCCGAGTACATCCACTCTGTCAGAGTAGTCACCTTTTTTTTTCTTGAAAAAAAAAAACTTGCCTTTTAAAGCATTGTAGAGGTTTACATTTTGCATAGATTGTGATGTCTACCCACTCGAAATGTCTTAATTGTTACTAAAAAATGTAAAATATGATAATATAAAAGTGTTTTTTCAACATATTGGCTATTGGAAAACTACATTGATCAAGGAAAAAGACTGAAACGATCTTCAATGGGAGCTTGTATAGTTCAAATGTGCCTGAATGATGTCCATTTGAAAAGGGCTATCTTTTGTTTGTCGACTCCTTGGATGATAGTGAAAGCAGACTACCCAAATTGTTTGTATTGCAATGCTTGTGATACTCTATCGGTTGAATAATAGCAAGAATTAAATGTTTTTTTTTTCTGAGTGGATGATATTCTTCACACGGGCATCTACAGCTCATATCACCATCTACATCTACAAATGTCGGGATTTCATAGTTGAAAATTATAGAACCATTTTATATTTGTGGCAAATGTGATCAGAGCTTCACACAAACATCAAAAAGTTTGCAGGTTGTTCTTGATTTATACATGTTGCATAATATAAAACCTTCAAGTATACGTACATATTAAAATTTCGGATAAACATGCCTGTGAATCTGGACCACATGGCTTTGCTGTTTGCTACATGTAGATATACGCACTGACATTACTCCAATGTCCATCAATGGACACTATATAGTTTTTATTTTAGCATTGCCCATGCGTCAATAACGGTGTTGACAAGATATTTGTTCCTTAGAACCAAGCATTTCCTCAATACGAACATCATCTAATATTTGACAGAAATAGTAAATATTATATCAACATTGTCTAGATGATTGAAGCTGCCTCAAATATACATTTTTTATTCCGGATATATTGATAAGATGCGTATATGTATTTTCGTTGTATTCGACCTATATCATGATGATAAGCTGGCTTACTATCAACCCTGATTGGCATAAATTTATCCAGAAAATCCAAAGAATAGCCCAAGAACATAGTGTGAGATCTTGATGCGACATATCATATCACAGCGAAGATGAAGTTTGTATTACTTCCAACTTCATGAGAAGCCATGGACTTCATAAAATTGTCCTTTTTTTTTTGGCTGTGCTGACCGGAGAAGGCCGAATGCATTAGCACTTGATTATGATCATTGATTTGAAAAAGCAAATTTAGAGTAAAATAGCAGATGCTGACCTTGACAATTCCTGGAGTCTTCGAGTCTCACAATTGTCCTGTCTGCTTGTCTCCCAATGAAACTGCCAGCCACCTGCTCTTTGACTGTCCATCCAAAGAAAAGGTATGGCTAGGCGTCATTTTTGAATTCCTATGGCCCACGACGTCCATCACTGACATCAAAGAGGCTCTTCTGTCCCTGGACTTTTCGGATATCTGGTACTCCCAAGTCAAAGGCATCCATCCATACAGAACCCTACTTATCACCCTGTCTCAAACATGGCTAGCCCATATGCGCTTTGTTTTTGACAACATCATCCTTGTCCCTGAGGCGATTCTGGTGAATGTCCGCTCCACTGTTCACCAGACAGTGGATGAGGATCAAATCCATTCCCTCTTGTAGTTTTGATAGTTTCGATAGTTCTGTTTAGTTTAGTTTAGTTTAGTTTAGTTAATATTTTACCTTCTTTTTATTATCTCTTTTTTAATTGCACCCGCCTCTTCACTTCGACCCAGTACTCCTAGTGTACGCGGCTCAATCAATAAACAAAATTTTTTAAAAAAAAGACCTTGACAATTCAGAAAAGAGATTAGCTTTGCCATGTATGCTTCTTGGAATTTCTTGACAATGAATAACGATCAGATGTAGGAAAACAACCACAAACAAGGTATGATACATTATCTGTAAAGTCTAATCTTATTGTGAATATGTCTTGGTGTTGAAGGAGAAAGCTAGTAGCTTTGACAGCAGGATTCTATTGACGCGCATATTCTTCGTTTGCTGATTCAAGCTTGGAGGTAGTGTTGCCAGCAAAGAAATCTGTATCTTCAGATACCAGGATCAAATCAATATCTCTGCCGAAGGCTTAGCAGTTCCTTTTAAACTTGTTAAAGGTTATAAGCTCTTTCCCTGTAGTGCAGACGTGTTCACGACTGTAATTTTGAAATTAACCTCATTTTAGCCTGTCAAATTTGTAAAAGTTATGTACTCGATAAGGGTATTAGGAGACTTGCGCAAGACAATGTCCATAATAGAACCAAAATATTTACAAAGCAATTACTTCGACAGTAAACGAAGAGTCGTGTAGATCAAAAGATTTCCCAATGATGGCAATTGGAAAGAACCAATGCTTGTAAGCCTGCAGCTTCGATCGTACTCAATTGTCTATTACTCAACTAATAGTAAAAACGTTACCATCGGTAACCTATTCAAAACGCAAGAATCAAAACTTACAAGTATGATACATACTTCAAGGTTTGCCTTGTTGATTGATTCATGCGTCTTGTGGCCTATGGTTTCATGAAGAAAAAAATCGCCTTCAGCTTTGTGTACTTGTACTCAAGTCGAGCGATATAATCTCATCGTCTACACATTAGTATCAATGATTGCCTTAAGGTGGATATTATACCTCGAGTAGTATTTCTTCAAGTTTAATGATTGAATCATAATACATCTACGGAGATTCACAAACATTGATATGCTATGTCGCGTTGTAGCTTATCAATCCCGTGCAGAAATCCTCGTGTATGAAGAGCATTTATTAATTTGTTGATTTTGAATAGATCATGAGATTTATGCGCATATTCACCTTTTACACAATAATGGCTGCATCACCTCAAAACCGTCTGGTGGGCCACATGTTCCTGAAAGTGTTAATTATTATGGAAAGCGAGGTGAGCAGAGCTTTGTATATTGATTGTGGCACATACTCTTGAAAACAGGATTTCAGGTCAGAGAATATTCAGTAGCTTATTGGCATCTGTCTAGCAAAATAGAGCTCCTGCTAAACTAATTGTTCTTGTCCTTCATGAACCTAATAGACAAAACGACACTCTTGAATGAAACCTCGACTCCAAGGGCTTGCTCTTCTTGCGTTTGTTCTTCAAGTAAAGAGTGAAAGTTCAATTTGTGCAATAGCGAGATCTTCATCAGACGCTTTGTCCTACAGTGCATGGATGAGACGAAAGATGGAACGAAGGAACATATGGAGGTTTGTGCTTGCTTCTCAAAATTCCTATTGTCTTTAGAGTTTTGTGCAAACGGCGCTGGAGAATCTTCATGCTGCTTGGTCAAAGGTTCTATTGGTTGGTTTATAGGCTCACAGTTTGAGATCAAAGGATACTTTGTGATGATAGGCATTTTCAAGCTCAATTGAATCCATAATTTATACGGATAATAAATTCATCCTCAAAACTGTTAGAGTGCATCGATGAACCAAACATGTTCAAGGAAAAACTTTTTGCACAGTGTATGATAGCACTGCAGTTGCACTGTACCCATTTGTTCATGCACCAAATCATTCATGTTGCAAGTTTGGATTCTCTATCGTTTTTAGGAGGAGCTTTACTTTTTTTTTTCTTTTTTTTTTTTTTTTTTTTTTTTTTAAGATCATGTTTACTTGCTTCAACTCGAATGAGTAGAATGACCCAAATAATCGGGTCTTGAGATATTCTTTGCCATGTTAGCAAAACAAATGAATAGCGGTGGTTATATCGTCTTACTAAACAATATAAGTAAGTGCAACGCTTCCAGAAGTTTTAGAAATGCTGATTGCGATCGATTCATTAGTAAAACATGTGGAAAAAAATATTTACTAAACAGGTCTCCACACAACGTGGGTTTCTATTTTGAGTGCTCCAAGCTATATAATAGTATCAAGCCGATGTAAATCTTTTACTCAGTACCATGAAGACTGATATTGAGCTCTTTAAGAGAGTGAAAAAGAGTAGAATTGTTACTGTAAAATGCGTAAAAAGGAAAAATCGAAATAGATAAACTGCATATGATTCGTGCATTCAAAAAAAGGTTAATCTGAATCTTTTTCTTTAGTTTACTATTAAGGTACAAAGTCGAGAAATGAAATTGAAAGTCTGATGTACTACAATGGAACTCTTGTATCCAAAGTGTATTGGTTTTGTTACACGATTAGCGTTGTACATCTTAGCTATGATATAAAAGATTTTTCTCTCAAATGAAAGGTCTTCCTTTTTCATTTCTTCCTTTTTACCAATTCTACTTTTGATAATTATGGGTGTTAAATTATCGACTTCAATATCCAAAAAGAAGAAACGTATTACAAATTCATTACAAACACCCAAAAAAACATACAACACAAATAGCAGCGATATTCCTAGCATAAAGTCAGCATCGACCAGCCCACCTTACAATGAGAAGCATGCAGTTTCGAGCATAAACTCAACCACAGACAGCATGTTCATGAGTGGAAGAACATTTCATCATGTTGCGAATTCAGCATATTGGTTTCCTAATGACGACGAAGAGATGGATAGACTGATTGGTGTAAAGTATCTGCTTTGTCATGCTCAATCAGATAACCCAATTAACATTGATCCCATCACATTAGCAACACTTTGCATTGAAAACGCTCTTTGGAGGGTACTGTTACTGTGTTTTCGTGTGAATCAGCTGCTAATTCCCGGTAAATAGAAATATATCCAACATTATTCTCAAGGATATAGATATGGAAAAGGGCGATACAGTAGTTCTAGATTTAGGTTGCGGACCTGGTACCTGGCTGATGGTAAAAGCGACATGTATGCAATAAAATGATCGAGCCATGTATACTGATAGAGTCATTTTAGGATGTTGCTACAGAGTACCCATCAAGTCAGTTTATCGGTGTGGACATGTGTGACATATTTCCAAACAACATTCGACCACCAAATGTTAGCTTTCAAATAGGCAATGCCCTAGAGAGATTACCATTTTCAGACCACACTTTTGATTTTGTAAATATACGACTATTTATCATTGCCTTGAAAGGCGAAGAATGGCCCGTGGTGATTGAAGAAGCCTACCGGATACTGAAACCTGGAGGATATCTTCAGATAGTCGAATGTGGAATGCTTGTATGTACCTGTTTATATGATATAATATCGTATGTTAATCCACCATTGGGAACACAGGAAAGAGGAAATGATTTCGTGAAATATGCGGGAAAGATTTGTATGTATTTCGAAAAGTTTGATCATCACTCGTATTGTAAATGCTAAGAGCAACATTTTATACAGTCAAGGATGTCATTGAAAGCAGAGGCCAAGAACCTTACATTGCGTTCAAATTGCAATCTTTATTAAAAAACCAACAGTTTCGGATCCATCACTATGAAAATAAGGATGTATATTTAGGTGAGGTTTTCCGCCTATGAATAGCTTGGATCAATTTTCTCATACACCTTCAAAATTAGGGAAATCGGATGCACTCAGCAAAGAGTTTCTTTGGGATGCTTGTAATATATTCAAAAGCGCTCAGGCAGTCTTACAAGACCCATTAGGTTGTAATGCTGATAATTATCCTCAGTTTCTTAATAGACTATACAAAGAGCTACAAAAGCAACCAGATGCAATATGGTCCTTTTCAATTTGTATTGGCCAGAAATAAAGTTTTGTGGAGGGAAATTTTCATATGCCAAATCAAAGTGTAAAACCGAACTTTTAGTGGCATTTCATTTTCGAAGACCTTGCAAAGAAAAATGATCTGATAAGTATGAATGTGCATAGAGAGATGTTCTGAGATGCTTAAATGCTGTAATAGTCAGATATCTAATTGATGAGTCAAAAATCAATTTCCTGCTGGATATAGTTGATTGCTTCCCAATGCTAATCTCGACTTAAGATTGCCTGTCGTGGCTTGATATGCATGAAGATAACATATCGTATTACTCAAACAGGATATCAATGGGAAGTTGCTGTTTGTAATGCTTAGCTGTCAGAAAAGCAACGTATTACGCATCAGCTAGCGATTGTACACAAAAATTTTACTTTTTAACCAACCTTTGTCATGTGAAAGCCCTTTTTAAACAATCTTTGACTAAGGATTTGGGGATTTTTTTTTTTTTTTTTTTTTTGGATGTTGCACGTCTGAATCAATGGTAACAATCCATATACGGCTAAACAGCATACTGGCGTTTTCTGTATTCCTGAAATGTTTGCAAAATGCAGCGAATTTTGGATACAATATATGGCTTTTTTTCGCGTTTGAGGCGGTTTTAGAGTGCCAGAATAGCGCCAGACAGTTGCTTTCATCCAACACTTCTTGATACGTTTGCTCAACTTTTTGGGCCAAAAAAAAAAGATGGACAAAAATCGACCAAAAAGCATGAGGCACCTCTCATGGTTTTGATCAAAAATCAAACGATCGCGATTTTGACCTCGAAAATGAAGACTTTTGCTATGATATACATTAAGTCAAAACGCTTCTATCGATCCAAGGCAGCCTCTGAAACTTCTTTTGCTAGACTTTCATATGCAAAAACTCGACATTTTCGGCCAAATCGTTATTTTATATTTTAAGAAATTGCTCAATGAGCTTCTTTAAAATATCTGTTGTATTTAGTACCATTAGATGTGCTTTCAAAAGTACTCCAGAAAGGCATTAGAAACCATAGGCTGATTATCACATTTTACATGGTCGAATTTTGACCAGAATTTGTCCAATCTGAAAGCTTCAGAAAAAGCGGAGCTTTAAATAATCATTGCTGCTGCTACCGCTCCTCCAGTGCTAATTAATGCATAATAATAACAGGGCCTTGTTTTGCGACTTGATTGAACTATATGCACAATTCGACTATGTATGTCGTGCGACTTATACTTTCTCTTACATTACTTTACAACGCGTTTTCAGCGGTGCTATTGAAAAGATATTATTTGAAAAAAACTTATTGAAAATATGAAAAAACTACACTATTTTGGCAAAAATGTCAGAAGTTTGCATATCAAGGTCTCCCAAGTAATGTTTTAGCTTTTGTTTTCTCTTCACCCTCTCCCCATCAATTTGAATTCGTACTAAAGTATAGTATCATCAATCTTTCTAAATGGTTCTAACGCAAGCAGGCTTCAAAAAATATTTGTTTACGTCTTCCTAATATCTTCTGCAGTGCACAGCAAACTTATGTTTAGGAAGAGCTTCCTGTGATGTCTATCAAGAAGTTTTACATGCACTCTAAGACCAGAGAAAATGGAGAAGAGAAGTCAAGTCGTGCTGCTGAGTATATCCATAGCCAAGATAGTGTACCGGAACCATAAGAAAGCATCCAAGCCAGAAGAAATCGTCCAAACAAAGAGGAACTATTTCTTCTTTTGATTGCAATTTGTAGCATTCATTGAAGTTCGTATTACATCCTTCCTCGTGACAGGCTTGAAGCAACGCATTTTAAAGAAGTATATTGAAGATAACTTCCAAGTAACAATTTTAGAAATCGACATCAACAAGAGTAATCACATCTAACCAACATTTTTAGACTCTCATCGTAACAAGCATGAGTGATTATCGGCAAACAAGTCAGAGATCAATGAAACATCAACGCTCAAGAGAAAATCAGAGCGTATCTCTCCCCCTAAAGAGGCTTTAAAGTTCTGTCTGATAGAGCCTTAAAGATTGCAAACTCGCCTCTACATCAGTAGCTCATTGCCAAGCATCTACCAGGTAAGAAACAGGAAAAGCTAAAACATGCTATAGGATTAGCAACGCCAATGTAATCGATTTCTTTAGCGAGGGGATTCTGGTCAGAGTAAAATGATTAAACGGAAAAAAACACAGAACATGCCGTTATCAATCGAGCTTTTGAAACTCAAGAGCCAGCGAGAATCGCCCACCGAGCAAGTTTTTAATGACGAGATAAAAAATAGTATAGATGTCTCAAATTACCGTTGAATTGTAATTATAACGATTAAATTATGCATTATTTTGAAATAAAGATGTATGCAATTGTGATCTGTAATGAGGAATTAGCGGCACTGATGTTTTGGGAATGAGAGTAGCTTAAGCATCAAAATATATAAAATAGCATGATTAAAAATAGTGCTATTACTGCCACCTACTTTCTATACGCTTCAAAAGCATCTATTACTGTATTGCCTTCATGATTACAAGGGCATGAGTTTGCCAGCCGGCCCAACCAGCCAAAATTAATTAAACCCCAGAATTATATTCTGTTCCAGATTGGCCAAATCTTGACGATTTTCGACTCGATCAAATTATTTCAGCAGATTCGACTATATAAACTGTGTTAATCATCCGATGCTTCCTAATACATTCCTGGCGTACTTTTCAATGCTCATCCAATGGTACCAAGTAACATAGATGTTTTTAATGAACTTATTGAGTAATTTACAAGAATACGAAAAGAGGTTTCTGGCCAAAACGTCGAAATTTTACATATCAAAGTCCCACAAAGATGATTTCAGCGGTTACGTTGGATCGATAGAAACATTTTGATTCAAGATATACCATAGTAAAAGTCTTTGTTATCAAGGTGAAAAGCGCGATCGTTTAATTTTCAATGAAAACCATGAGGTACTCCTCGTGCTTTTTAGTCGAATTTTGGCCATGTTTTTTTTGATCCCTAAAAAGTTGAGCAAACGTATCAAGAAGTAAGCGTTGGATGAAAGCAACTGTCTGGCGCTCTTCTGGCACTCTAAAACGGCCTTGAACGCGAGAAAAAATAGCTCAAATGCGCCCATATTTTGCTGTATTAGACACACTCTTGATTAATAAGGGATAATATCTGTATGATACTTGCCCGTATCTGTAGTAACTACGTGTATATGGATGTAAAGCATCACATAAGAATCAGATCCACAGATAATATGAAGGGTTTTCATGTGCAAGTAGAGGGTCAACATGAACGTAGTAGTATTATGATAAGATACGCAAGGGCAATTGGTAGCGCGAGATGCCGCCGCGCAGGTTGGTTTTCACCGAAGCGAAACAAAGGTAGAGAACCATCCGAAGCATAAACACTCGTATGATTAGTGATTATATATCAATCAACAACCAGGGTTCTTCTAACATTTTAGCTATATTAATGTTGCGATATTAGCTAAAGGCCCGCGGTAGCGCGAGCTGTTTGAACGTAGGTTGGTTTCCTGACCTACGTTTCGCTTCGGTGGAAACCTCCCAAAGTGTCGAAAGGCTCGTATTGAATAAATGTCTGAAAGGTGCCTTTCATTTGATGGTAATTCATGCAGCTTGGCTTGATCTTTCTTGACATTTACTGTGGTGACAATAGGAGATCATTTGAAAATACCAACATTTGACAAGTTGTTCGCTTCCATTGATCTGAAATAATGAAGCTCTGACATCTCGCCAGAGAAATTACATGCCCAGGTGCGTGCCCCAGGGTCTTCTCCCTTATTTACAATTTATGCCACATACAAACATTTTTCCCCAGGTTTTAAATACACTCATAGGGGTCTTGATTGGCTGGATACCAAAGGCTCAAATTTTATTTCACATGAACTCTCAAAACGCAAGTTTACTTTTTTTTTTTCTTCACGCTTTTTTTTTTTTTTTTTTTTTTTCATTACATACTTAAAACTTTCATGTTTAAACTAAATCCTCAGCTATACGAAAAGATCAAGCATTTTGCAAAGTTTCCTCAAACTGGAGTCTCTTTGAGACAAATGGTCATGTTTGGTAAGGCTACAGAAAATCACATGTTGCAAAAATTCAACATTCATGTATATTTGTATCATATACACAAAAGGCCAAAAGCCTTCACCAGCTACATTCTTCAAAGCAAGCCAATTTTTACATGGTAAGGGGCCCGAACATTCAATATATACACCTGTTTTGACACAAAGCCAATTTGACATAGAGGAACTACCTATTCGTTTGGCCCATCGTGTGAAAGAATTAGACGAGCTACCTCGAAGTCTAGGCGATATGCCATCCATCATCAAAGTGAAGAACTGGTATGCACAATCATTTCAGGTAGCATTCAAATCTCTTTTTACAGTACTGTATGTTGAATGATTTCATATTGTCTAGGAATTAATAGAACTACCACCGCCAGAGATCACCTCAGAATTGAAAGCCTCCTTTCGAGATGCAGCCAAAAATTCCCAATCGTTACCTCAAAGTTCACCCAACCTCGCTATTCCACAGTCGAAACCAACCGGAAAATACTATCCGACAATAGGACATCGATACTACAACAATTTTGAAAACATCAAGTGCACACCTCCTATACTGTCGTACACGGATTCATTCGTGAAAGCCATCGAGAATATTAAACGAAGACACGATCCAGTAGTGACGACCATGGCACAGGGTATCATGGAATACAAACAGCATCGAAAAACGAGTATGATCGATGCAGACGTTCAGCAGTTTCTGGATCGTTTCTACATGTCCAGAATTGGTATTCGAATGTTGATAGGTCAGCATTCAGCACTGTATCGCGGCCCATTTATGCGAAATTATGTAGGTGTCATATGCACCAGGACAAACATTAAAGACATTGCTCAAGATGCCATTGCCAATGCCCGATTCATTTGTGAGGATCATTACGGACTGTTTAGAGCCCCGGAGGTAAAGATGTTTTGTCCTGGCGACATTGAATTCATGTATGTGCCATCGCATTTGAACCATATGGTGTTTGAGTTGCTCAAAAACTCGTTGCGTGCTGTGGTTGAGAGATTTGGTCCTGATTACGAGGATGAATACCCACCTATCAAGCTAGTTATTGCACATGGAAAAGAGGTAAAAAAAAAAAAAAAAAGGTTCATGCGTATGATTTTTGCACCATGTATTCAGCTTGTCATGGTAGGATATTACTATAAAAATCTCAGATGAAGGTGGTGGATTGCCTCGTTCTGGTATTCCAGTTGTTTGGACATACATGGTACACAAGATGATGACTGCGGGCGAAATATGCATGAAAACTAAACAGCTTCAAACTAGTACACAACAGCACAAGCTCAAGAATTGGAACCAGAGTTTAACAAGTCAGAGTTCAAAGCACCCATGGCAGGCTTCGGTTATGGATTGCCCATTTCAAGACTGGCAAGTACTAGTTTCTTAAATTATGCATGAACAGACCAAAACTAACTGGATGTGTAGTATGCGAGATACTTTGGTGGTGATTTGAAGTTGATATCAATGGAAGGGTAAATATTACAAGGTATTACAGACATATGCCAGAGATGATCTAAACCGCACTTTTACTTGATTTAGGTATGGTACTGATGCATATCTCCATTTGAACCGCCTTTCAAATAGTGACGAACCACTCATCATGTAAACATTTGTGAAAAAGACCTGACAAAAATAAGTCGAAGCTATTATGCAAATATCTATACCAACAGCAGAATCGAGTCAGGACACTTTCTTTGGTGCACTAGTATCATAATTTATAGCGTTTGCTTCTCAAAAGTTAATAATAAAGAAAGAGTACGTCTTGTATTGATTTTTAATCTGCATCATCATCCATGTCAAATATTCTTCCGTGTACACCGTTTTGCACTAAATCCGTTCCCTCGGAAAACCAACCATGCAATCAAGATCATCGTGAACATGTACAACTGTGGCCAGCAAGCTCTCAGTGTTTATTGTGAGGTACGTCCATGATCTGAACTGTGATTATTCGAGATAGCATCAGCTCTGAAAGGCAATGCTATATAATATACCCACCATCCAATATAATCAAGCTGTTATTTGTTACAATCAGGGGTGCTCAACATCCAGAACTAAGACTACTACGGGAAGCGGTATTTACTAGTTCCACCTGTATGAACGTCTATATACAGTTGCAACAACCATGGCCATATAATTTGGGAATAATGAATCAATTCATCCAGATCTACAAAGGTTTTCCCTACCCTGTCGAAGCGTAATCAAAACCTAAATGGCATTTAAAACTCGTAAAGAAAAAGAAGCGCATCTAACAGCGAGGGTCCCAGGCTAGATTATCAGTGATGATACTCTGATGGCTTGATCATGGTTAAGCATCTTGATGAAACTGTTTCATCTAGCTGATGGCAACGATTGCAAATCCCCAACTGTTGTTTTGTACTGCTCTGCAGTAAATGAGAGGAGGGAAATCACACGTACATCAACAGCTTGTCCAGAAGAACGAAAAGTGTATGTTTTGGCATCATGGATACTTGATTCAGACAGATAACTCTAATTGTCTCAATTCTTCCCAGAGTGTGTTATTATTACCAGTGGACAATGTGAAATGTATACACAACACCATCGGTTTTAGATTAAACAAATCAGCACATATCCATCGAATGTTTGTGCAACGGCGTTATTCATAAAAAAAAACAAATATACATCATGTAATACAATGATTTAATTCAATGTAATGGCATGCTAAAAGCGAACAAGCTCAGTTGTACCTACTGCTATTTGCGATATAGGACATCTGAGGGAAAGGACTGAGTTGTGATCTGATGCTGTTTCTATCTCTCAACAAAAGTGAACCGGTCATTTAAATTAGGGTCAATGTAATGGTAAAATACATTGTGGTTACACTATTGTATCATGTATCCGCGGGATCTTCCCTCCATTGTGATTATTAAGAAAAAGAAGGGTTACTTTTCCGTTAGAGACGATTACAAAAATCTATGAAAAAAGAAAAAAACAAACAAGCCAAAACGTGGTTATGCAGTTACACTGTTATGTTGTGTCGATTTGGATATTGCTTCGTATTCCTAAGCAACACGCGCGCTGTGAAATTTGTTTGCATGAATCTTACGTTGAAATCTTTTGTTGGATGATCTGCACCATTACCATTGCCATGCGGAAAAAGATCTATCTAAAATCTAAAATATATATACTGGAAAACTATGAAAAAAAAATAGACAAGCCAATCATATCCTTTTAAAATCTAATAGTATTAAAAGCCAGAACAAACGAGGGCATAACCACCGGCGAAGCCGGCAATGGGGAGGGGGTTTGGGGGAGGGGGCTTAGCCCCTCCACCAAGAACATCAAGCATCACAATTTGCATAAAGTGTATGAAATATCTTTTTGTTAAAATCAAATCGAATTATCATGCCTCCTGTTCAAGCTAGAAACTGTGTAACCTGTAGAGTTGCTCTACCTGAAGATTACAATTTTCGAAAATGTGATTCATGTCGAGTAAATAGAAAAGAAATGGAAAACAAACATTCGAACGAACCTTATATATATATTTTTGTTTCAGGAACGTGCCCGAAACTACGCCAGACAGAGAGCTGCATTAAGGCCACCTAGAGCACCTAGAGCACCTGCCGCTTTCATATCAGAACTTGGAAGAATGCAACCTCATTATCTGGGAAGAATGGACGTTGTATGTGATGGTTGTGGCGCATTGCATTGGGACGCAGCAAGAACTACCGGTCAATCCAGAAGCAACAATCTCTTCTACTCTTGCTGTAAAAAAGGAAAGGCCATATTGCCCTTATTGCAAGATCCGCCTGAGCCCTTGAATAGCTTAATCAACGGAAGCCATCCACGCTCATCCCATTTCTTGAAGCATATAAGGCAATGCAATACTTTGTTTGCTTTTACTTCATTCGGTACCACTGCTACGCCAGCAGGGGCCCAGAGAGAAGGAGAGGAGGAGAGAAGAGGTGGAGTTACTCCAGTAAGTGCCCATGGTGAATTGTATCACATGCAAGCACCCTTGAATTTTGGTAATGCTCCAAAGTACAATCAACTGTACATTTACGATCCCGAGTATGCTGCTGCATGTCGATCTGCCAACCCCAGAAATCAGCATTTAGATGATTCAATCATTGAAGCATTAAGTGAAATGATTGATGACCCGGTTCGTTGTGGTAACCCATTTGTACGTATCTACAAGCATGCCCACGAAATTCTGAGTGCAGAGGAAGAACGACAAGCCCAAGATCATGTCAGCGAGGATGCGTATATTCGACTCAATCCTCAAATGAGACTGGAATTGGTTGTCGGTGAAGATAGGCGTACTCAGAACTTGCCAACTGTCAACGAGATTGCAGCTATTATCCCCAATGAATATGCTGATTCAAGTTTCAGAGACATCCTGATTACCTATCGAAATAGCACCTCCACCAGTTCCAGAGGACTCTTTAGAAGGATCAACGAGACGCATGCTGCCTACATGCCTCTCCATTACGTTTTGCTTTTTCCCAGAGGTGAATATGGGTGGCATTGGGGCCTTCGTTTGCAATTGCCTGCTTCAACTGTTGATGCCATGGATGTTGACAATGAAGAAGCGCAAGAAGAGGGACAACGTCGAGCAACAGGCAGGCTTACCCAGCGTGCCTTCTATAGATTTAGATTGCATGTCAGGAATGGTGAATCCAAAATCCTGTTCCTCTCGAGACGTCTATTCCAGCAATACCTGATCGATGCTTGGGCTGTTTGTGAACAAACCAAGTTAAACTGGATCAAGGCTAATCAAACGACTCTCCGTGCTGATGTCTACAAAGGTCTTGCTGATGCTATCAGTGCTTCTGATACAGATCTTGAAACGGTGGGTAGAACGTTTATTTTGCCAAGCAGTTTCACTGGTGGTCCCCGGTTTATGGCAGAGCTGTACCAAAACGCAATGGCTATTTCTAGATTCTTTGGTAAGCCAACGTTATTCATAACGTTTACTGCAAACCCAAACTGGAGGGAGATCCAAGATGAGTTGTTGCCTGGCCAAAGTGCTGCTGATCGCCCAGATTTGGTTGCTGAAGTATTCAACCGGAAGCACGACGCATTACTCAAAGACCTGAAGCAAAAGAAAATCTTTGGTGCTTATAAAGGGATTGTGAGAACAATCGAATACCAGAAGCGCGGCCTCCCGCATAGTCATATGCTGTTGTTCTTGGATAACCAAAATGACCGGTTTGATACGGCAGAGAGGATCGACCAGATTATTTCCACAGAAATTCCAGACGTTCATCAAGACCCTGAACTACATGCAATTGTCACCCGCAACATGATGCACGGTCCATGTGGTGGTTATAACAAGAAATCTCCCTGTATGGTGAAGGATGCTTTCGGTAACGACGTCTGCTCAAAAAAGTTCCCAAAGCCTTATCAGCCAGCAACCATAGTTCCTGATGATGGGTATCCACTCTATCGTAGAAGAATGGATGGCCGCTCTCATGTAATACGCATCAAAGATGATCAGAACGTGTACCACGACTTTCATATGACAAATGAATGGGTGGTAGCGTATAATCCATTCCTATCAAAGAGATACAACGCTCATATCAACGTGGAAGTATGCGCCAGTGTCCAGGCTATCAAATACATCAACAAGTATATATACAAAGGTTCTGATCAGACTACTCTGAAAACCACGACTACCGCGACAACAACCGCAACAGCTGGTACTGCAGCAATGTATCAGAATGATGAATGTGCCAAATATCTGAATGGCCGTTATATCAGCCCGTGTGAAGCCGTCTGGAGGTTGAAAGAGTTCCCAATGCATGAGGAAAGCCCACCTGTCACTACACTTGCTATTCATCTTGAAAATGAGCAGCCTGTATATTTTGATCCTTCCTGGCCTCAATCAAGAATTGATAATGTCCTGAGAGAGAGTCATACCACGCTCATGGGTTACTTTCATTATAATGCCGTGAATCAAAACAAACCTGGTTTTCAACCATTGCTTTACCAGCAATTCCCAGAGCATATGACTTGGAAAGAAAAGAAGCCAAAAAGGTGGGAAGCAAGACGAACCGATACCATGTCTATCGGCCGCATGTACTACTGTAGCCCTGCTGCCGGCGAGAGGTATTATCTGCGTCTGCTGCTCACAGTTGTCAGAGGAGCCACGTCGTTTTCTCATCTGAGAACTGTCAATAATCACGAGTATGCCACCTTTCGTGAGGCCTGTATGATGCTGCATTTGATCGAAGATGATGGAGAATGGACCAGAGCCTTTGAAGAAGCTGCTACCTTTGCCTCTGGCTACGCAATGCGTTCAATGTTTGTCTCTGCGCTCATGTTCAACTCATTGGTATCGCCTGTTCAGATTTGGGATCAATTCTGTGAAAGTTTCTGTGATGACCTTGAGCATGCAATCGTGCAAAAAGGGTATTCGCTGCTGCTCAGCGTGCAACCTGACGCTGAATTTTACCATGGAACGCGAAGTCTTGATTATGGCTTATATCTGTTGCAAACATCTCTTGGTGCACAAGACAGATCTCTAGGTCAGTTCAATTTGCCTTTGCCTCTCTTCAACTGGAATGGCTTGATAAGCAGAATGACTGGCATACAGCGCAATTCATTGATACTCAATGAAATGTCATATCTCCAAGATCAAGAAGCCTTTTCGTATCAGCAAAAGTATGCTCAAATGAACGCTACCCAGAAGCACATATTTGAGACCATCACCTCCTCCATCAACAGCAACGCCAACAGCTCACATTTCTTTTTGCAAGGTCCAGCTGGCACTGGCAAAACCTTCATTTACAATACTCTTTGTCACTTTTATAGAAGCCAAGGAAAAATTGTTCTCTGTGTTGCCTCCTCTGGCATTGCTGCTTTGCTACTTCCTGGTGGGCGTACGTCACACTCTCGCTTTGCCATTCCACTCAACATCCACGAGCAGTCTGTGTGTGCGATCAAGAAGAACGATGACCTTGCTGATCTCATTCGAGAGACAGCATTGATAATTTGGGATGAAGTGCCAATGCAGCATCGATATTGCTTTGAAGCTTTTGATCGAACACTTCGTGATATTTGTAGTCGTGGTGATGAAGTTACCTTTGGTGGTATTCCTGTTGTTCTTGGCGGTGATTTTGCTCAAATTCCACCTGTTGTTAGGCAAGGTGGCCGTCCTGAAATCGTCAATGCCTCACTGAAATCGTCAAGATTATGGCCCAAATTACAAAAGCTGAGCCTGACTGAGAATATGAGACTTGCCAACTCCAATGACACAGATAGGCAATTTGCAGATTGGATAGGAAAAATGTCGTATGAACCATCCATGATTGGCAGCATTGCTTTGCCCTCTTTTTTGAGGCAGATGACTGATCTTGATCAGTTCATTGAAGATATCTATCCTCAGCATGTTCTGCAGTGTCCTCTGCAAAATAGTGATTTCTTCAAGGAAAGAGCTATTCTCTGTTCAAAGAACGTCAACGTTGATGCTATTAACAGCAAGGTGATGGAGAACGTGATTGGGGAAAAGGTCACTTTGTACTCTGCTGACACGGTGCAATCTGATCTGACCAACACTGAGACCCAAGCCTATCCCTCAGAGTATTTGCAAACCCTTTCGCCTTCAGGGCTGCCGCCAGCAGTTTTGGAGTTGAAAGTAGGTCTTCCTGTAATGCTCTTGAGAAACCTCAACCCTGAAAGAGGTTTGTGCAATGGTACAAGGCTGATCATTCAGCAAATTGGACAGTATGTCCTCAAGGTGAAAATCCTCGGAGGGTCAGGTGCAGTCGAGTTGATTCCTCGCTTTACTTTGTCTACATTGCCTGGCACATTGCCATTCATATTGACCAGGAAGCAATTCCCGGTTAAAGTATCTTTCGCAATGACCATCAACAAGTCGCAGGGTCAATCTCTCAGGAAAGTTGCCGTGGACCTCAGGAGTCCCGTATTTACTCATGGTCAACTCTATGTTGCCATGTCAAGAGCAACATCTGCCAATGGCATGACCATTTTATTACCCGAAAATATGAAACACACAGAAAATGTAGTGTATCCTGAAGTTCTATTTTCAGATACTACCTAATATAACTACTCTATATATTTTTTTTTACCCTTTATAACTATTGATTTAATCAGTTTTATTGTAATCGGCCAAAGCCCGCAGGGCGACGCCGTCATCGAGCGTAGCGAGATAGATCGGCTAGTACTGTATATACCAGGGAAGAGTCGAATAATTCCAATCATTCTAAAGCCATGCTGGATGTATTACAAGATAACATCATGGCTCATCTCTTTTCCACCCCCCCCCCCTCTCCCTCCCTCTCCGTCCTCCTTTCCCAGGCCCAGTGGGAATTTGCAATAGAATGCCAAATCCCGGGGTAAGTGCTAAATGCTGTACAGTGCTACATGACGGGAAGAATTGAGTATGGCTGAAATCCTTCAGAAATTAACTGTAGAACCTTAATGTACTATTGTGGACCCTTTGTCAGACCGGGAAATACCAAGTTCCTCATACAAACCAATTCTCTCTTACTCTCACTCTCACCCCGAGAATTTCAACTTACCCAACCATGATGTACGCAGCCAATACATCATTGTTGTCCACCGGTTGGTGTTCGCTTCATATATCAATATAATTAAAGACTTGTAACTTGTAGTTATACAAATATAGTTGCTGTATATTTCGAAAAAAAAAAATAAGTATAAATACCTCCTGACTTGCTCAGAATTACCCACTTCTTTATACAAAACAAATAAACCTTTTCCAATGGCAAAAGTTTCATTCATCTTTGTTGCTATTGCCCTTATCACTGGCAACGTGCTCTGTCAAACTGACGCTACATATGGTAAGTCGCATAATCGCACATTGGGGGTTACTTACTAACACACTATACAGCTGTAAGCTCTTCTGCTCCTGGCTACAAGATTGACGGACATGTTCGCAAGACTGAAGCTGGTCTTCATATTCCTCTCACCCTCAATTCTCGTGGTAACAAAAAGACTGGTATCGATACCTTTGGTAAAACTATCAAGGACATCACTGTTGACGTTGAATATGAGACTGAAGAGAGACTTCACGTCAAGGTACAATTACAAATGGTCTTATACAATACATACCTGATCAAGTGAACTTGCTTTCTAGATTGCCGATAAAGCCAAGAAGCAATACCTCGTCCCTGACTCTCCTTTAGGTTTTGAACGTCCTCAAATTAAGCACTATGTCTCTCCCAAGCATAGCAACTTAGACTTCCAATACACTGCCAAACCCTTCAGTTTCAAGGTCGTTCGTAAGCACGACAAGACCACCATCTTTGATACCACCAACTTGCCTTTGGTCTTTGAAGATCAATACTTGGAATTGTCTACCAAGGTCCCCAAGGATGCCAACATCTACGGTATTGGTGAAGTTACTGCTCCCTTCAGACGTACTCACGTAAGGCGGTATATGCTTTATAGTCTCCAATGCCAAAACTAATCTTATTACATATCTATAGAATGTCACCACCCTTTGGGCTCGTGATAACCCAGATGAGTGAGTTTGATCTATACATTGACACATGGCCACATTGCTTATACAGTTTAAACAATAGCTTCTACCGTAACATCTATGGTGCACATCCTTACTACCAAGAAGTTCGCGACGGAAAGGCCCACGGTGCTCTGTTGATGAATGCTCATGGTATGGATGTCATTACCACTGAAGGCCGCATCACGTACAAGGTCATTGGTGGTATTCTCGACTTTTACTTCTTTGCTCCCAAGTCTGGTACTCCCAACGATCTCAGTATCGCTTACACCGACTTGATTGGTAAGCCCATGATGCCCTCCCACTGGATGCTTGGTTGGCACCACTGCCGTTACGGTTATCCCAACATTGACAAGGTTGAAACTGTCAAGAGAAAGTACAAGGAAGCCAACATCCCCCTCCAAACTGTTTGGGTTGATATCGATTACATGGAGGAGACCAAGGATTTCACTTTTGATAAGGTCAACTTCCCTCAAGAGAGAATGATCGGTTTGGGTAAACAACTCCACAAGGATGGCCAAAACTACGTTGTCATGGTGGATCCCGCTATCAATGCCAACTCTACTTATGAGCCCTATGTCAGAGGTACTGATATGGATGTCTGGATCAAGAATGCTGACGGTTCTGATTTCATCGGTGAAGTCTGGCCTGGTTTCACTACTTTTCCTGATTGGTGGCACCCTAATGCTACCAAGTACTGGAACAAGGAAATCATTGACTTTGTTGATTTGCTGGGTGTGGATGGTCTCTGGATCGATATGAATGAACCTGCTAGTTTTTGTCTCGGCTCTTGCGGCACAGGCAAGGTTGATGCCGGTAATCAGCCTTACCGTTGGACATACACTGAAGAAGAGCAAGTTGCTAACCACACTCGTTGGGAGAAGGAATTGAAAGCCATGGGCAACCCTCCTGGAGAGAAGCGTAACTTGCTGTATCCCAAGTATGCCATCAACAACGGTGCTGGTAACTTGTCTGAGTTCACTGTTGCTACCACTGCTCTTCACTATGGCAATGTTCCTCACTACGATATCCACAACCTCTATGGTCATGCTGAAAGTCATATCACTCGTCAAGCTCTCATCAAGCACAAGAACAAGGTTAGACCTTTTGTCTTGACTAGATCTAGCTTTGTTGGTAGTGGTAAGAATGTTGGTCACTGGACCGGTGATAACCACTCCTTCTGGTCTTACCTCAAGTCCTCTGTTGCCAACATTCTCAACTTCCAAATGTTTGGTATCTCTTACTCTGGTGCTGATGTCTGTGGTTTCAACTCTGATACTACCGAGGAGTTGTGTACTCGTTGGATGGAAATCGGTGCTTTCTACCCCTTTGCTCGTAACCACAACAACAATGCTGCTAAAGATCAAGAGCCTTACCTCTGGGAAAGCACTGCTGAAGCCAGTCGTATTGCTATTAACGCTCGTTATGAGATGCTCCCTTACTTTTACACTCTCTTTGAAGAATCCAACCGTTTGGGTCTTGGCGTCTGGCGTCCTCTTATCTTTGAGTACCCTGCTTATGAGGGACTTGTCTCCAATGATGTCCAAACCTTGATTGGTTCTGACATCTTGCTCTCTCCTGTCCTCGATGAAGGCAAGACCTCTGTCAAGGCTCAGTTCCCTGGTGGTCAATGGTACGATTGGTACACTCATGAACTCACTGTTGATAACAAGAGCAACAAGAAGGTCAAGACTGTCACTTTGGATGCTCCTCTCACTCATATCCCTATCCACATCCGCGGTGGTGCCATCATCCCTACCAAGACTCCCAAGTACACTGTTGGTGAGACCTATGCTACTCCTTACAACCTCGTCATTGCTCTTGACAGCAAGGGCGAAGCTTCCGGTAGACTTTACATTGACGATGGTGAATCTTTGAAGGTCAAGTCTAGCTCTGATATCACTTTCACCTACAAGAATGGTCATCTCAAGGCTTCTGGCAAGTTTGGCTATAAGAAGGCCGAGAAGATTGGCTCCATCACCATCATTGGCAAGCACACTAGCAAGCTTCAAAAGGCTTATGTTGGCAAGAAGACTGCCAAGTTGACTCATGGCAAGAACGATGTTACTCTTGAAGGTGTCTCAATTGACTTGAGCAAGTCCTTTTCCATTGAATTCAAATAGATTGAAAATTAACCGTGTATCTAAATCATTAATCTATACAAGCAACTAATTCTAATAAACAACAAACATTTGTAATACATTCCATCATTTATTGTGGATTTTCACTGATAGCTGGTAAAAGTAGTGCTTGCCTTACATGATGTTATTTGGACTACCCTGCAGACTTTATTCATGATTTATGTAGTCCACATGGTTTCAAGAGAATCTTTGTCATCCATGAGTATGTTTCCCGCCAAAGATATTCAATGAAGGAATTCATTCATCGAGTCACCACAGTGAGGTATTCTTTCGTTCTCTATTGATGTTCATTGATCCGATGCCTATACCGTAGATACAAGGTATACTTTTGTTGTACTACTAATTTTCAGCCCTCAATAGACGTATGCTGATTTGACACTCGTCAAATCTTTCATATACTCTTGCATAAAGCATAACGGCGCCTCTCTCTTTGATAATACACATTCAATTCGGGCCACTTGCAAAGATAGCTTCTCCGTTCTTGCAAGGAGATTACTGAACATTCTTACCAAGATTTCTCATGCTTGAAACTACGATGAGATGATGATACTGATCTCGTAACAACACTTGTGCAAGTCTTATCATTTGACGCTTTACGTTTTCGCTCTATTTGTCTTGACGTGCTACGATTCTATCGTCAAAATTCTGCTTCATGCTCTAAAAGAAGAAATGGCAAATTACTGTGGAGCTGATGGGAGATGCTCATCTTTTCACACACGGCAAAACCTCTTTCCAGGTAGAATCTATTTTTTTTTTTTTTTCAAAATGATATGTAATACAGATGTGTGGAGCTATTTGATAGACGTAATGGCTCGGTCAGTTTTATACACATGTTTGCGATCAGCTGGGCTACTTGATGTAAATGTTAAACATGTTACAAGACGCACCTCTTGTTAGATGTAGCGTCATGACTTTAAATGATGTCTCTGCTAGAGCATAGTATATATCCATGCATTTTAGTTTACAGAAGCCAAAGCAACAAGTGATAGCAGCGTATACACAGCGGCATGAATATTTAATCTAACTAGGAAATGAGCTATCTGATCATTCTATTACAGTTCTTACAACAAGGTAGCATTTTCCATGGGAACTTTTTTAAAATTAAGCTGCCAAAATTCCGGGGTAATATATTTTGTAAATTTCTTCCTGTTATGAAAACTTGGACAAGCGTACAGAAAACGGGAAGAAACTACAAGCTTTTACCGTTCAACTTTAATGAAAAAAAAACCCTTCAATATTAGTTTGTCAGACCGGGAGATATCTCACTTATACTCACAGAAATAAAACTGATGATATCAAGATGTTGGTCTGCCACAGTTTTTTTTTGCGTTGGACTTGTTGCCCCATCATAACATGAATATAGTTAAAGACATTTGTATCAATGGAAGCTAAATTTTTATTGAAATATATATAAATAAGATGCGTTTTGCCCTCTTTTTTCTTACCATTTCTCATCAATAAAACTATTGGTAATGGCTAAAGTCTCTTTCATCTTTGTCGCTATCGCTTTAATCACAGGCAATGTCCTTTGCCAATCTGACGCTACTTATGGTAGAGTATATTACACGGTAGATGTTGCGCTGTTTCTTAATATTCCATTGTTTGTACAGCTGTAAGCTCCTCTGCTCCAGGCTATAAGATCAATGGAGATGTCAAGCACACTGAAGGTGGTCTTCAAATCCCCCTCTCATTCAATGCTCATGGCAACAAAAAGACAGGTGTAGATACCTTTGGTAAAACCATCAAGGAGCTCGTTGTTGATGTTGAATATGAAACTGAAGAGAGACTCCACGTCAAGGTGATTTGTTCATCAACCCACTGACTCTTACATTGATTTACTAACTTGTTTGATTAGATCTCTGATAAAGCCAAGAAGCAATATCTTGTACCTGATTCTCCTTTGGGTTTTGAACGTCCTCAAATCAAGCATTATGCTTCTTCAAAAGATAGAAACTTGGACTTCCAATACACTGCTAAACCTTTCAACTTTAAGATTGTCCGCAAAAATGACAAGGCTACTATCTTTGATACTTCCAACTTGCCTTTTGTTTTTGAAGATCAATATTTGGAGCTGTCTACTTCTGTCCCCAAAGATGCCAACATCTACGGCTTCGGTGAGGTTACTGCTCCTTTCAAACGTACTACTGTAAGTAGCTCAAGCTTCAATCCGATGGCCTGAACTAACCTCTTTCTATTAGAATGTCACCACCATCTGGGCTCGTGATAATGCCGATGAGTAAGTTGCTCGAACACCATCCTATCATCATTTCAAACATTCTGACATTTCATACAATAGCTTCTACCGTAACATCTATGGTGCACACCCTTACTACCAAGAAGTTCGCGACGGAAAGGCCCACGGCGCTCTGTTGATGTCTTCTCATGGTATGGATGTCATTACCACTGAAGGCCGCATCACGTACAAGGTCATTGGTGGTGTTCTCGACTTTTACTTCTTTGCTCCCAAGTCTGGTACTCCCAACGATCTCAGTATCGCTTACACCGACTTGATTGGTAAGCCCATGATGCCCTCCCACTGGATGCTTGGTTGGCACCACTGCCGTTATGGTTACTCCAATATCTCTGCTCCTGAAACCGTCAAGAGAAAGTACAAGGAAGCTAATATCCCTCTTCAAACATTGTGGGTTGATATCGATTACATGGACCAAACCAAAGATTTCACTTTTGATAATGTCAACTTCCCTCAAGACAAGATGATCGCTTTGGGCGAACAGCTCCACAAGGATGGCCAAAACTACGTTGTCATGGTGGATCCCGCTATCAGTGCCAACTCTACTTATGAGCCCTATGTCAGAGGTACTGATATGGATGTCTGGATCAAGAATGCTGATGGTTCTGATTACATTGGTCAAGTCTGGCCTGGTTACACTACTTTTCCTGATTGGTGGCACCCTAATGCTACCAAGTACTGGAACAAGGAAATCATTGACTTTGTTGATTTGCTGGGTGTGGATGGTCTCTGGATTGATATGAATGAGCCCTCTAGTTTCTGTCTCGGCTCTTGCGGCACAGGCAAGGTTGATGCCGGTAATCAGCCTTATCGATGGACATTACCTCAAGAGGAGCAAGACAAGAACCATGCGCTCCAAGAAGAAGCATTGAAGAAGATGGGTAATCCTCCTGGAGAAGAACGTAACCTCTTATACCCCAAGTACGCTATCAACAACGGTGCTGGTAACCTGTCTGAACTCACTGTTGCTACCACTGCTCTCCATTATGGCAATGTCCCTCACTACGATATCCACAACCTCTATGGTCATGCTGAAGGCTACATCACTCGCAATGCTCTCATCAAGAAAAATAAAAAGGTCAGACCTTTTGTCTTGACCAGATCTAGCTTTGTTGGTAGTGGTAAGAATGTTGGTCACTGGACCGGTGATAATCACTCATTGTGGTCTTACCTCAAGAACTCCATTGCTAATGTCCTCAACTTCCAAATGTTTGGTGTCTCTTACTCTGGTGCCGATGTTTGTGGTTTCAACCAAGCTACTACTGAAGAAATGTGTACTCGTTGGATGGAACTCGGTGCTTTCTACCCCTTTGCTCGTAACCACAATGCTATCGGTGAGCCTGATCAGGAACCCTATCTCTGGGAGAGCACTGCTGAGGGTAGTAGAAATGCTCTCAGCGTTCGTTATGAGATGCTCCCTTACTTTTACACTCTCTTTGAAGAATCCAACCGTTTGGGTCTTGGTGTCTGGCGTCCTCTTATCTTTGAGTACCCTGCTTATGAGGAACTTGTCTCCAATGATGTCCAAACCTTGATTGGTTCTGACATCCTGCTCTCTCCTGTCCTCGATGAAGGCAAGACCTCTGTCAAGGCTCAGTTCCCTGGTGGTCAATGGTACGATTGGTACACTCATGAACTCACTGTTGATAACAAGAGCAACAAGAAGGTCAAGACTGCCACTTTGGATGCTCCTCTCACTCATATCCCTATCCACATCCGCGGTGGTGCCATCATCCCTACCAAGACTCCCAAGTACACTGTTGGTGAGACCTATGCTACTCCTTACAACCTCGTCATTGCTCTTGACAGCAAGGGCGAAGCTTCCGGTAGACTTTACATTGACGATGGTGAATCTTTGAAGGTCAAGTCTAGCTCTGATATCACTTTCACCTACAAGAATGGTCATCTCAAGGCTTCTGGCAAGTTTGGCTATAAGAAGGCCGAGAAGATTGGCTCCATCACCATCATTGGCAAGCACACTAGCAAGCTTCAAAAGGCTTATGTTGGCAAGAAGACTGCCAAGTTGACTCATGGCAAGAACGATGTTACTCTTGAAGGTGTCTCAATTGACTTGAGCAAGTCCTTCTCTATCGAATTCGAATAAACGTCGAAATGACAGCGCAGTGATTAAACGAGTTTTCAATAAATCATATTATAATAAATGTTCAGTCCCTAGACACTGTTATAACTCTAATATGGAAAGTGAGTTTCAAGGCATCTATCAGGCCTGGCTCATATATGATTAACCAGCCCCATAATGGATTGCATTTCTGATGCTTACCCAAAGTATGTACTTTGCTCTTGTTCTCAGTACCTCAGTTTCAGTCTTAGTAGTATTAGTGTGGGAGCATTTTGTAACAGGAATTTCAAGACAGTATACACGGAAACTTGATACTGCCAAGTTTACATTATGCTTAACCTTGAATACCGTAATGTACCTTATACTCTTTTCTTAATATATGATGTGTTGTCTAATACCACATACAAGATCTTTTTTTTTGTAGAAAAAAAGAGCAAAATTTTATTCGAGAGGTATGATGTTTGAGGATTGTATTTTTGAAGCTTGACGTGTGTTATGTTTCTTCGTCTGATTGTCTACCTGCTGCAGCATATTTCTTTAACAAATCAGTCCTCCGTTGTTCCCATGAGGATTTACTTTCGGAATTGACCGGAAATGATGCTGAATAGCATGGCGGTGGCGTTCGATTCCATTGGTAATAGGTGGATGTCTTTTTCAGACATGTGCCCAATAACCTCTCATTCTCTTCTTCTAAACCATCACAACCGTAGCCGTAATAGAAATGTCTTTTGCGAAGCGTTTTATAGGCAATGATCAATGCAATCAAGAGTATCAGAGCTACCACCATTCCTATCAGGTACATAAGAGGGATCTGAAGCACTATTGGTATGAGTTTCATCATCAGACTATTTATAAACAAGGCAGAAATTTGAATGGGGCTTACCAAAACAAGCCCAAGAATTCACCTCTTCTTGTGTGATGATGATAATGATGAAATGTGAACACTTTTTGCCATGATCAAGCGTATCGATGCGACAATACCTTCCTCTGCCACAACCATTGTATTCGTTGCCATGACAACCACCAAGTTGATTATATATCCAACAAAAGAAAAAGAAAAAAGTGAAAAACAGATGGAAAAGAAGCAAAAGAAGGTACAAATCACAAATTGAATAAAATAAGGAGGCCAGAAAGGGGTGATGATCATCACTTTTCACCTTAATTACAGTGACGTTTTTTGTCAAATGTCAAGCCTTTGTATGATGTTTTTGATCCTTTTCTTTTAATTACATTTTGTATTGAATAAATCTATTTCTTCTCTTCGCTTTCAATCTTCTTGGGTGTATCATCACGACCAGAACCTGTTGATAGCATGTTAGTCATACATATCCTTTTCTCTCTCTCTTCACTTTTTCTCCACACATCCACATCCTTACCATTTTGCTCCCAAGGTGAAAGTGCACCTTCAAAGTTTCTGAAGGCTTGGGCCAATTCAACAGGCTCGGATACAACACGCTTCTTTTCTTCATCATAACGAACTTCGACATAACCTGTAAGAGGGAAATCCTTTCTTAAGGGGTGGCCTTCGAAACCATAATCAGTCAAGATACGTCTTAAATCAGGATGTCCTGTGAAGAAGACACCAAACATATCATAGGTTTCACGTTCTTGCCAATTGGCAGCATTGAAGAGAGGAACGACAGAGGGAACAGGAGATGTTTCGCTGGCATAGGTCTTTACACGGATACGTCCATTATATTTCATGCTCAAAAGGTTGTAGACAACTTCGAAGCGATTCTCGCGAGTGGGGAAATCAGCACCTGTAATATCCATGACAGATTTGAATTGAGCATTGCTGTGATCACGCAAAAAGTGCATGACTTGATATACGGCTGTAGGAGCACAGTAGATGGTCAATTCATCCTTGTAAACACTGAATTGTTGAATAAACTTGGGTAATACGGACATGAGGTATTTGCCGTATTCATGAAGGTCGTCATTTCCAGACTTGAAGTTGGGATCAGCTGAAACTTGGTCGTACTTTCTTTCTGATGCTGCAGAGATGTATCATGTCAAATGTCAATATCTTATCAAATTCAACAGAATTTTCAACTAAAAAAGTACCTTGCAACTTGACGCTGGTGGTGGCAAAAGAGCGGACACAGTTGGTGCGAATAGCAGGCTTGGCTAATGGTGAAAAGTGAATGTGCAATGTGTCAATATCGATGTGTCTCATCAGCAATCTCCTGACTCCTACCTGCTAAAAGTTGACGAGGGAGACGCACCAAGGTTGCACTAGCTAAACGAGAAGCCATGTTGAATATTTAAAGAGTGGGGAGTGTTTTAAAACGCTGGTGAAAAAGCAAAGAGAAAAGAAATTGTTGCTCTGGTGCCCCGGATTTTCAATAGCTCCACTCCAGGAGGAGGTGGTTCGAATTCCGTGACGTAGATGAATGCTGTTTTGGCTGATTTCTAATGTTGCGATGACATCTTGAAGCGTTCTCAGGCACCAAGTAAAAGGCCAATCATAGGTGCTAGTCTGCCATGTAGCTATAAAGCAGTGAATGCCCTTCCAATATGGATGGACGCATAGAGATGTCAGGATGTTTGAGATCCGTATTCATTGGCTTGTTGCTATCGACATTTGTAACTTTAACATCGTCTACAAGATTTGTTTATTTCACATTGCACATTCAATCTGTACTAGAACAAATCGATCAAACAAGGACATGTGTATTACAAATTCCCAGCATTGAGCATGCATGTCTTGAGGATAAAGCCCAGATCCATCTCGGAAAAAGATGGGCCATGGCAATTGTGATTTGACGAAACAGGCCACAAATGTCGAAATTTAGAGTCTTCATGAGGCTGGCCAAGAAACGATTATCTTTGCTCGACATCATGTTGTACGAAATGACTTGACTCTCCTAAAACATCACATATGATGTCGTTAGCAACTCAAACTTGGTTCCCCAATGTAGATACATTGGAATAGTAGAGCCATCATACTCCCCTAACAAAGCACATGGAGCTGACTTGAAGGTGGAGGCGGTTGCAAGATATCTCCAATGCTCACAGCAGGCGATACTGAAATCCTGTATAGCGGTGGACATACGGTACAAAAAAGAAATAAGACGAATCTAATTTAAGCACAATAAAAACTCACAACCAAAAGAGTGCTAAATGTACACAAGGCTACATCTAATGTTTTGGAGTCTATACAGAATATATCTTCAGCCACATTGGGATACTGTTGTAAGAAATGTCGAATTAGTATAAATATGGCTCAGCCCAAATCGAATATACCACTCATTTTTCTCTTTGACCATCCAACTTTATCGATCTTTTGAACCATGTCTTTATTTCTCGCCAAGAAGCAAGAGGATAACAACCAAAAGTAAGGCAGAATTCACGCAGCAGCATTGATTCAATCATCTAACAGTTGCCACAGAAAAGTCAGAGATCTGTTACGCTTGAAAGAGAACAAGAAATGCTTTGATTGTCCAACAAAGGCAACTATACATACAACAACTCACCGTAGCAAAAGCATTGATACTAACAGATTCTATCAATATAGAGTCCTGCCTTTGTCAACACCACCATCCAGACATTCATCTGTGCCCGGTGTTCAGGTTTAGTGTAAGTAAATGTACAAATGACTTTCACTTCTTGTTTACTGACACATTGCGCATGTAGCCGTGAAGTTGGTCATCGAGTCAAGGCTGTCTCCGCTAGCAAGTTTTCTGGCGCTGAACTGATGGCACTCAAGAAAGGCGGTAATGGCATTGCTCTCAAGATTTGGCTCAGCAACTACAGCACCCATGATGCTCCCGAACCTGAGGTGGACGCTGATGTCCGCGCTTTCATGAAGCAAAAGTACTATGAATGCAAATGGTTGGATAGAGCTTTGCTCCAATCTCACAAGGAAGAGGTTCGTGTCTTGATTGCCAAGTCTTTTACCGAGGATGGCCTCCCAATTGTAACCAAATCAAGAACTCGCATAATCCCCGGATTCTCTCGTGTCCCATTGATTGCTGACAGTGAAATGAACGTTATGCAAGACGATGAAGAAGGCATGGATACCTCTGTGATTCAGAACGATTCTGTCATTCCTCCTCCTATCGTTATGCCTGGATATGCTGTTCCTGCACCTCTTCCTCAAGTCCAACCTCAATACCAACATCAAGCTGCTGTTGCTGCTTACCCAATATCATCTGCTAGCCCTGTCTGTAGAACATCTATGGATAGTATCAACTCTTACTTATCTTCGTCTCAAGGTGGATCTATTTACAACTATCGCAGCAGCCAAGACATGGCCAGAACAGACATGTGTGCTGTCAATAACAACATGCAAAGCTTGAACAATGCTCAACAACAACAAGTTGCCAGTGCAAGCACCGTTGCTTTGACCGCAGAGCAGATTGCTGAACGCTGCCGTAGCTCCATCGACTCCAACGCTTCTTGCTCATTATCATCTAACGTCAGAAGCAATAGACAAAGCATGGAAGCAGCACAGCAACAACCAGCAAATGCTGTAGCATCCATGGCCTTGACAGCAGAGCAGATCGCTGAGCGCTGTCGTAACACTATCGACTACAAAACTTGTGCTGAATCATATCAACAGCAAGATGCCTATACTCCTCCCACTATGGCTTCTGAGGCTGTAGCACCCGTTGTACCTACTGAAAAGTCCTTGCCTCAATTAAGCATTGATGTCAGCAATAACGATTTGGTTTACCATCGACACAGATCAGATTATCAAGTCAAGGTAAATTGTTACACCCGGTGCATATATAGAGACAGCAAGTAACCACATACATTCTTAAAATAGTCTCCCACTTTAGTCAATTATAGTAACAATAACCAACCACCTTGTAAGTACTCCTTCTTTTTTTTAAACATCCAAGAGAAATGACTAAACCAAAATTTGACTCAGTTATCCAACGTGATGGCCATCATGTACCAGCCTCAGCCTCACTTCGTGTAACTCCTAGCACTTCAAATCCCATCACGAAGCCAACAAGACCACCAATGGCTGCCCCTGCTGCTTCAGCCTCGGTATTTGATAGTATTCTTTCGGATCTAGCAGGCCTCAAGCTTGAAAAGACTGTTCGTAGAGCTACCTACACTGGCGGTATATTAACTCCTGTTACTCCTGCTGCTGTGGGTAATAGCCCATTGGAAACATCCAAGTCGTCTCCTCATCCAACAGATCGCCCTGCTTCCATGTTCAGTGCCGATTTCTTTTCTCAGCTTAACACATCCAAGGCTACTGAGAACGACAGCCCTGAAAATGATCCTTATGCTGCTTTGAGAGGTATCCCAGCACCCGCTGTAGCTACTCCTACTAAAACTGATGCTACAAAAGACGACGAAAGAAACACTTCATCTTCAGAGGATGATGATGACGAAGAGGATCCATGGCAAGGTAGCGTCTATAGATGTGATTTGTTTAGCCAATGATTTATACTAATACTGTTATTACATGGCAGAATTCTGCTCCTCCTCATCCACAGATGGAAATGAGGATAGCTTTTTGGGGCCTCAACAAGTAATCCAACCTACTCTTGAAGAATCTAAGCCTGTATCGAATATGATTGCCATCGATTTGTTCAGTGATTTAGACCCTCGCTCCATGTTTAAACGCTTCTGATTTTACAAACCTTGAAAATCATTGCCTCGAATTTTAATTTATATATTCCCCACTTCTCAATACCGAATGATGTGTACATTTTTTTCCCCTTCATCATGATGGTATCTTTCACATATCTATAGTTTCAAACCGTTAGTCCTTTATATATTTATCAATAAAATTACAGTTTTCCTCCAAATAAATTCAGGTTTTCTGTAATTTCTCTTTTTCTGTCTGGCCCAAATATTAGATTGATGTAAATTTCCAACTTTCGTCATCCATTCAATACTGATGTAAACAGCCTGCTATATATGATTTGCCCATTTGCTCACATTCTTACTCCATCAATGAGTATATTCTATGTACAACTGTATGTACATTACCTTCAGAAGAGTTGATAGGTAGCATATGTATTATGAAGGTACCACACCTTGGCTAGCTTCAACCGTCTTCGTAGTATACTCATGTACATTTTGTCAGTATATCAAGAAATACGAGTGATTTGTCAATTCTAAGCAGGATCTCAAATCTCGAAGAAACACTCATCTCAAGTACATGTCATGTTAGATCATAAATTTAGACGTAAAACTGGATATAGTTAGGAGCCCAGTTATGGTACGCATGTTCAAGATAGTAGTTAGATTGGGAAAACAGATCTCCATAACCCATCAGATCATCCTATCTAAAGTCGTATCTTCCCATTATTTCCCTCAACTCTAATAATATATGAATTTCACATCAGTGACACTTGAATATTGAATAAAGATGTCGTATTTTTTTTAGTAAGTAAAGGAGTTTGGTAAATTCAATCACATCCTAATTGTGATGCCAATTGCTACGAGATATGAACAAACTCGCTAAATTGAGTAAGCTGAAAACTTTGGTTTTCGTATCTTTCTTGATATCATAGTCTTTTTAAATTTTTTTTATTATAAACTATGCAAGATCTATTGCTTCTACTTCAACTAACTTTAGAAGAATCAATAAACGCTAAGTTGACCAGGGCAGCTATTTCGCATTTTACTGCGTGCTGCAACGTATATCTTTTCTGGCTTAAACTGCAACCATCTTCACGTTTAAAAACATATCTTTGTACTTAACTACAAAATTCAATATAAAAAACAGAGGTGCAGAATCAATGAAAGCCCTCTATGAATCATTGAAAGAGCTCAAAGTCAAGCAAAGCTTCATCGGATATTATAAGCTGTGTATTATTCATACAGTATTATTGGGAGATCAGGTACAATGGCTGTGCGGCGGAGGATTAAGTTTAGAGTAATTTTTATAGCTTTTGGAGAAGTGCTCATATATATTATCATATATAGACTCAAGATCCTCTTTGGGGTGTCAAATCTATATAACTCTGCCTAATGTTAATGACAAGAATGTATATCATTATTTAAGATGAATTTGTTATAATAAAGTCGATGATAATAATCAGTTGCCAACTGTATCAAAAACAAAAGCAACGAGCTTCTTTATTATAGGGCATCTAATTAGATTAAATATGATAGATCCCTAGTCAATGACTACTACGTTGAGATGGTATATAAATAGCAGACCATTGGGGTCTTACTGATTGTTGGTATAGCTAGTTAAGAGACCACCAAAGTCGATATGTTTCATGTAATGTAGGTGGATCTCGATATCTTGACATTGGGGAGATTGAATGTATTGTAGTTCCTGAGGCACCTGTGCACACAATTGACTGGACTTGTAAACATAGATGTGATGCGATACGATAAACATCATCTATGCTGCTACACTGTAAAAGGTGGCTTGAGGAGAAAGTGAATGTAGCCTAAGATGCATGCTTGTATGCAACAGCAAACTTAATGTAACCGGTACAAGCTTAATGTAACCGGTACAAGCTTAACCAGTGCAAGCTTAACGTAACCGGTGCAAGCTTAATGTAACCGATGCAAGCTTAACCAGTGCAAGCTTAATGTAACCGATGCGAGCTTAATGTAACCGGTGCGAGCTTAATGTAACCGATGCAAGCTTAACCAGTGCAAGCTTAATGTAACCGATGCGAGCTTAATGTAACCGGTGCGAGCTTAATGTAACCGATGCAAGCTTAACCAGTGCAAGCTTAATGTAACCGATGCGAGCTTAATGTAACCGGTGCGAGCTTAATGTAACCGATGCAAGCTTAACCAGTGCAAGCTTAATGTAACCGATGCGAGCTTAATGTAACCGGTGCAAGCTTAATGTAACCGATGCAAGCTTAACTAGTGCAAGCTTAATGTAACCGATGCGAGCTTAATGTAACCGGTGCAAGCTTAATGTAACCGGTGCAAGCTTAACCAGTGCAAGCTTAATGTAACCGATGCAAGCTTAACCAGTGCAAGCTTAATGTAACCGATGCGAGCTTAACGTAACCGGTGCGAGCTTAATGTAACCGATGCGAGCTTAATGTAACCGGTGCAAGCTTAATGTAACCGATGCAAGCTTAACTAGTGCAAGCTTAATGTAACCGATGCGAGCTTAATGTAACCGGTGCAAGCTTAATGTAACCGGTGCAAGCTTAACCAGTGCAAGCTTAATGTAACCGATGCAAGCTTAACCAGTGCAAGCTTAATGTAACCGATGCGAGCTTAACGTAACCGGTGCGAGCTTAATGTAACCGATGCGAGCTTAATGTAACCGATGCGAGCTTAATGTAACCGATGCGAGCTTAATGTAACCGGTGCGAGCTTAATGTAACCGGTACAAGCTTAACCGATGCAAGCTTAACCAGTGCAAGCTTAACGTAACCAGTGCGAGCTTAATGTAACCGATGCAAGCTTAATGTAACCGGTGCGAGCTTAATGTAACCGGTACAAGCTTAACCGATGCAAGCTTAACCAGTGCAAGCTTAACGTAACCAGTGCGAGCTTAATGTAACCGATGCAAGCTTAATGTAACCGGTGCGAGCTTAATGTAACCGGTACAAGCTTAACCGATGCAAGCTTAACCAGTGCAAGCTTAACGTAACCAGTGCAAGCTTAATGTAACCGGTGCAAGCTTAACGTAACCGGTGCAAGCTTAACCAGTGCAAGCTTAATGTAACCAGCAGTGCTAGTGATGAATTCGTAATAATAAGTCGATGATAATAATCAGTTGTCAACTGTATCTGAAACGAAAGCAAAACGCTTCTTTATTACAGGGCATCTAGCTTGCTTGAATATGGTAGATCCTTGGTCAATGACTACTACGTTGAGATGGTGTATAAATAGCAGGCTGTTAAGCACAAAGAATAAAAGGATTATTATTTGTAGCTTATAAAAAATGTTCGATATTATAAAAACAAGAAAAGACTTATTTGAATAAGATCAGACACAAAAACTAAAGATTTATTGATGAAGACAAGAGTTATTCTATTTATACTAGGTTCTGAATGCCAAAGTAGCAATTTATCTTGCACAACGCTTATCACATCTGGTAAACCTCAGTATTTAGATAGCTGAGATGCACTTCACTTATCATAGCTTGTCCATGTTGTTGCACAACACAGACATATCTACCCATCAAGAATACCTTAATCTTTATAGAAGACAGTTGTAGCCCTTCTGGCACAACAACAAGTATAAGTCTATAGCGCCATCCATGTCCGTGGTGCCATCTATAGCCTATATCTTATATAGTATGAATCTTATAATACTAGCGTATCTGAAGTCCATATCTTCTTATAGTATAAATCGATGTCGTACATCTAATCCAGCGTACATACAGCTTATATCTAAATCTAGTAACTGGATGAACTGTCGGAATGCAGATCATAGTGGATGTATTCCACAGCTATATCAAGTACCATGTCTACTCGAGAGTTCCATTGATTAAGTAATTATTGATCTTGGAAATAGTATAAATATACATTGTTAATGCATTCAATAAACATCATTTTTCAACATAATCTCCAAATATTAGTTAGATTCCAGTTGTTTGTTAACTTCTACCTGTTGGATCCATCTAGTAAGACGACAAAAATTGATAAACCAGGCTTATCAAAATATGATACTCTGCGGTGCTGGTTTTGTAATATATGTAACGTAAAAGGGGTGGACGATCTGGCAGTAATGTAGTTGATCCCGAGAAAAATCAAGTACTCAAAGCGGTTTAATATGCTGATGTGTGGTAAATAAGTGAATGTATAAGGTATCTCCGCGATAAAGTATAAATAGAGCAAGGTACCCAAAAGATTTAAATGTAAGAAAGTTTTATTTATTTCAAATATATATGTCAAAATAAAAATGTAGAGTGACCTATTTAATAAAAGCTCAGGAACAAAATTCCGATATGCTCAAAGTTCAAGATCCGCTGTCTTTAAAATTAGTATTACAAAGTAAATTTATTATTGTGACACAAACAATATGAGGGGCTATGGCCCAATGGATAAGGCGTCTGACTACGAATCAGGAGATTCCAGGTTCGACCCCTGGTAGCCTCATATATTTTTGCAATGAATAAAATATCGTGAGACGTTGTAATGACCTAAAACATGCATAGGTCGTATGATGATTTCGTCTACTGTTACGAAGCGAGTGGGTAACTGTCTCATCTTTTCTTTTTGTTACTGTTTTCTCTCATCTTCCTAGACTTGTCCGAAAACCAAATATAAAGGTTTTTTTTCTTTGAGGAAAAAAGTTTCTAGGAGTGCAACAACGAAAGTAATCAAATCAAGGGATTGTGTGCTTACATTATGAGAAAAATACCACGGAGGAGCCTATCTTTTGGTGCGTCTGATATAGAACTGATATTTTTCATCATCTCGCCATCTCTATGAAAGAGATAGGTGCTTGTTTCTTGATAAACGTACCTGAACGGCACAACTTGCAATGATATTTGGCTAGTGATAAGTCAAATTGTTATGTACAAAATGACAAGAAGATCAAATAAATGAACATCTTGTTTGGCTTTATTCAGTAGATACATATCATAAAGAAAAAGCATATCATAGGGAAAAAAGAAAAGGAGCATAGGTGAAGAGCATAAAAAAAAAAGCAGGCCAAGGTATATATCACATCGACATCAAGGCGCACTGATGGCTGTATCCTCTAATTCTGTCAAAATAGAAGACGGACGACGACGTGAAGCAGCGTCGTATTGACCACTATTGCCGCCCACTAGAATGGGCGGTAATCTGTTTTTTGGTGAATGGTGTTGCGATGATGAGGAGGAGGGTACTTGCTGTTGTTGGCGATGTTGATTTAGGCTTTTTTCCTTCATTTCTTGTTGCTGAGCAATCAGTCTCTGGTGCATTTGCAACTGTTCCTGAAGTAACAAGAGTTGTTTCTGTTGTGTTTTATGTGCCAATAACGCGTTTCTGGCATTGGCAGGTAAGCCCTTCATAAGCTGCTGTGTGATGTAATCGCTGTTACTCATGGAAGAGCTCGAGTTGCTACTGGCGCTTGTACTGCTAGTGGTGCTATTACTACGCATGCGTTTATTCTTACTGCTGTTGGCGTTGCTGGTATCTACGATGGGTGATAAAGGTGCAACAAATTGTGCTTTTGGTAGAGGTGTATTGACGATGGTGAATGGTTTCTTGATAGGAGAAGGTGGTGTGGTGGGTGGACTATAGGATATATGTTTAATAGGATTGAATGCGCTTGGTTGACGCTGCTCTTGTTGTGGATGTGGCTGCTGTGGTAATGGAGGTGATGATGGCGATGCTGCTTTTTGCTGTTGCTGCTGATGTGGATGGTGTGTAAAGCAAGCTCCAGTCATGCGACCTTCCACTTCAACTCTTAGTTCAAGTGACCCAACCTTGTCGCGCAAATGCCTATTTCTCTTTTCCAAATACCGGATAAAATCCACGGCTTTAAATAGCACTGTGCTTTTGGAATTGTTGATATTCTTGAGAGTGGGCACGAGATCGGTGAGATCCTTGAATCCATTTCGAATGGTACTTCTTCTCTTTTGCTCAGATGCAATGTGGTTTGCTCGCTTTTCCTCTTCTGTCAATAGCTCTTTGGTCGTTTTTGTCTTTTTACTTCTAGAGACCGAGGAGGAAGAGCAAGACGACGTGCTTTCATCAGAGGACGATGATCTCTTTTTTGATGATGGCTGTTGCTGTTGGCACTTTTGTTGCTGGTGGTAGTATTTATACAAGAAATTATTGGTTGAATCACTTGAATGGAGATAGATTGTTTGTAGTTGATTGTCATCTTCTGATGTTGAGGTCACGATGCTTTTGTTTTTTGATGAATGAGCGGCGGCAGCAGTAGCAGCAGCAGTATCATTCATCCTCAGGTCTGCTGTTGTTGCGTTGTTTGTCGGTGGTAATGATGCAATCAGATTCAATGTTTGATGCAGCTTCTTCTGTTCATCCAAAGACTGCAAGATGGAACTTCGTCTGTTTTCTTCTTCATCCTCTTCACTTTGCTGCTTCTGCTGATCTTGGCTGTCTTCATTCAAATGAGGCTGCATATCCAGATCAAGGAAAAAGGCATCCAGAAAGTTGGAGAATGCTTTCTGATCATCTTCATCCAGCACTGTATTTGCAACAAAGTTGAATGGCTCTTGCTGCAAGTAGAGTGGATCTAATGTGGTGGGTCCGTTGCTGTTGTTGTTACTATGAGGACTGATGACCGGTGGTGGGAAATCCCCAATATTTAGTGTAGCATTGATATCCGGATTTATACCGAAGCTAAATTTGAAGTCTATTATACAGAATATTATTTTCATATGAAGATGAAAGTTTTTAATATATGTTGCGAACCTTCAAAAGGGACGGGCTCTTGCAATGGTTCGTTATTATAGTGGTTTGAGCTGTTGTCGTTATATAGCCAAGATTCATCATTGAATGGTAAATTAAAATCCATATTGATAGTATTAAGATAGGTGTATGTATATATATATAATAAAAAAAAGTGACAAAAAAGAGAAAGAAAGAGAAGAGGGCCAAGGAAAATCCAACTGATTTATACTTGCAATTTGAGGGTATACAACAGCAACAACAACAACAACAACAACAACAATCATAACAATAACAACAGGCATGACAACAATACTATAACAACAATTCAAATCAGTTTGATCACACTTGTATCTATGCTTGAATGCAAATGCGTATTTGACAACATCTCTCAATTGTTTATAAGCACTTGCTATTATAAAACATTTTGCAGTAGGATGAAATTTCATATTTTTCACAAGCTTTTCTTTGTACACACACACACTCCACGTTGTGTGATATATATTTCTCCACCTTTTTCTAAATGTTACACCACTCTAAATTATCACATGTAAACGCTGCTATGTGTCTCCTTAAATGGATTCATAGGGTTTACAAACCTGCAATCAAAGCAAACAAAGTAAATAAAAGGAGGTTTTTTTTATATATACATTTCGCAAAGTCATGTATATGATTTTATAGGCGAGCCGATGATGCCAATGTTGAAATGACATTTCGAGATACGTGCAGTGCAATCGCTTCAATAGTGACCATTGGATTGACGCCAACGGCTGTGGGGAAGACAGAGCCATCTGCAATGTAAATATGCTTGCATTCCCAGGTTTCACCTGTGGGTTGAACAACCGATAATTTAGGTGATGTACCCATACGACTAATACAAAGTGTTCATGTTATGAGTAAATAAACGTCAGTCTATGTCTTTTTATATCTTAGACTTACCATGATCCCAGTTGATGGACTGATACGAGTGGTGTAGATACAGCGCTAATACCTGCTTTGCTCACTCTGTCCAACCATTGATTGAATCTTGGATTATCTGCACTACTCTCTTCATCGTCATTGAATGCAAATCCCTCTACATTAGCCTGACTAGTGTATAATTCACGGGCTCCAGCAGCAGCTAAGATTCTCATGTTACGTTGGATGCAGACGGTCAAAGATTTAGCATCGTGCTTGGAGAGCGCATATTCGTACACTGGATTAGGGCTGGATGGATCAAAGGTGACCACACCAACAGAGTCCTTGTCCCGCACCACATTGACAAAAGATGCCACTGACTTGTGTCTCAACATGAGCTCCTTGTGCTTGGCTGCACCATACCACGGAATCTTGCTTGCCAGACCTCCAGGCAGCATCAGTCCTTCTTCAATCTTTGCACCATAGTGGTCCCCATGACAGTCATCTGAAGCATTGCACACGCGGGAAATAAGAGGGCCGTCCATTTGACGCATGGCCTCATCAAAAAAGCCAAAGCCAAACATGATCGGCTGCAGCCTCAAATGTTTGCCAATGTTGCTGTTGGACAAACCACTGGATTTCAGTAGTCCAGGTGTACGTAAAGCACCACAAGCAACAATCACCTTCTTGGCTTTGATGAACACAGGCTGCTGTGCATCATGGATCTGACATTCCACACCAATTGCCTTGGTTCCGCGATTGTTGGTTACAACCCGTGTAACAAATGTTCTATCCAGGAAACGAGCTCCATGGTGCAAGGCGTCCAATAACCATGTATTGGCTGTGCTGTTCTTGATACCGGATTTGCAGCCCATCATACAACGGCTGCAGTGATGTGCTCTGCCTCCTGTATTGACAAAAACCTTTTCAATGTGATAGCCCAGCTCGCTAAACAGTTTGGGTTAGCAGCTATTGCAAAGAGAAGCACCTAGATTACTTACTGGCATCCTTTTTCAAATTTGCTGTTGGTTTTTGTCTCCAACATGTTCTCTTGGCTGGCACCAATTCTACCAAACACTTTGTCTAAATCTCTGCTAAACTAAAATTGATGCGTTGGTATAATGAAGCTTCATCTTCCATACTGAGGACACCTACTTGTGGTGAGGCAAAATAAGAAAGGCCCTGCTTGGCCCACTCTTCACGCACAAAATGTTGTGGCTATTCATATACATGGGATCAGATTGGCATGAATTTGACACATCATTTAACAGTACCTTCAGGGACACCAAGTAGTTTAATGCAGTTCCACCACCCAGAGTCGCACCCGACAAACATTGAATTGAGCCACTGGTAGATGTCGTTGAAGTGCCTCCATCATACATGTTTGTATAACACGTCTCTTCTTCATGTGCCATCTCGCTCTGATGATAGTACTTTCCCTTTTCAATGACCAATACAGAGTAACCCGCTTTGGCCAATTCAGCAGCTGCCACACCACCACCAGCTCCACTGCCAACGACCACCACATCAAACTCCAGTTTGCCTCGAGTCGCTTCTTCTGTCTGCATCATAGGTATACGTTCATGTTCAACAGGATCGTAGTCTGGGTGATTCTCGAAAAAGGCATCTCCATTCGCAGCGTTATGGCCGATGCTGTCAATTAGAGGTGAATGTGTGCGACTGTAGGCATTGTACAAGCATAGATTCGACAGGACTTTGAACAGGTTTCGCAACGATGGCAGGGATGAATTCTTCCATTTCAGCATGATGTCTTCGCGTTGTTGTCTGCTGAGTTCAGGCATTGGCTTCCAGTAGCCTGTCAATAGAAGGGAGCCAGGACGAGTAGCCAAGATATCCAACACGCGAACCAAATCTGCTCTCTTATCAGGCGCTACATTGCTGGAAAAGAAGTCGACCACAACAGACGGGATTTGTAGCGAGGTTGCTGATAGTCGAGATATGGCAGCGACTTGATCCATCGAGACATGGTAGATGCCTTCTTTACCCTGCATCTTTTGTTTGATTGCTTGCTCTTCCTCTGGTGTAAGCTGAGCAAGAACCGTATCAAATATAGCTCCCAGCATGTTAGCCTGAGACGAACTCAGTTCCATAGGCGGATACTTTGTTTGTACCATGATGTTCTAAAGAGTGAAAAAGAAAGAGTGAGAGAGTTTAAGATGCATGAAATATATACTCGGGTGTTGCACAAGTCTACACAAAGAAAATAACAAAAAACACCATATAGTTTAAAAAACGTGATCAAGTAATTCGAGTCAATTTAGCATTTTGTAATGAGCAATGATGTGAGAAACTTGCATTGCCTCTGTGCCCGTCAGAAGAGAATTATTCTCATGTGGCTTTTATTAGATTTTGGCAGCAATCTTTCTGGTGCTGGAAAGAGAATGGATAATGTTGCGAGATACGTGCAGAGCAATGGCTTCAATGGTCAGCATGGGATTCACTCCCAGTGCAGTAGGAAATAGCGATGAATCAGCTACATACAGATGCCCTACATCCCACGTTTCTCCAGTGTATTTCGTAGCCGATGTCTTGGGCGAGGCTCCCATACGGCTATAGCGTAGCTTGGGTGAGTATACATGGATACTAGCCATGAGAAAACGACAACAACTTACCACGATGCCATTTGATGACCGGAAGATGGCACCGGAGCCCCTTGGCCTTGAAGAGACTTAATCCATTCCAAAAACCGTGGATGATGGACAGAGGATTTCTCATGTGCATTGAACTCGAATGAATCAACAGAATGCTGTGAAACGTGAATTTGACGAGCACCAGCAGCAACATGGATTTTAGCCATCTCCACTATGCCTTGCACTAAATTGGCTATATCGTGCTTTGAAAGATCACAGCTAATATCTACCTTACCGTAAGGATCGTACTGCACACTGCACTTGGAATCTTTGTCTCGCATCATGGCGAACGTAATGACTGCATTTCTGTATCTCAGCATGGTTTCCTTGTGTTTAGCAGCACCTAGCCATGGTATCATGCCAGAGAACATGCCCAGGCCCTGAGTAAAGCACTCAATCTTAAAGCCGTGGTGCGTTCCTTCCCAGTTCTCAAAAGCATCACAAACAGAGGTCAGCAAAGCACCTTGTGTTGGGTTGGTAGCCTGGCTATAGATACCCACACAAATAGAGGCTAAATGAAGACGAAGATGCTGGCCAATGTTGGGGTTCAAAAGGCCACTTCGTTTCAGTAAACTTGGCGTGTGAAGCGCGCCTCCTGCTACCACGACACGCTTTGCAAACAGCTTGTGTATCTGTTGCGAGTGGTGCACGTTGCATGAAACACCAACTGCCTTTCCTTTCCTGATCAAGATGCCATTCACACGCGTACAATCCAGAAAACGAGCGCCATGACTGGCGGCATCCTTCAGCCAAGTATTTGTTGTACTATTCTTGATGCCTGCCGCGCATCCTGTATAACACTTCCCACAATGATGGGATCGTCCAGATGTGTTTTGGGGCACAGTTTTTACTGCATGACCGAGTTTCCTAATTCATCGTGTAGGCAGTATGTCAGTTTAAATGAAAGCTTTGCTTTGAGTATACATTACCTGCAACCGTCGATGAGCTTTTGGTTAGGGCCGCTGTGTACAATATTGTCTGTGCTGACTCCAATACGGCCCGCTGCCTTGTTTAAGTCGTCTTGAAACTACAACAAGAGTCATGAGCCCTTGTAACTGTAGCAAATCAAACAATTCAACGTACCTGAGGTGAACTAAAATAAGACAGCCCTGACTTCTCTGCCCACTCTCTTCTCACATCATCTGATGGCTACACAAACAGATTACTTTGGGTCGAATTGGTATTATTCATGCTGAAAACCCACCTCCAAGCACGCTAAATAGTTGATGGCTGTTCCACCTCCAAAGGTAGATCCAGAAAGAACATTGACTGTTCCTGCTGCATTAGGAGCGATACCTCCATCCTCATACATGGTGGAGAATGCAAATTGGTCATCATCAGGCACCATGTCCTCCTGGTGGTAGTATTTGCCCTTCTCCACAACCAACACAGAGAATCCAGCCTCAGCGAGTTGTGCTGCTACAACACCTCCTCCAGCTCCACTGCCTACAATAATCACATCAAACATCTCTGAGCTTAATGCTGCCACCTCCTCATCTGTCATCATCGTAAGTCGGTCATGCTGAATGGGCTGATAGTCCTGTTGCTGCTCAAAGTGCCTGTGCCCACCTTGAATGCCGTCATAATGCAGGCCCTGATACAAGGCAGTGTCATGGCTAAAATAAGCCTCTGTTAGACTCAATCCCATCAATGAATTGTAAATCTGCCGAAACGTAGCAAACGAAGACTTTCTCCACTTTGTCACTACCAGCTCCCTGTCTCGCCTCGGTATGTCTTTAAAAGGTTTCCAATGTCCTGTCATCAATATGGATGCAGGTTGATAATCCAATAAATTAATGACGAGTAACAGATCATTGAGCTGTTTTGGTGTCAAGATCAAGGGCAGTTTCTTTTCAATCTTGTCAACTACGTTGATGCTGGAACCAGATGTCTTTGCGAATTGCGCGAGTTGGTCTTTGGTAAAGCAGGCGGCTGACCCCGGTACACGCAGAGTGGTTTCAATCAGTTTGGCCTCTTCATCTGCATCCAGTGATGCGACAAAGGTATCCACAAGAGCCACCAGCGTCTGCTTTTGGCTGTCAGAAAAAGATACAGTAAACATTGAAAAAGAACAAACATTCAGGCACACCACTGTTTGATGGGAATTTTATATGCAAACAGGCCCAAAGCGCACATGATGAGGGAAAGGGGGTCTGTGTCCCCCATTTAAACTATGACAAGAAAAATACGATGTGAAACTTTATTACAGAAAAAAAAAAGAGAAATGAACAGAAGATAGTATAATTTGAATGATGTTGCGAATCTATGAGCGTTTTGCCTTCTTGGACAACTTGACCTTGCCAGTATTGCGGTTTCTCTCCTTTTCAGACATTTGCTTTGCGCTCTCTGCCTTTCTCTTTTTGGATGAGTTTTCGTTCTTGACGCTGACAACAGAGCTCAACGCACCCTTCTTTCCAGAAGCAATGGCCTTGACACGGTCTTCAGCAGAGGCCCAATCCTCGTCTTTACCGCCAATAGCGTATTTTGTTAAATCAAGGGAATCAATCAATTCTCTCTGCTTGGATTTGAGTTCGTCCATCACTTCGTCTCCGGCTTTCTCTAAATCAGCCTCGAGCTCTTCTTTCAATGGTTTCCATGCTTCATCATCTGCAGCATCACGCTTGTTACCATCTGCCTTCTTATTGCTAGCCTTGAGAGCAGGCACTGTCTCTTCGTAAGCCTTGGCTTCCACCTTGGCAAAGTACTGTGACATTTTTCTGATAATCTTAACAAACAGGGCAAGCACTTGGTTGCTGGCCAAAGACAGCTCGCTTTGAAGCTGATCAATGGATTTACGTTGAAGACCAATACCGAGCAAAATAGCGCTTTGCACACCAGAAAGCTTGATGTCAGCAGGCATTTCTCCTCTAAAATAGAGTTCGGCGATCGTAGGGATCATATCAATAATGACATGGTAATCCAGCATGTTGTTGGAGTAAGAATCTAGACGCTTCAAATCGTAAGGCGTAAAGAAAAGACCGAGCGAGTTCTTGTTGAGATCACGGCCGCCTTCCGTTTGGCTATCTTGACCTTGCTTGGCTGCATCAATGATACTGAGCGCATTGACGGCTGTGAATTCACGGAAGTTGTAAGACAAGAGGTTGAGGAAACGCTTGGAGAAATCACGGGCAAAGGCATCGAGCCATGCAGAGTTGGCCACACGCGAATCTTCAGTGTCAGTCAAGGCCTTGATCATAACACAGGTATGCTCGCCAGTGAGGTCGTTGGCTGTTTGACGCATGTAAAGGGGCACGAAGCCAGCACGCTTCCAAAACTTGTGAAGAGAGGGAGTGAGACCATAGGAGACACCGAGGTAATCAAGACGTTGAGCACGCTTTTCACTCAGTTTGGTGAGCAAAGGAGGCATCTTGCGAGGATCACGCACCTTGACTTGATCTGTCTTGATGTCCACATTGTCAAATTCATAGTCTTCAACACGAGGAAGAGAATCATCATCAGGGCTATTGCTTTCGTTCAAATCATTGGCCTTGCCTTGGTAGAAATCGTTCAAGAGTTCGAGTGCTCTGGAACCATAACCCATCTTGGCATAGTCGGGATGTGTGGCAATACGGACAATACGGGCACCAGAAAGACTAGCGAAATCATCGTCTTGGTATTGTTGAGAGATGAGCCAGGGGATCATATCACCAGAGGGACGTTGGCCACGAGAGAGCGAGTTGATGACACTTTGACGAGAGATCTCACCTTCAAGACACACTTGCACTACGACCAAAGGATCAGGTAAACTAGTCGTGTTGGCACCGACAGGAGGCAGCAAGACAAACAAATGGTGTGCAGGGGCATCACTCATCAATTGAAGATCGTTTGGCGAGTTCTTGTAATGACTAGCAACGTAGAGAGACATCATACGTTGCAAAAAGGTCTCAGACACAGGGTGGTAAGAAAAGAGCGTATCACGGTTGACATAGTACAGCTCACACTCGGAGGGATGAGGGCAGCCTTGGATATTCTTGGAAACGACAGTGGCATCCAAGCAAAGCATCTTGTTCAACCACTTTTCAACAGGATCGTTAGGGGCATAACGAATGGGCTCTTCCAGTTTGACCTCCTTCAGTGTGCGACCACCCAAAGAAGCATCAGCACCCTCCACCTTCTTGGCTTGAAGATCACGACCCACCACAATGCCTTCAGCATCATCCTCCTTCTTACCCACAAATCCACGCGATTGTTCACGCAGCTGTTGAATCAATTTGAGAGACAGAGAGCGACCAGTGCCTTCATAACCGTTAATAGTAGAAGCCATAAAGACCAAATAAGGACCCAACAGCTTGCGCACCAAAGGCAAAGGAATAGCAGCAGCTTCATCAATGACCAACAATTCAGCTTGGCCAAGCACATGAGCATCTTGAGGTTGAATGTACTGAATAGTTTGACGATGTTGCTTGAAGATGTTGACACGCACAATTGCCTTGTTGAATTCAGGGTTGGTGGATTGGACAATATCGTAATCCAAATGTTCCTCATAGCCAAGTGCATCAAATGTCTTGAATACAAATTCAAACAAGGTCTTTAAATTCTCGGGGCTGGGCGAAGTGACAAAGATGTTGGAGTAACCATAGGCAACGGCAGAGGCCATGGCGATACCCAATGCAGCAGACTTACCACGACCACGAGAGGCTGTGAGAGTGACAGTACTACGCAACGACTTTTCGGAAATAGCTTCAATAAAGGTCAACACAGCCTTGGCTTGATCAATGGTACGTGTGCACTTGACAAGAGACCCAACTGGTTCTGTATCGACTAATGATTCCTTCAACTCGGCAAGTTCAATCTCTTCAGCTGATTTCTCGTCGGATTGCTTGATGGCTAAAGGTTTGACATTTTTACCAGCACTGATGGGCAAAACGTTCAATTCATCATCGACAACAAGACAGGTTTCGCAAGATCCAAGTGATAAGATAAAGCGTTCGTTGAATCGAGCAATGATGTCGCTATGAGCTTCAGTTCTGTATCTCGAGTGGACGTCCTGTGATCTCTGTCAATATCTCTATACACACACACACACTAGTAAACTTCAGACATGAGCTTACCATAGTCATGGTATAGAGTTGCTTAAGAGAGTTCATACTCTTCAATAAGAGAACAACCATACCTCCACCTTCCACAGTTTCAATCGTACGAGCTAAAGTGTTGGGTGTGATAGCCTCGAAATCCTGAAGAACACACATGCCATAAGTATTACCAAGGATGTTTTGAGTTTCCTTGTAGTAGGCATAGCGAATGTTGGTGACAGTGATGAAGAGCTCGAAAGGATCTTCCTTGTTGACATCTCTGATACCACGCTTGATGTCGTTCTTGATCTTGTTTTCACGCTTCTTGCGATGACTGATGTTGTATAAATACATTAAAAAAATCCATCTCATGAGCAATGTCCATTGAGACTTACCTAGTGAAACCAAGTTCTTTCTTATAACACCATAAAACAGATGGACGAGAAGTAACTTGAGCTTGAGACAAAAGCCAGTGAAGATTGACAATCTATATTGTGTGATGTCAAATCAGTTTTGGCATGTTCCTCACTATCTTTCTCATCCTACAGTTGCATTACCTGATCTTTTCCCTTGTCACCGACAACAACAAAAAAGGATCTGTGCTTGGTTTGGACACAGTTCTTGATAAGTGTGTGCACACGAGAGTCAACTACTTTCTTGACCATGCTTTTGTATGTATGTGTGGAGTGGATTCAAAAAACAAAATTGAAAGGTGATTCATGAATTTGAAGGAAATTTTGAGTGGCGTTTAAGCTTGGGAAATGAAAACCGGTCATTTTTAAGGTGCCTTCCTCTAGAACTTGCATTGACATGCCCAACTATATTCAGATCAACCAAATAATGCGAATCCTCACCTACCACTCTCACTGAAAACTCCTCCATCACTGTGAACGTTTCTCTTTTACGATGTCCCACAATTGATTTAATAAGAGCAATTCATGTATAGGTACACAAAAGACTGGTAATACCTTTTTACTACTCAAAAGTATGCAAAATACAGTATGCACAAAGCGACCTAAATTTGCAACCATTAAGCATTGCATCAAGTAGTTGATTAAGGCGGATTGAAACAAGACGAAAACAAATGAAGACAATGCGTTTTTGGAGTGCAATGAAATACTTGATTTCGTTTGAATTAAACAGTAGCCATAGCTAATACTTTGCCTGTATTCAGAAAAATAATGGTTGCCTAAATGTGCTTGCAAAGAGGAGGTTAGCTTTGCTTATAGCAGAACGAATTCCATCCGAGGAATTGACACATAACGATACAACGTCAAGGGAAGATAAAAACGCTGAACAATCTCAATTGAGCCGAACGACTGTTCAAATGCTACAGCTTGCTAAAGCACGGTAATTTATTGTGCTTTTCTGCTCTTAATAAAACGTAACGATTCAAGTCCCTTGATCAGAAAAGTAAAGTAAGGTGCAATTATTGGATTCAGCGTCCATTACACAGTTTCATGTGAGGGATGACTCTTGAGTTTATCTTGTGGAAATGTTATATTAAACTGTAGGCACTGCTTCGGCACAGCGTCGTTTACGCTGCTGTTACAACAGTTTTTTTTGGCCATCCCTCCACCATGAAATTGTTATAAGCTATAGTGCAACGTTTTATGCTTTACAGAGTGTATCTTTTCTTTAGCTAGAAACGTATAGGACTGCACAAAGTTATTCGATTTCACAACTTCTTTGCAGAAAAATTGGTTGTATACCAGCTAGCGGTATTGGTCCTTGGCTATTACTACCTATGATAATGAGCGCCCTTACAAATATGATTTCGATTTTGAGTTTTTGAGGCCATCCAACATCGAGTTTTGACATATTGATGCTAGAGTTTGAGATTAGCATGTTCTTGTATCAGTTGTTTGCCCCCCAAAGACAATTGTCCCCGCAAATTTGCATAGATAGCACGGTTGTTGAGAATTCGGTAATTGTAGAAAATGGTAAACCTTAATGAATAATAAATGCTACTAGTAGTAAAACTCTTTAGGTCCCTTTTGTTGTGCCAGAAGGGCTACAATTGTCTATAAAGATTAAGGTATTCTTGATGGGTAGATATGTCTGTGTTGTGCAACAACATGGACAAGCTATGATAAGTGAAGTGCATCTCAGCTATCTAAATACTGAGGTTTACCAGATGTGATAGGCGTTGTACAAGATAAATTGCTGCTTTGGCATTCATAACTTAGTATAAATAGAATAACTCTTGTCTTCATCAATAAATCTTTAGTTTTTGTGTCTGATCTTATTCAAATAAGTCTTTTCTTGTTTTTATAATATCGAGCATTTTTTATAAGCTACAAATAATAATCCTTTTATTCTTTGTGCTTAACAACTTTATGAATGTGATCTTTATTATGTGTAATAAAAGCTGTAGAGGATCATTTGTCTAATTAGAACATGCTTGATGTAGGTTTGCTGAGAACGATGTCGAAGATTAATGAGAAAAACAAAAAGGGTGAATAGTGTCTAAAGAGCCGTGCCGCTGGATTTCACCAAGTGAACCCGAGCCTAAAACTTATTAGCTTCTGCTTTATTTTCAATTCTCTATACGACGGTATAGTCTTTATAGGTAGGTTCCAAACGCTATAAAAATTTCCCTGCTTGTAGCTAATATAAGATTTAGAGCGAATTTATAAAGGGAATGCACATCTGGTACTTAAAACCCTCATATTATGATGGATTTAATGTAGAACTATCGAATTGTTTTTGTCTTGTGCGAATCCGGCGAGTATTTGTCGAGATATGTCCAAAAAAGAGTATCATGCAAAATTATGAATTTTTGTTCAAAATCTGCCTGTGATAGCAAGCAAAAAATCGTCACCAGATTTTTTGGTCATGACAAGATTGTCAATATTTCATGAAAGAGTTGTGCCAGAGCTTCAAGCAATAGCTCGTTCGATAGAAAATTTTTTGATCTACAATGTTTAGTAATGCATAACAAAACATTTTGATGACAGATAGTGATTAATCTTTAGAAAACAGTCAAAAAATTGCAAAAACAATCATACCAATTATCAGGTGAACGATGTATACCAGAGACTTGATATGGATACCATTGTATTTGCCTTTGAATTTTCTACAAGTTTTACATAAGTTTGAAGGGGTGGTTACTATCAAGAAACGCGTAATTATAAGGTCGATAGATTTCGGAATCCCATAGATCATCATTTAGAGCATTAGAAATTGAAGCTCCGTTGGCCTTCCGCATGTGCACCACACAAGCATGCATTTGACCAGACATTTTAAAAATCGGAGCGTACGAGAAGGACCATATTAACTTGCTGGTTTCAAATTATCATTAGATACCTGACATGTTGAAGAATCTTGTTGTCAAGACTAGACAGCTGTAACTTGCTTTATTCGATAATAATAAGATTTGCAATTTAAGGTATGCATACTCCCCCGCTTAGAAATAGCATCTCCAATGTCGATTAACTCAAGAAGTAAGCATTTCCAATATAATGTTCCCACTTAGGAGTTGCTCCAATACCAATATTCTATTATAGCATATGTTAGTTTTACACGATTCTGTTTTTTTATTTACCTATATTATTACTGTAATCGCGCATTTCAAAAAGAAAGTTTTGAGCCTTAGAATTAGAAGAAAAGCATCTATCATTTAGCAACTAAGTTCTGTACAATGCAGAACATCTGGTTCATTAAACACAGCTGTAATAATTGATTTACTTTAGCAACAAAACCTGGTACGCCTTATTTTTTGGCCAGATTATTATGTCCAAATCTAGCCATTTTGAAACACGAATAACTCATGCTACAAAGCGTTGTAGACGCTTAGAATAGGGTCAAATGGCTCTCCTTTGATACGCTTTACTTACTGATGCTTTATTTCATATTTTTTTAGATCAATGCAAGTCCATGAAAATTCTCATGTTTTCATGAGTACTAGTAAAGGAAAATTCTTGAAAATCAAACAATCGCGTTTTTTACCCCAAAAATGAAGACTTTTCCCATGACACATATTAGATCAAATTGATCGTAAAGATGGAATGCAACATTGGAAACCCTTTATCTGAGACTTCTGTATGCTAAATCTTGACATATTCACAGAAAACCTGTTTTCATATTTTTGAGAATTACTCGAAATTTTCAGTCTAAAAGCTGTATGTAGTTAGCATCATTCGATGCGGCTTCTTTAGTCCTCTAAAGGTGTATTAGAAAGTTGGGTGTAACAACGACAGTTTTTATAGTCAAATTTGGCAAAAACGTTCAAAAGATGTCTAATCAGGTCAAGTTTGAACACGAAAATACCCATTACTACATAAATTCAAATTAAATTACCGCAACTACGCCTACCATGGCAGGAGACTGAAATCAAATTTACTGGCCGTGACGTCGAATAGGGCGTCCTCTCATTTTTCCATCCCCCCCTTTTTTTTCCCTTTTTTGCAAAACACGTTTAGCATCAAACCATGGTGGTTTTGGAAACCCTTTGATTGATAATAACACTCTAGCTTCCGATAACTCTATCTTGTACTGTTGAAAGAACATGATACTGCTTCTTTAAAGTGGAATATGTTAGGTACCATTCGATGACGAGCACTGGAAGGCGTAGAATTAACATTAATGGAATTAGTTTTTTATTATGTTTCAATAAATTTTTTGCCTGTTCGACGTGGGTGCTGCAGCCATTACTTCTCTGCCATCTCTGCTGTCTGCTTCTTTGTTTCATCATGTCTGGTGGTTGCTTCTTTGGTCTTTGTCTGGCCTTTGCTGGTGGCGTTCGTTCTTTGGCTTTTCTATGGTGGTGCTGGTGTTGTTGCTGCTGCTGCTAATATGGCCTTTCCTGGTCTACTGTCTTTGGTGCATGATTGTCTTCTGGTTTATCTCTGGTAATTTCATATTCTTTGGTCTATCTGTGGCTATGGTAAGTGGTAAGTAACTTTTTTTCTTCCGGTCTCAATAATATAAAACTTCTTTGAACGTTTGTATTATTGCTTCCTTTCTCATGATAATGCATTCATGATGTTTTCTTTGTTGCACTTTCTTTTTCTTTTGCTGGTTTTGTTTCCTCTGTGGCTTCACTTGAAACAACATTAGTCATTACGTTGTATTGCAACCTTATAATACAACTGTTGCTTTTGCAGTTGTGCGTGTTTGTGTTGCTTTACATCCGACTATTATTACCATGCACGTTGCTCATGTATGCATTTTTGTTGCAACAACAACGAGCTCCTTTGAACATCTTTGATGTTGTATTTGTGATATGCTTTTCTTTGACTTGCTTCGTGTGAGCATTTCTTTTTCTTTTTTTTTTTTTGCCTACATACTACTATACTCTTAGAGTAATATGTTTTCTTTTTATTATTATTATTTTTTTTTATGCTTCTTCTTTTGAAGCATACCTCTTTATTACGTTGTGGTGGATGTGCCTATCGCTGAAGCTCAACAAGACTTTATCCGAGGCTAGGAGGTGGATAGGCTGCCTCCACTTGGTTATCGCTACTTACTTTAGTGATGATTGAGGGTCTCAATGCCTGAATTTTAAGCTAGGTGGTGTAAGTAAGGCATGCTCTAGCACCTGGGGGAAATTTGATGATAGCTACCGTTATATTGCTATATATAGCGGTGTTTAAAATTTTGCCTCACATCAAAACAGAGGGAAACCCTCGCAAATTTTTTTTTAGTTCAGCGGAGTTTTCAAGCAATTTGATTGGCTTAGAAATTGAAGCACCAAGAGGTTATAGCTAGTTGATCTACTGCTCGTCTGTCATTTAGTATGATTTCGTGTTTGTAATAAACGGTATGAATTAGATACTATTTGAATTTTTCTTTATTCAATGGTAGTAAGATAAAATGTAGCTGCTTGACCTGGCATCTAGACCATTACGCAGTTTGATGTGAGGGGCGTCCTTCAAATGTATTATGTGGGCAGGCTATGCAATACAGAAACTACTGTAACCACTAAAAGACAGCCATAGAAGAGCGCTTTAATGCCCTTGACATAGCGCCAGTAGAAGCTCAACTGAAACCGCTGAGACCTTGAACGATGAGCATGTTTGATAAAATATCAGTGAAATAAACCTCCTCAAGAGCAGCTGCTTGTTTGATTATTACACAATGTAAAGAAACTTGCGACAACTACAGGTGACTCATTGAAAATTTTATTAAAGAAGAGTATTGCCATAGGAGAGTTGCGATAGCTTGAAAGAGTGTATTATGAATTCGTCTCTTGGCGCATGGTTAAAAAAGGATTCCTTTAGATATTTGCATGAATACTACTACCAAGCACGAGTTTTAGTACTAATTTTGATGAAACTGAAAGGGTTGTTTGACGAAATAAAAATGAAAATCACATAAAATACAGCAACTACCCGCTCTTGATGTTTATTCACTGCTTCAATGGTCGATTGGGAGATAACGCCTCAAGCCATTTTCTCGTTCGTTCTTTAGACTCTCTTAGAGCCTTTCTAGCTTTTGCGATTCTTTCATCAATAAAGTATCTGTCTTCCTGCAATAAGTATTTCTGTTTGTTGGATGGCGCATATATCTGAGTGAGACGAGGAGGCGGTACTAATTCAGGTCCATGTTCCTTATGCTGACTAGTTGTAGTGACTGTATGAGGCGGTAGAGATGCACTTTTGTGGTCTATCCGCTGCTTGGGTTGTTTCATATCAATGGAGGATGCTTGAGATGGCGCGCCTCTATGCTCTTGCTCTTCCAGGGCGTTGGGAGTTAAAAAATGATAGCTCTTGTGCTTTTCTTGGCTAGACTTCAATAGAGAATCAAAGAACTTATCTGTATTTCTTTTGCTATGCAGTGGTGCATGAACATTGGCCTTCTTTCTCCTGGCTCTCAGCAAGTCCTCAAAAAAGTCAGATGTGGATGTGCCATCATTGGTTTGAGTCGCTTCTGCCTCTTTGAAAGGTACATTGTTTTGTGGTTGCGGCCGTGGCGAAGGCGGAGATGGTTGAAATGACATTTGAGGTTGAGGTTGAGATTGCATTCGTGATTGAGGTGAGTGTGGAGATTGAGGTGATTGTGAAGACTGAAGTATCAGCGAAGGTGGACGTGGAGCTTGTGATTGAGGTAAAGGTAAAGGGGCAGGTCGAGATGGAGAGATTGGTGAAGATGAGGGCTTCCTTTCCATGTGTTGCGATAGACCATTGTTTTGGAATTGTAGTTCATGATAAAAAGATCTTCGGTTTGTTATTGATGGACGTGAAGCTTGTGGTCGAGGTAAAGATGAAGATGACACTTCAGATGAAGGCATTGGTGTAGAGGAGCGTACCTTTTCGTTTTGTTGCAATGGAGCTGTCTTTTGCATTTGTAGTTCATTGTACAGAGATCTGCGATTTGTTGTAGGAGGACGTTGTAGAGGAGCAAGTTGCGAGGCCGTAACGTTAGCTGGAGGTTCAACTTGAGTTGGATGTGCTGTCGTTGTTTTCATGGTTATATTAGTATTGGTGGCAGTTGATGGACGAGATGTTGGTATCGCTCGTTTGAATGAGAGCGATGATGATAATGATGAGAATTGTGCATTGATAATTTTCTGAATCTTGGATGGCTGTGATGATTCCTCATTGCTATTGCTTCTCTTGAATGCTGCATCCTTATTCGATGTCAATTCCTTCTCGATGCGAGCGATTCTGTCAGCAACAGGTTCTATGTTTGTATCTTGATCCAATTGATATTGTTCATCTTCCTGTGTTGCTATTGCCTCTGCTGACTGTGAAGGATGTTCTGTTTGAGGTGGAGCATGCATTTTTGGTGTTGGCCTTCCCTTTTCAACAGAAATATGTGGATGCATCTTTTTCGATGCTGATATCGTGCTGTGAGTAGATAACCTATCAAATACATTGGATGTAGGCTTTTTAGGCACTGGCGCTTTGGCATGCTGGTTGTGTGATTCGGCTGGTTTATTCAGGGGATGTTTGACTCGAAGCGCTCTTCTTTTCTTTTTGTGCAGCCAAGGGAAGGATGGGCCTGAGACGTTTGCTGGGCCTATAGAAAACAAGGAGCTCGTAAGAAATGAGTCAAACCCATGTACCTCTCTCACTTACTAAACCAACTTTCATCTGGCCTTTCCTGGGGTATTGAATTTGTGAAATCCCAGAATTTAGGCATCTCAAAGTCATATCTGGAGTCGTCTTTTCGTTGCAAACTCATCATCCACCTGCTGTTGAGGAAAGAGAGAGAGAGAGAGAGAGAGGTATGAGCAAGAAAAAGGAGGAGAAAAAGGCAATCAAAGTGCAAACTTCACGACTAATCGCGCTTAAAAGCATACAGATCTGGTGACATTTGAATCTCCATCATGTGGATAAGAGTAGGCTCAGAGGTCAATAAGAGACATTTTGCCCAAGAACTAGCTATCTGTTTGAATGTTCTTGGGACAAAAAACCTTTCTTTTACATCAAGATGTCTCTATCAATTTAGCAGGTATGTATTGTACATGCATTTGCCTTACAATACCTCTGTTTGATCACTTCAACGATGCCAATGTGACTCCTTTACCTCTATCAAAAGCTGCAAAATATTTCGAAACACTGTTTTTTTTCTTTTGCATTACTACACAACTCATCATGGATCCAGAGACGCCATCAATCGACATTCCCAAGAAAGCAGTGCGTGCCCTCAAAGTGCGTCTTCAAGTTGTCAAGAAGCATTTAGAACCACTTTTATCCAAGCCCATCAACGATGTCTTCAGCAAGCTATCTGTGAATCAACGCTATGAATTAGAAGTGTTGCTGTCATATAGTTTGAACAGTTTATATTACAGTAAGCAGCATAGAGCGGGTGGTAGCATACCAATGGATTGACTTTTACTATCTAGTTTATTTAAGAACACAAGGGTCAGATCCTCAAAAACATGAAGTGGTAAATGAATTGGTAAGCATAAAAAAAAAAAAGGATAGATTTACTATGGAATGGACCACTCATCCACAAGTCTATAGCTTCGTGTGCAGCAATACATCCAAAAGTTGAAAAAGGCACAAGGAAAAGAAGCTAAGCGTAAGTGGGCAATTGTACTAGTAGACGGCATTATGTATTCATCTTTATTACAGCAACAATGCGAGTGGATAAAGACGCTGCTGCTCGATTCATCAAGAACGCCATCAACGAAGGTGCGAGCGAAAATGAAAAGGCAACTGCTGACAAAAAGAGAAAATTGGAGGAAACTGTATTCATTTCATCAGATGAAGAAGACGAACACTCAGCCAAGAAAGATGCATTTAGTAATCACTCAAGTAAGTTGCTTTATTCTTGGTCTGAAATTGGGTTATGAATTGACATGACTATAGAATCATCAGAGCCTTCAAAAAAGAAAAAGAAGAACAAGAACCGAAAAGCATAGGTGCAAAGAGCGAGTATATCTATTAATTGAATTGCGAATAAATGGAAAAAGGGAAAGGGGGGGAGCTCTATGGTGTGTATATATATACAGTCTAAGGTTGTTGTTCAGATTTACGGTTAGCAAAGAAATGCTTTCCCATCTCATAACTGGATATCATGATGGCACATGCAGGTGCCACTTTCACAACGCGAGGCACAACACCTCTAAAGAATCCGGCTGTGCCATCTCGTTGTAGAATGTTTCGCAGTATACGTCCCAGTCTCGCTTCCTCTGCATCCGAGCTGACTTGTCGCTGTGTCTTGACGACATCAAAGGGTGTGGTGATAATAGCTGCAAACATGCCTGATGATGCGCCTGCAATGAATGATGTCTGAAAGTGTGATAGTCCATGATGTGTCTGTAATCGATGCTTGATCTTTTCGTAGCCCATCCAATAAATGCCGGAGAATGGCACATCTCTCAGCATGGTTGGTAAAAGCCCTCTCCACAATGCTTGAGGCCCTTCCTTTTGTACCATCCTTGACACACCTCTCCAAACATCTATATCCATGCATTAGGCTCGCTTTTTTCTTATCCATTTCAAACTGTATCGCAATTACCTGAAAATCCATTCACACCTTCAGCTGATTGCATGCGAGTTCTGAATAATTCGAGCGGTGAAACGACCAAAGCTGCCATGGCTACACTGTAGTGTCAGTTCTCTGTGCCATTCCATGCCATGTGTCCAGTCACTTACTTCTAGCTAATCCACCCGCCCATAAAGGTGAATAGGTATCCAATGCTGTGTTGGCAAACTGCGATGACCGTGTGTGATCTCTGATGTAGTCGTAGCCCACAAAATAAATAGCTGTTGAGGGCAATGCCATCGCCAATCCAGGTGTTAATCCTCTCCATAAAGCAAAAATGCCCTCGTTTTTGAATATTTTTGATAGTGCATCCTAGTTTTGTGTATCGTCTTAGCATTCTGTTGAATTATGAGTCATCCCTGACATGAGGTACTCACAATTGTTCCTGTATACTGTTTGCTACCTCCCTTGGAAGCCTCTTGAAGTCGAGTCTTGACCACATCCAATGGGTTCACTGCAGTCACCGTTAGATATACGGCTGCTGCCAAAGATTCAAATGGTTACTTACTGAATGACATTGTAATGATAGCACCAGTACAGGCCGACACAATCTTTTCAAAGGAAGAGGATCCAGTGATAGAACTGGCTTGAATTTGCTTCTCTGCAAACATGGCTTCAGGCTGATTTCTGCTGCCTGTTGCAGCTATTGTTTCGCTCATGATGTAGAATGAAACAAAGGAAAAAGAGAGCAGAATTGATTTATAATATTTCTCTGCTCCTCGTTTTGTTCGCTAAAATTCGGGTGCTGATTTTAAGCTCTGGTAAAACATCCAATGTGTGTGTGTGTGTGTGGGGGGGGGGGGGGGGGGGGAAAGCTCACAAAATTTTCTGTATATGTAAAAGCCGTCATCTTTAGCGCATCGGATAGCCATAGTGATCCGTTTATACCGGCTTTAAATCATTAAATAGCACATGGAAAAGTGGCTCAAATCTGTTCGTCCTATTGCGTCAACTTCCATTTCACCAAGGATTTTTTTGTCATATCAAAAGCCTTGTGCAATTCAAAGAAACCATGCAACATTGGGAATTTGAGCCTCCGGTCTCAAAAAACCTGATTTGGAAAGGTCCTTGACTAGTTCAAGATATAGCTTTAAACGCACATATCTAAGGAAATAAGAGCGATAAACTTGATCTAAAAAAATGTATCAAATGTGCGGTGCCTTTGCCATTCTTTTATAGCTAATTATGTATAAATACAACACTTGGGCGTTGCACGGCATAATTTTGAAAATTGCGTATCTAAAACAAGTAGCCCAAATAAGACCATCTTGCTTCCAAACTTACAAAGTCTTGCAGCAAGCCATACAACTATAGTACCAAAAAATGCACTAAATTCTAGTGATCTGTTTGATGCTAGTTTTGCGCTATTTTGAGGCTACTAAACACGACATATAAGCAGTTTCCATATGACACTTTGTCACTGCGCACTTTTGAGTAGCGCGTACCTGAACATATTCATAGCATAGATAGAGCTGAATCAACCGGCAAAGCCTCAAAGAGATACCTGTGTACGTGCCGCTTTACATGAACAATAGCTTTGATTGTACCAGCCAGCATGAAGCTCATAATGACTATCATCGACGTACAATACTGCAAATGCCACTTTCATTAGCAATCTCATTGACCGTCAAACGTATTCATTTCGTATCATTCAAAGCGGTATTTATTGGCTTTATTGTGCAGTTTTGATACACGTCTACATTTCAACACACTTTCCACATCTACGCATCATATGCAAGATGTAGATCAGAAGCTCCATTGAAAATGAAATACAATACAAGCGCGGTAAACGCGGTTTACTAAAATCTATAAAATGGCAAATTATTTTTAACTTGGCGTGTTTAGCTTTTTCTCTTTCTCTTTCTCTTTCCTGTCATTTTCGTCATGTCTGCTAATCCACAAACCTCCAAACTCTTCATTAAGCGTCTTTCTGAATTTGCTCAACTCCCTACCAGAGGTTCTACTCATGCTGCTGGTTATGATTTGTATTGGTAAGTTTCATCCCAAGTGAGATGACAAGATTCTAAGTTTCAATGTGCAGTGCCCACGATAAAGCTATTCCTGCTCAAAGCAAGGTGCTGGTTGATACAGACATCTCGTTAGCTATTCCTGAAGGCCACTATGGTCGTGTCGCTCCTCGTTCTGGTTTAGCTGCTAAGCATCACATTGATACTGGTGCTGGTGTCATTGATGCCGATTATCGTGGTCCTTTGAAGGTATTGTTGTTTAATCTTGGCCAAGAAGACTATGAAGGTATGGATGCATACACAGTACGAGGAATAGGATTGCTGATTGTCAATTACAGTCAAGCGAGGTGACAGAGTGGCTCAACTGATCATTGAAAAGATCTCGACCCCTGAAGTCGTTGAAGTTGAAGTAAGTGTGTCATACCTATTCTTTGATCGGAAGTGTGCTAATAGTAAAATCAGTCATTGGAGGAATCTGTTCGTGGTGCTGGTGGATTTGGTAGCACAGGCTATCAATAAACTGAAGTGTATAATAGAAACAAATTGGATCTTTATTTTAGAGTGCAGAGTTGCTGTAATTATTAATTAATTAAAGATAAAGTTTAACAAAAGAAATGGAGTGCTTTGGAAATAATAAGATATGTGCTATTTGCGAGTGTGTGTGTGTGTGTGTGTGTGTGTGTGTGTGTGTGTGTGTGTGTGTGAATGTGTGTGTATAAAACAGAAAATATATATATAAAAGAAAATACATCTGCTCATTTCTTGTTGTTGACTAGATCACCTTTGGATTTCTCTGAAAGTGCATTTAGTAACAGAGCAGATGCATTTGGTTCTTCAGTTTGGTTGACAACTTTATAAACGGTCATGGAACCCAATTTGTGTGAAGAGAGTTTGTTTAAATAGGGTAACAGGCGAGGGCATAATACACGGTAACGACCTGGAAGTTCGGATGTGTCTAAAAACCAAGTGAGTAATAATACACCATTAGCATTGGTAGTGAGTAAAACGGTATTCTGTACAATAGCAGCAGCCACGTAGACCTATTTGTGAAGGGTGAGGTTCTGTTATTGAATGCAATGTACATGTCTTCTTACCCGCTGCTCTTTGGTAACAATCGAATTTTCAAGGATGGCTCGCACAGCACGAGCACCAAATCGACCTTGGCCAATCTCCCAACATTTATCGACAATGGCATCAAAGATGTATTGGTTTTGCTCAGGTCCCTTCCGCAAACAGCACTGCACGACGTAGTTGCCAAACTGATCCAACAAGAGTAGAGGAACATAGGGCGCAATGTGTTGACGCACAAGACGAATCTGCTCAGGTGTGTTGGCATAATCGATGATCTTTTGAGCAGCCCAGGTACCATTCTTGTGGACGCCAATGGAAGCAAGGAAGGGTGCAATCTTTTCCAACATCTTCAATTTGGTCTGCTCAGAGCAATGCTCAAATAGTTTTTGGATGACAGTATTACCAATATAATCTAAGGAAAGCGTGAGCCTATCATCCGAGTAAGCCATCTGCTGATACGTACCACTACACAATTCAACGACTTCCTCCATGCATTCGCCAGCTACCGTTTCTACTTCTTCCAGCGAGTATTGTTCATCATTTTCCAGCTTTTTTCTCATTTCACGCAAGCGAAGAGGCTCCAACTTTCTATCTGAACCTAGTTCAGGGACAGCAGGAATCACAGAGAAATAGGTCAAAGGCACTCGATCTTCCTTCATCTGTTCAGAAGGCTCTTGACCCAGTTGCTGCATAATCAAGTGTCTTTCAGATGCGATTGCTGTGTAAAGACTGGGCTGCGTGGTTTGCTGTTGACCCGAAGCATTCATCATCATGTTGGTCATCATCATGGCGGTGGCCCATTGAGCCGTCTGATAGTTTTCTGATCCATTCGTCGTCGTGGTAGATGTAGAAGGCATTGTTGTAGTAGCAGTAGACTGCTGATTCGGCGTGGCATTTGCGTTAGATTTCGTAGGCAATGCTGGTACCAGTGGTGGTGTAACGTGCCCACTTGTACCAGGTATTTCTTCGGCTTCATCCGGATTGTTGGGGGGCACTTTGGCAAAGCCGATGCGGACAGCACCTGTACCAGGGCCAAGAATCTCCTTGTTCTGAAGTGATTTCCGAGCACGAACAGCGTCTTCCTGATGATCGAAATTGATGAAGCCGCAATTCTTGTGTGACAAAACTCGCACAGATTCAATAGCACCAAATGTTTGAAATATGCTACGAAGGATAGCTGGATTCATATTGGCAGGAATATTACCAACCCCTACAGAACCCAAACAGAGAAACATTTAATACGCTTTTTTACGCTTGGTATCACACACACACATATCTTGACTTACATAGAGCACGAGTAGGTCCTTGAGCATTAGGCCCAGCTTCGTTGGTAAGCGCCATGGCTAAATTGACATCAGCTTTACCAAAGCCAACACGAACAGGTGTACCGCCTAGTTTAGAGCCCAATCGAGTCTCTAGATCGTTCTTGGCTGCAACAGCCGATTCCTTGCTGGTAAAATTAACAAACGCACATTCTTTATCCGACAAGATTCTGGCACTTTCTACTTGTCCATATGTGGAGAACAATTGCACTAGATCTGGAACGCTGATGCTAGGATTGATGTTACCTAGCCATAGAGCACGAGATGGGATTTGAGCTTGAGCAGAGGTGGGTGAGTCAGCGCCATCGGGCTGTCCGTAATAATCCTCCATGCTATAAACATGCTGATCCATGCTCATATCAACCAGATTACTGCTACTGCGAGACGACCGAAGAGGCGTCTCGGCCGATTGCTGCATTCTTAGACGAGTAGGATTTGAAGGCATTGCTAAGTTGGGTGTCACTGATGCGGATACAGAGGATACGGGTGAAGCTGCTGCTGCTGCTGCTGCTGCCGATGCTGTTGCTTGAGACATGTCAAATGGTGAGAATGAATCAGCCATTCCCAAGCTGATGGCTCGAGGACGATGCAAGACGCTTGATCTTGTGTGTGGCGAGAAGGGGCTAAATGCCAATCTTGCGTTCATGTCGTTTCCCGCCAACTGACCTGTAACAGTATAGGAGCGACCACGAGCAGGCATGTTGTGATCCTCTGTACCATAGTCGCTGCTGTTCTCGTCATCCAAACCTAGAGAAGCGAGGGTCGACGCAATTGTGTTGGACGCATTTTCATCGATGGGGCTTGAGGGATCATACGGATTATTATACCCAGTGTTGAAGGGAGTGTCATTGTAGACAGCAGTCTGCGGCAAGGTGACGGAACCAGAGCGATGGCGAGACGAAGGCTGAGCAGAAGGAGGCGGTGGGAGCATCGTGTTCTGCACAACGCTATCATTCAAATGGCTCATGGAAGCAGAGAACATGTCATTTGCATAAGGAAACGGGGAGGATTGAGTAGGCATTGTATCCGCACGCGATCTTCTGAGTGGAGAGTCCAATGACTGATTGAACGATACACGCGCACCTGGCTGGTTGTTTGTATCCATGTCGTTGGATAGCCTTTGTTTTTTTTTTTTTTTTATATGTGGCATATGAGTACAAACCACTTACGAGCAAAGACACCCCAACATGTACACATAACATTTGGCTTACCTGACAGATGACAATGGCGGTGGTGCGTTGGATGATTTTTGCAGTAAATTCGGATGTTTACGAGGATTTTGACCCTCGTTTACCCACGTAAAATCCATATAGATGTGTTATGTAGACTTGTAGCTAAAGTGTTGCTTTAAAAAGACGGGTGGAGAAGGCGTCAAAGGCTACGAAACCCGATTGAAAAAAAAAGAAAAAAATGTGACAGCAATACAGAGCGCAGAACAAGAAACAAGGTGGAGTATTTGTTTATCCCAGATCTTGTACATGTTTGACATGTTGCATGTGTGTGTATAGTGTCATTGCGTGTGGGGAGTCAGACATGGTGATAAATTGGGCTTGTCGGTGTATACCAATAGAGACGAATGACTAGCCCTAAAAAGGCGCGCCATCCATAGATGATCATGGCACTTCCGGATCAAATATGGATAGTCGAGATGTCTTTGTATGGCTACATTGGAAATGCTTTTGTTTTTTTTTTTTTTTTTTTTTTTTTTTACTGTGATTACGTTTGAGCAATCGCATTTATATACAAATGCACTGATTTACAAGCAAGCTGACCTTGGCAACAAGATGATGACAGTGATCTGCAATGTCCTTTTGGCCAACCTCAAATGCGAATCCAGGATAAGATAGACGCTTCAAGATCAAATGCTCGACCAATGCTTCGATCTAAATGGGCCAAACCTCATTTGTGGAAGATTCATAGACCTGAATTAGACAGATCAGAACCAATCAATAGCATTGTGACGTCCACAATTTAATAGTTATTTGTCATGAGTTTTTCTCACATTTAAGAATTTAGCTATATTCCCTTTTTCTTTCTCCCTTTCTCCTCACTCTTTTTTCTTCACCTTTTTTTTTTTTTTTACAATATGCCTTCTCCTCCCAAACCTTGGGAAGTCAACAACAGCAATGGAACAGCAGTGGTTACTTCACCTACAGCAGCAGCTTCGTTAACAACATCCAATGCTCCCGATGTACCAGCTCGTTCTTCAGCATTGACCGATTCTTCCGTCTCCACACCCGCTAGACCAACCAGTAACTATTTCACATGTTGATTCTGTTTTTAGGGTTTTCATATTTACCATTATGTAATGAATTAGGCTATGGCTCAACTGGATATGGCTCAACTGCTTATGGCTCCACCGGCTATGGCTCAACAGGCTATGGATCCATGGGTGGTTATGGCTCCACAGGCTACGGTGGATATGGTAGCACTGGCTATGGCATGAATTCATACAATCGATATGGTAGCTCCTATGGAGGTTATGGCAGCTCTTATGGAGGCTATGGTAGCAGCTATGGTGGCTATGGCGGCTACGGTGGTGGTTACGGCATGAATCGATATGGTGGTGGTTTCGGCAGAATGGGCGGTCCAGGCGGTCCAGATGAAATGGGTCTAACTCAACGTATGGAAATGGGCACTCGTCCTGCATTCGAAGTCGTTGAAAACATTGTTGGATCATTCGGCGGTTTTGCTCAAATGTTGGAGTCGACTTTTATGGCTACACACTCTAGTTTCATGGCCATGGTGGGTGTTGCTGAACAGCTTGGATTTCTCAAAAACTATCTCGGCCAAGTGTTTAGTATCTTGGCTCTCTATCGTTTCGTCAGAAAGATCATTGACAAAGTGACAGGCCGCGCACCAGTAGGCAAACCATTGGAGATGAATGTCATGGAGTTCCAGAATTTCGAAAACAAGGTTGCTGCTGCTGCCAGTGGTCCCAAGATGTCAAGAAAGCCCTTGATCATCTTCTTATTGATGGTGGTGGGTCTTCCTTACATGATGCATAAATTGATCAAACTCATTTCTGCTACACAACAAAAACAAATGGCATTGCAAGGTGTTGTGCCTGGTGCTGCTCCTGGAAGTGCTGCTGCTATCGATCCCTCAAAACTTGAATTTGCTCGTGCCATGTACGATTTCGCATCAGAGTCTCAAATGGAACTCAACCTAAAGAAGGGTGATATCGTTGCTATTATCTCAAAACTGGATCCCACTACAAATGCTACAAGTCAATGGTGGCGTGGCCGTTTAAGAGATGGCACTATGGGTATGTTCCCTGCAAACTATGTAGAAATCATTCAAAAGGGTGGTCCAGCAGCGAACAATGATGCTGTCAATGATGCCAATGCTGTTTTGAATGAAAAAGTGCCGACGACACCAGCTATTGCTGCTTCTCCAGCTTCAGAAACAGCAGCTACCAAATTGGTTTAAACACGTCTAGTTATTTATTATTATTATATTCATCATATTTATTCCCCCATTCACCTTTTTATCCTTCCTATCAAGAAAATTATATGATTTCTCCCCCTTTGTAATATATCTCTTTACCTTCCACTTAATAAACTCAAATCAATTGCTTTGGCATACCACTAAGCGCTTTTTCCGCAGTGTGGTTGTGTTGAATTCATGCATGAATTCAATTGTTTTTCTGTGATTGACATATCTCTGAAATCTTGAATGCTGTGCATCATTACGGGAGAGCACGCATTGCCAGCTATTCTTGAGCAACTAAAATCGATTGCGAGACATTGGATTCATCCTGCGTAAATGTCATTTCATGCAAGAAATCATTGAATATTCTACTAATAATACGTGCCTTTCGACACTTGGAAAACTACCAACGTTCAAACGGCTCGCGCTGCCGCGGGCCTTTGGCTAATATCGCAAAATTAATACAGCTAAAATGTTAGAAGAACCCTGATTGTTGATTGATATCAAATCACTAATCATATGAAAGTTTATGCTTCGGATGGTTCTCTACCTTCGCTTTGCTTCGGTGAAAGCCAGCCTGCGCAGAGGCAGCGAGCGCTACCGATTGCCCTTGCGTACCTTATCAAAATACTGCTACTTTCAGTTTAATCCTCCACTTGCACATGAAAACCCTTCATATTATCTGTGGATATGGCTCTTATGTGATGCTTCGCATCAGTATACATGTATACAGTTTGTATACGGGCAAGCAGTATACTGGCATTTATCCTTTTTAGTCCTTAGTATCCCTGATACAGCAAAATCTGAGTGCATTTAAGCCGCGTTTTCTCGCGTTCAAGGCCGTTTTGGGTGGTCAGAATAGCACCAAACAGTTGCTCTCATTTGGCGGTTACTTTCTGACATCTTTGCTCAACTTTTTGGGGACCCAAAAAAATTGGTCAAAAATCGACTAAAAAGCATGAGGTACCCCTCATGGTTTTCATCGAAAATCAAACGATCGCATCTTTCACCTTGATAACGAGGACTTTTACTATGGTATATCTTGAATCAACATGTTTCTATCGATCCAACGTAACCACTGAAATCATCTTTGTGGTACTTTGCTATGTAAAATTTCGACATTTTGGCCATAAACATCTTTTCATATTTTCATAAATTGCTCAATAAGTTTATTAAAAACATCTATGTTACTTGGTACCATTGGATGAGCATTGAAAAGCACTTTAGGAATGCATTAGGAAGTACGGGGTGATTATCACAATTTATATAGTCGAATCTTGCAAAGTAAGTGAACCAAGTCGAAATTGAACAAAATATGGCCAATCTAGATTAGTAGTGAAATGGAGTTTTAAATGGGGTTGACGATTGGTAGCCATGTTGGTAATAACATGCCGTTTACCATAAAGGTAATCAATGTTTACAAGCAAACAACAATGGGATTACAAATTAAAAAAGTGCCATTGCTTAGACCAGAAACCATTTTTTGCCTTTTCTGTGCTTTTTTTATACATATATATCCGCTTTAATACTTGCAGATTTCTCATCCTAATGCAAATACTAATAGAATTGCATGTAGCATGTATTAATAAGTTTCAGTGATATCAAACCAATACGATATATCTCTTGTGATCTGTTTTCGAGTCTCACTTACACTGGTTTGGGCTGTTACTTGCTAGAAATTACTAGAAATGATCCATGATGGCAGTCTGAAATCACGCTGTTTGATTTCTTGATTCCGAAATTGCATGAATTTTCGAGCAACTTCGACAAATGAAATCATCAGGTTTGGTCAAACAAGAAAAATTCGAGTACCTTCCCCTCAAAAAGGTATAAAAAGAAGAGCCTCCCCTACGCCAAGTATCATTTGTTCATTGTATATTCCTTCAAACAAATCAAAATAAACATGTCATATTCACTCACAAACCGCTTATTCTCTGACGCTCTTCGTGATATGCAACGAGCCATGGCTGCATTCGAGCAACCCTTGTTTGCTGTTCCTACTGGTGCATTGATGGGTCCATCGTCCAATACTCCCTCCTTGTCACGCTCTACTCATGGTGCTTTCCATCCTACCACAGATATGATTGAGACGCCTGACGCCTATGAGTTGCATGCTGAACTGCCCGGTTATGACAAAAAGGACATCAAGATTGAAATGCCTGATAGCAATACTTTGGTGATCAGTGGTAATGTAGCCAAGGAGTACAAGTCTCAAGGTCCATCTGGTGAAGATACCGCTACCGATGCAACTACTGATGAAGCTTCTGCTAGCAAAGAAAGCCAACAAATGACTACAACTGCAAAGGATCAAGATAAGCAAGTTGGTAAGCACTCTGCTGGACACAAGTGGCTGGTTCAAGAACGTACAACTGGTTCGTTTGTCAGAACTTTCACTTTGCCAATTGCTGTCAAGTCTGAAACTATCAAGGCTTCTTATAACAATGGCGTTCTCAAGGTTGTTATTCCCAAGGCTGAGAACAAGCAGACCAATAATCAGATCACCATTGATTAAACAACGGTTTCTCCTTTACCCCCCCCCCATTGCATTGTCATTCTATACCTTTTGTCTGTATAGGTTTATTATATAATCCTTGTTAGTGTCTTGCAGATTCTCCATTTTAAAATAAAAATCAATCATTCCATTCTTTTGAAACATATGTCTCTTGCTATCAATGATGGTGATGTATTCTGCCCTTTATATATTAATGATGCCTTCAAAACGGTTGGAAAACGCATCATTTTAAAAGCTCAAATTAGCATTTGCATCTCATTCAACATTTTGATGCCAAAGGATATTGAGGCTGCTTATTAAGGCACGCTTGTATGAAGGCATGTATATAACCTCACTCTAACATTTGAATGCATAGCCCCAATACAATCAAATTTGATAATACGATTCTGTAGTACATAGCTTGGCCAATGTTTCCCACTTAAATCGGCCAGATTCTCTTGAGAGACCATATAAATGCTCAGTTTGCAAACAAAACTGTTCTTCTTTCTCCTTGTCTACTATGCACCGTGCTTCTTGCATGGTAACGTTGATTTGTACATCGTGTTTATCATACTCCATATGCACAGTGCAGTTTGCAGACCAACACACAACAATACTCTTAGAGTATTATACGGCCATTGTACGCACCGCAATGTCCTCAATTTTGAGCTTTTGCAGCTCTTTTGTGCGCACACTCTACTTTGACAACATTACCCGTACCAACAATCATATACATGCCTCAAGACATCTACAAAGCTAATATGGATATCAAACTTTGCAGCAATTTAAGCCTCGACCAGAAAAAGCCCATTAGACAAATGAACCGTATAAACTAGAATTACAAGACAGATCTTACCAGGCTGCAAAAGTTCCAGAAACTAACATGCAAAGCGTACGTATCAGAAAATACTGCAAAGCCAAAGCTAGAAACACAACAAGTATCAAACACATATCATCAGAAACACAAAAACCTCAGCGAACATTCATTCCCAAACGCTTTAGTAATTATCAAGTTATGGAGCATCACAGGAATGCCTTGCGGTGGGCGTCCATTATATACCAAATATTGGAACAAAAACTGTCATTAATCTGTATTGCCTATATCTCTTGTACATTAGTGCTATCTTCCTGATCATATACATGTACAGAGCAGAGATGGATTCACACATCTCTCATTCAAACGCTCTCTGTCGCTCTGTGACGTGTCAACTCGACTTAATGTTCATGCTCAAACACAATGCGTTTTTATTCCATCCTCTCTTTTCGTTACAAGAAACTCAGGATGCCCAACAGAACCATCGATTTTCGACAACTAGTAGAAACCAAAGCTGCCCTTTTGCCATCCTCATCACAAAGAAAACCGCATTCTTCACCGAGACATCACAAAGAAACAGATGAACACTCGTACGATTTGTTCACCAAAGAAGCTTACCGCATCTATCAACACATTACCAGTTTAAAACGATTCTTGATCACCATTCGGCCTGCCTACTTGAGCACCAGTAAAAGATCAATGCATCGCTCTTCTCAGCAACGTCAAACACAACATGCACTTGATACAGGCAACACAGATTCGTTGTTTGCCATCTTTGCAGCAGGTAACAACAGCTTGACAGATAGAGAGCGCGACGAAATTGATTTTCAAGCCAAATTGATCATCCGTCGCTGCATTGATCGTATTAAAGAACTGGAGGAATCTGAAAAGATTCGACAACGCAATGAAGCATCGAAGCCAGCGAGTCGTTTGGCTCATTTCTTGGGTACATTGAGCCATGGTGGTGGCGGTCATCCTAGTGGCAGTGGCAGCATGCCGGAAGATGTGTTGTTTGTGCATCGTAGCAGTATGACATGGTTCTTGAATCAGCAGCTGATGCAAGTGTCTCAAATCCAGAAAGACCAGCAGGAAATCCGATTGACTCGAGAAATTGAAAAGAGCGAGAATCAGCTATCGAAATCCACCTATGCAGAACCAGTGTATCGTCCCGATGTGGATCAACAACAAGCACCTGCACCGCAAGATGAAAACCCATTTGAACAAGCGTTATCGCAGGAACAGATTCAAATGCTGGAAAAGGAGAATTCCATCATGTTGGAGGATTTGAACAATACCCTAAATCAAGTAAAAAGTGCTGAAAAGGCATTGCTCGAGATCTCGACCCTTCAAACCCAGTTAACCAACCATCTAGCAGCACAAACCATCCAAACCGATAAACTGTATGCAGATGCCATTGCCACCACTGAAAAAGTCGAGCAAGGCAACCTCCAATTGATCACTGCACGAGAGAGAAACAAGGGCAGCCGCAACTTTATGTTGGTCTTTTTGCTGGGCGCTAGTTTTGTGCTCTTGTTTTTGGATTGGTATTCTTGATAATAAAACTTTTTGCTTGAATAGGCGATTAAAGGTCATGACCATGTCCTTGTATAACTCATGATTTCACATTTATATTCTTTTTTTTTTTTTTTTTTTTTTTCTTGCGTTAAATACTTTTTCCTTTATTCATGTCAACTTGTTGATAGAAGCAAAAAGAAAGAAGAATGTCAGGCAACCCTTCGACCAAGACACGTTCAGTGTATGGTACTTCATCTGTTGATTCGAACAGCAAGCTTGAAAGCAGCACAAAAGCCTCCGCCCGAAGAGATTCAGCTGCGCCTCTCATCAACACACCTCCCATTCAACCCGTCATTGGCATTGATCCATTGGATGTTACAGGCACATCCTATCGCTCGTCCTCCTCAAGCCGTATCATCACATCAGGCTCATACGCTCGTCAAAAAGGATATCATCGCACCGGGCTTTTTAGACGTAGAAGAAACAGCTCAAGCTCGCAAGAAAATGACACCGAGGATGAGCAGCCGCAAGACAGCGATAGAGAGCTGAATACCAGCGATGAAGAATCATCAGCAGACGACGAAGATGACCTGGATGAAGACGACGACGAAAACGACACGGAGCACACCATCCAGCATCTAGTGGCATCCCGCAACAATACAGAAATCCGTATAAGTGGACTGAACGCCATCCCTAATGATACCAAAGACGAACAGACACTGCTGTTAGAAGAAGAGGATGTTCAGATTCATATCCGAGCCTACAAATTCAATCGACTCCATCTATTCTTTTATCGCCTCTCTTCAGTGTTATCTCTGGGCATTGTGTGGTTGATATGTCGATGGGTGCCGACATGGTACATTGCCTGGATTGGTGTCAAAGTGCCCCTAGAAAAAGCAGAATGGATTGTCTTTGAGGTAAAATGCGTGTGTGTGCGTGTGTGTGTGTGTGTGTGTGGTGCTGACAGGACATGTACTGACATTGACACATATAACAGAGCCAGTACAATGAAATAGAAATTATTAGACCCTTTCGTGAATGGTACCAAGGTACCATTGGCAGTATTTTCTCGCATGATCAGATGAAGGAAGAATTGCTTCAATTCAATGTAAATACCGAAGAAGCTCGTCATCTGCTCAATATGGACCATCAAATCAATCAACTCATGCTGGTAGAATATCGATACATTCGCCTGGCATTTCATCCGCTGTTGCATAAATTCCTCATTGTCGGGTAAGTTTTCGGCCGAAAAGGGCAATCGTGTCAAGTAAAGAGAGAGAGAGAGAGAAACTGATCAGCATGTAGATTTTGGAAGGATCCAACTTGGATCAGCACCAAAAACTTCAAGCTGGGGTTGACTACCGAGAAATACCATGCTCGGCTATCTGTGTTTGGGCCCAATTTGATCAACATTCGAGAAAAGCCGACTTCCAAGCTACTGACAGATGAAGTGTTGAATCCATTCTATGTGTTTCAAATTGGCAGTATCTTGCTGTGGTGTATGGACGATTATTACTATTATGCATTTTGTATCTTTATCATCAGTGCATTCAGTATTATATCGACATTGATTGAAACAAAAGAGGTTTGTAAACAAGTGATCAGATGCACACACACACACACACACACGACAACGAAACTTACGCCCCCTTTTTTTTCCCTAAAAGACGATGAAAAGAATGAAGGACATGTCATTTTTCGAATGTTCTGTTCGAGTATTTCGTAATGGATCATGTAAGTATGGAGGCCATATGGTCTTTTTTTTTTTTTTTTTTTTTTTTTTTTTTTTTTTTTTTTTGCGGCCTGCTGCAAGGAGACACACAAGGAAGAGGGGAGGGCAAAAGAACAACGAGAACTCAATACGCAACATGTAGGGCGAAATGTGAGTTCAGTTGAATTAGTTCCCGGTGACTTGATAGATATTGCAAATATACACACAGTGCCATGTGATGCGATGCTTGTATCGGGAGACTGCATCCTGAATGAATCCATGCTGACAGGAGAATCTGTGCCTGTCTCCAAGATGCCCATCAACGATGCGACCCTGAAAAAGATGAACCTGTCGTCATCCAGTATACCAGCTGAAATCGCCAAACATTTCTTGTTTATGGGCACCAAAATGGTGCGTGTGCGAGGAGGTGATAATGTCACTACAGCAACAGCCATTGTTGTAAGAACTGGCTTCAGCACGGCAAAAGGAGCACTCGTTCGATCCATGCTGTTTCCTAAGCCCAACAATTTCAAATTTTACAGAGATTCTTTCAGGTTCATTGGTGTTTTATCCATCATAGGTAAGTTAATTAGTCCATTGTACATCCAACGTTTATTTAATTTCAACATTCACTAATTAAAGTACATGATGTATGGTTAACAAAGCGTTCATTGGTTTTTTAATATCCTCAGTCAACTTCATTCGACTCGGCATTGACTCAACGACCATGATACTACGTGCGCTGGATTTGATCACCATTGTAGTTCCTCCAGCACTGCCTGCTACACTGTCCATTGGCACAAGTTTCGCCATCAGTCGACTCAAGAAACTGGGCATCTTTTGCATCTCTCCTCCGCGCGTCAATATTGGCGGTAAAATCGACTGCATGTGTTTTGATAAAACAGGTACCCTGACAGAAGATGGGCTGGATATTCACGGTATTCGCGCAGTGACAGTGACCAAAGATGGCCGCAAACTGTTTGACGATGAATGCAAATCAGTGGCACACGTCGATCCCAACAGCGATGCCACCATGACAACGCAGGCTAAAATCCTGCGTACCATGACCACCTGTCATTCGCTCAAGATTGTCAACGGAGAGCTGTTGGGAGATCCCCTCGATCTCAAGATGTTTGAATTCACACAGTGGGAGCTAGAGGAAAGCGGGGGAGCATCGTCGATGGGATTGAAGCCTAGAAGTGAGTTGGCTGCATTGCAGGCTAAAAAGAGCGCAAAAGTAGGCATCATGCCCACAGTAGTAAGACCTCCCGGAGGTCGACAGGACATTAATCTGCACATGGTTCGTCTCGCTTTAATGCATGTAGTATGTCCGCTGTTAACCAGCCTATGTGATTAGGAAACCACCCCGCCTACAAGTGAACAAGCGCCACCCATTGAATTTGGCATCATTCATACCTTTGAATTCGTATCATCGTTGCGTAGAATGAGTGTCATTGTGAGACGACTGGCCAATCCCACCATGGAAGTGTTTGTCAAGGGCGCACCTGAAGTCATGAAGGACATTTGCACGCCAGAATCAAGTAAGCAAACAGATCTCATCTTTTATCCATGTGTATCTAATTAATGTTCATATTCAAAAGTGCCCGAGGATTATCAAGAGAGACTGTACAAGTATACACATCGTGGCTATCGTGTTATTGCATGTGCATCCAGACAATTGTTAGGGGTAAAATGGCATAAACTTCACAAGCTAAAGAGGTAAGTCCACCAAGCCCCCCCCCCCTTTTTTTTTTCAAAGGTCTTTATGAGATAGATTGACACTTTGCCAAATAGAAACGAAGTGGAAATTGGCTTGACATTTCTGGGCTTCATCGTGTTTGAAAACAAGCTGAAACCTCGCACTACTTCTGCCATTAGCACTCTGCGCAATGCAAACATCAGACAAATCATGTGCACAGGCAAGTACCTTCCCCTGTAAGCGTGGTCATATAAGACTGACAGCATATTTGGCTTAGGCGATAATGTGCTGACAGCTGTTAGCGTGGCACGAGAATGTGGGTTGATCGATCCAGCATCAGAAATCTATATTCCTCGATTCTTGAAAGGGTCCTCTACTGAGCCTGATTCAGAATTGAGTTGGGAGAGTGTCATGCAGGAAGGAAATGAATTATCCACAGACACGTTGCAGGTAAAAAAAAAATATATATATATATATCTTATGAGAAAAAGTTTATTTTCTAACGCTGCTGTGAAGCCTCATATGACAAATGATTTCACTCGGCAGGATCAAGAATATCATCTCGCTATTACAGGAGAAGCATTTCGTTGGATGGTAGACCACTCGACTTTGGAATCGCTTCATCGCATGCTGGTCAAAGGCGCTATTTACGCGAGAATGTCTCCCGACGAGAAGCAAGAGCTTGTCATGGAGCTGCAAAATATCGGGTATTGTGTAGGTTTCTGTGGTGATGGCGCAAATGATTGTGGTGCGCTAAAAGCAGGTGATATTGGCATCTCGCTGTCTGAAGCAGAGGCCTCTGTCGCAGCTCCGTTCACCAGTAATACCATGGACATTGAATGTGTGATTGATGTGATCAAGTAAGTTGTGTTTGTGTCGAGTTGATGAAACAATGAGTGTCTCATACCTGAAAACAGAGAGGGAAGGGCTGCCTTGGTTACCAGCTTTAGTTGCTTCAAATACATGGCACTGTACAGTTTGATTCAGTTTACATCTGTTACTTTGTTGTATGCATTTGGCAGTAATCTGGGTGATTTCCAATTCTTGTACATTGATCTATTCCTTATTTTACCCATCGCTGTATATAGTAAGTCTCTCTCAACAAAGCTGCTGCTTGTACACATACAAACACATACACACATACATTCTAACCTATTTTTTTTTCTATAGTGGGACATACAGCTGCATGGCCACATCTTGACCGAAAGAGACCCACAGCCAGCTTAGTGTCTAAAAAAGTATTGACATCCTTAATAGGACAAATACTGATTAACTCTGGTATCCAATTCTTGGCTTACTGGGCCATCCATCAACAATCTTGGTACACGCCACCTGTATTCGACCCCAATGGAGACAACATTGAATGCTTGGAAAACACCGTCTTGTTCCTGGTGTCCAGCTACCAGTACATGTTGATTGCTGTTGTCTTTAGCGTGGGCCCACCTTACAGAAAGCCGTTGTGGACCAACGGTCGCTTGGTGTTGACACTTGCCGTCTTGATCAGTCTTACATCTTGGTTTGTCTTGATACCGCCTGCTTTTGTCATGGAATTGATGGAGATTGAGCCTATGCCCATGTCGTTTCGATGGTTCATTTTGTTTTTGGCCGCCCTGAATCTAGTGGTGAGCTTGGTTTGCGAAAAGTATCTGTTTCATCAAATGATGGGCAAGATGACCAGGTTTTTAGCAAAGAAATCGTTTGGATATACGCTCATTGGCAGCAGTGGTCATAGTAAACGAGGCCATGACAAGACGTATCGTAGAGTGATGGATGAAATGGGCCTACATGAATAAAACACATTGTTTTCAAGATTACGCTTATTTGTTTTTAGTTGCACCAACAACAAACTATAGCATCCCTCCCCCCTTGATTTGGGGGGAGCAAGCAAGGAGACGTACTTGCTGACAGCAGCAGCAGCAAGCAAAGCAAAGCAGCGCAGCACCAACATCAGTAATCAGCACTACAAGCATGTCTTTATTGCGAAAAAAAAAAAAAAAAAAAGTAAGGGTACAAAAGAAGGGAGTAAATCAGATATTCCAAAACATATAAAAAAGGGTCCTTTTTCTTTCTCATCGCTGTACCCATTTCATTCCATTTTCTTTTCGTTGTTGCTCATTATGGATTATCAGCATTACAATGACCCTTCCTTGATACCCTTTCACACCTACCATCTGCCATCCTCCTTGTCCACATCGCCCATCACTGATCTTTCAAACTGGAGCATGAATGCGCATCATCTGGATGGTAATGAGGACATGAGTCAACCAGAACGTGGCATTGCTGGTTTTGTTTCCAAGCTGTATCAGTAGGTATTTCTTTTTCTGTACAAATTCCCTCTTTTTTGGGTTTGTTTGGTTCTTGTGCTTCTTCCATACCCCTTTTTCTTTTTAAAGTTGAAGTGTACTTTCTTGATTCAATTCTCGAGGCTTTTTATTACTCTCTTTCTGACCCCCCCCCCCTTTCTCCCTAAAAAAAAACAAATCCCTTGCATTTTTTATTAATACATTGTTATTACACTATAGATGCTTACAAGCACCTGACGATGGGCATAAATACGCTCGTTGGTGTAGACACAATGGCATTGATATGTTTATCATTGACTGTATTCCCAGTAAGTCGTAAAGCGTGTGTGTGTGTGTGTGTGTGTACATGTTGCTCATCTCTTACTCTTTAATCAGAATTCACTGAAATTGTGCTACCTCAGTTATTCAAGCACTGCAAGTTTGCCTCGTTTGTTAGACAATTAAATGTAAATACCAGATAAAAATTGACATTTTACTAAACTAACGAAAAAAGGAACAGATTTATGGATTTCAACGAGACACGGACGCTCGTAAATCCAAAGACAGTAAAGACAAAGAGACATGTCGATGGCACCACATTCATTTCCGTCCTGGGAGAAGAGACTTGTTCCACTTGATACGCAGAAAGACACCGCGTTACTCTCGCAGAAAGAGGCCAAGGACCGAGGAAGAAGAGGACCCAGAAACTATACTCAACATTGGGTCAGGGGATGAGTCTGACACACATCATGAAGATAATAATAGTGCTGTTCATCATGGTGGCAGCAGTAGTTTGGATGAAAGGCGTTGCTCTGCCTCGTCTGCGTCTTCCTCTTCTTATACCCTGCAGCCATACAGTCGACAAGCTCCTCCACCTCAGTACCATCCAACCATGAGTGCTTCAGCAACAACAACCCCCACAGATATCCTGTTGGATACCAATCCACAGCAGCAAATGTACCCACCACTATTTCACAACGCACTGACCTCGCCTATATCTACATTGGAAGAAGCCAATACAACCTATAACCATCCTGTTCAGCCCACACAACAATCGCAGCAACCACCGACATTTGCTTCCACTTTGAGTCATTTGCCTCATATGACAGAACAAGCCATGGCGCAAGATGAAGAGCAGCTCAAGGCACACGTTGTACAACTACGTAAAAGCTATCTGCACATGTATAAAATACTGACGGGTGAAGTAAACAAGGCGTTTAACTTGGTGGAGGTGCAGAGATCAAGAATTGAATTCCTGGAGGGTTCACTTCGACAACAACATCAACAACAGCAACAGCAACAGCAACAACAACAACAACAACAGCAGCAGCAGCAGCAAATGCGCATTGATACAACATCGTATCAGTATAATCCCATCTTACACACAGCACCTGCAACACCCATCTACCACCCAACTCTATCCGCCACATCCACACACCAGAATTTTCTATTTCCAACACATGAGGATGAATCCACACACTCACCTGCCACTACGCTGCCCGAGAAATGGCTATCTTCTTATCACCAGCACACCCAACACACTGGATTATCATCCATGGCAACAGACTGATCATCTTTCTTTATTGTAGCCATCGATGTCTTTGAGTCAAAGCACCGATTTTTACATTTCATTCCCCTTAATTTCTATGATGATTCCTTTATGTTATACGTTATTATGCCTCCTCCTCCTCCTCCTCCTCCTCCTTTTTCTGCTTCTTTATATATACATATTTTACATACACACACACACACACACACACACACACACACTTGTCAAATACACGTAATGAATACCCTTAATTCCATATGTTTCTACCTTTAAAAAACATGTTTTTTTTTTATTGGCAAATGTCAATACATAAATACTCCTTTTTTCTTTCTCTCCCATTGCAGAAAATAAAAAGCTTTTGTAAACCACGCAGCATATAAACACTAGGGAGTTCAATTGAACGACGACGCATGAAATGAAGATGAAAAACCAACTTGTTCTTCCAAACTTGCGGAAACAACATGTGCTTTAGATGCAAATGAAATACTCCCGAGCCACACTATTTGTTGGTTTCCATCCCCCCCAATGTTCCGTGTAGGTTAGGTGAGAGAAAGAACACCGGACTGATACTAGTATGGGTCTATGCGCATTTCCATGTTGTGAGTGTAAGTGCAGCATGTGCGCTGTATCCGTACTACACAGTAAAGGCACCGCTGCCAGTATCAAGTCTGTGCTATGGACGCTTGCAAATTTGGAAATGATAAAACTCAAATTCAAATATAAGAATTTACAAGCAAACATACATTGGTTTCTATGTTTGTTGTCGTAGGATATATTGTTCATATCACGATGCTAGGCTTTGTAGCTTGTATCTGTTCGTTTTCTTTCTCTTTCTCTACCATCACTCGTGCTAAACAATGATGGACACAGCTACCAACAGCACCAATGAAGCTATTGCAATAGACACATCTTTCAACACAGGCTTTCTAAAGACTTCATCCAAGAACTACCTACCTACTGGAACACCCACCAACGCCAATGCTTTTTCGAGACCTCGTGTGATTCAATGGGACCCTCACATGGGCACAGATCAATCCACCATTACTGTTGTACTCGAACAAGCAATCTCTGATGCCTCCGCCTCCTCCACACCGACCTTGAACGACGAAATTCATCCCATGAAATTGGTATTTGGCAGACTGGTGGTCGAGACAAACCAGCAACAGCAACGCGCTCCTACTGCATCTCCTAATAGCACGCTCAATAGTCAATTGGTCTGGATTACATTGGTGGCTCGTGTACCCAGATTCGAGGAAACTCAAATAGGACATGGCAACCAAGTTCCCTTATCCATTTGCGTGTATGACAGTAGACACAGTGACACAGCTACCGATCATTGGGATTTTGGCGTATTTACCTACAACAGTAAATCAGGAGCTGCAGCAAGGAGGGAAGAGGGTTCATCATCATCAGCAGCAGCAGCAGCAGCAGGAGAAGACTCCATAGATACGCTACAAGGTACATACATACATACATACATATATACATATATACATATACATTCATATTGTCAAATGTTGATATTTAACAAATATAAAAGGAAAGAAAAGAGGGGCTCCTCCCAATGACCAAGACTTTGGTAGTAACAAGAGACCCCACACTACAAGCCTCCAACAAGAAGACGACGACCAGCTCTTTAATCAACTACTAGCTCCATTCGATGATTCACCAGGCAAAACAACGTCCGATACGAGTACCATGCCATCACTGCAACACCCACAGCACCAGCACGGACGTCCATCTCAAGCCATTGCTCCTCACCCATCTCCTTTAAACTATTCTCCTTCAGACACAGCAGGCAATGCATTCACCCAACCTAACCCTTATTCCAATTCTGCTGGCAACACTAGCGTAAATGATTATCCCCATCCTGTCAATATACAGCCTTCTCCTATGCATCAGTTGGGTTACAATGCTTATCAAAGTAGCACTTTTACCAATTACCCCTCTCAACAACAACAACCACCACCACAAGGAAACAATACTTCCTCCGCCGCTGCCGCCGCCGCCGCCGCCTCCTCCTCCGCGTCTTCCTCCTTGGTTTCAGCCTCTGCCATGTACCCCAACTATCCACAACAGACCATGTTCAGCTCTCAACCAGTACAGGCGTCGCAGCAGCCATCACACAGTATGATGATGTCCTCCATATCAAGTAAACCAACAGATGCATCTGAATTAGGAGGAGGCGGTATGACAACGCCCATGACAGCAGCAGCAGCAGGAGCAGTAACGGAGTATCCATTTGCAGGTGTCCTGAGTAAGGCCAATCTCAAGATTATGGGAGACATGATGGAAATGACATGGCATTGGTCACAAGAAGAATGGACCAACGGACGTCGCTTGGTGCAGTTTTGGAGAAGGCAACGCGCAGCAGGAGAGACCAGCCAGCAAAAAGATAATCAAGTAGAATGTGGGTTTGAGGCTATTGAACAAGAGGCCTATCAGCAGCAACGTATACGTGAAAACTTGGCTGCTCAAAAAGACGGCACACAAAAGAAATCATCGCCCTTGGTTATTTCCTGCATCTACTGGCGAGAACGCAACGACTACTACATTACCTCTGTAGATTGCATCTATCTGTTGGAGGGCCTGATTGGCGTTCAGTTTACAGTAGAGGAAAAGAATCGTATAAGACGTAATTTGGAAGGGTTCAGGCCGTTGACTGTCAGCAAATGTAAACCAGAGTGTGCGGATTTCTTCAAGTTGATCATGAGTTTTCCTCACCCTAAACCGCGCAACATCGAGAAGGATGTCAAGGTGTTTTCTTGGAAATCGTTGCCTAGTGCATTGACTAAAATCATCAGAAAATATACGCCCAGTTACAGCAGTACAGTGGTTGCGAATGTGAATCAATAAATTAACTCGTTGAATATCTTTTTTTTTTATTATTATTCAGTATTATGTATATTATCTTTTGGTGGGCAAGAGGCCACTAGCAAAAGAGCGAGATGTCTTTTTTTTTTTTTCAATGGCCTCGTGTTGTGAAGCTTGGTTGGCGCAACCAAAAGCTTTGGATAGTCTCATCGTTCTGTTGAATACTCTCATCAAGCATGTTCATGGTCTGTGATTGCAAAATAAGCTCCAAATCATCATTTGCCGTTGTTGTGTGATCATCGTCGTCTGCTGCCTTTTCTTGCTGTTGCAGTTGTACATATTCTTCAGCAGCTGTATAGGCTGCAAAGGAGGCTTCTGAATCTGCAACTTGCCATGATGGCGCAGACAATTTTTGATCCCGTAAAACTGCTGATGGTAATGGGCGCTGTGGCTGCTGGGGTGGAACACTGTATGGAGAGGACGTATTGTTGTCATGAGGAGGTTGTGCAAATAGAGGCTCATTGTGTGGTGTGGGAGATCGATGCGCAAGCGAAGGATATAAAGGATGAGGCAACTTGCTGTTACTCAGAAAAGACAAATGGCTTGGATTGATCTTGGCGTGGTCTGCTGTAGCTGTCGGCTGAACAACAGAGTGCGGTGTCTTGACAGGAGCGTAATTTGGCTTGGCATGAGGGTCGTTGGTGGCTGTCAAGTAGTGGCTCCTGTCTTGACACTCGTCCAGTAATCGATAAATACTGTCAAATGAGTTGTTGGAAAATGCTTCATATGGAGCAGCAGCATCAGCAGCAGGAGAGCCGAATCCTTTTCTTGCGAGGTGATCTGATGACAGTACAGGCGTAGTCTGTGGCGCTTCCTTTGGTTTGTCTTGATGGACCGTGGTTGCATGATGCGTATGAGATGAAGCACTGTTGAATGTCTGAGCTGGTCTTTTGCTAAAGAATTTGGAGATGGAAGGAGGCTCATGAGACAAGTCTTCCATCACCACAGCTGGCTTAATGTTCTCCTTGTGCTGAATGGTGCTATCAAGGAAATCCGTAATGTCGGGAACTAGTTGCAGTCCTTGCTTTAGTACACACACAACAGATGCATTGAATTATCACCTTACTTGGTCTGCCTAGAGCGGATGATTTGCCCTTTCTAAATATACCAAGCTTGGGCTGCCTGTTGTTGGATTTCATCTAGTATAAAAAAAAAGTACGGGCCATTAGCGCTGACCAGGGAATTGATATGGGCCACAAAAGCTCGATACATACGGTGATTCGGCTGATTTTAAGGTTGGGAGATACAAATTTCTATTTCATGGTATAGTTAGCTATATATCAGGCACATGTACACGCCAGCAAAACCTGCAACAAGTGCATGCCGTGAGCAGCTTTCTTGATAATGTTGGGCTTTGTTTGAAGAGAGATTTTCTCTGAGGCATGCGACGATGATGATTTGTGTTTCTTGGAGTGTCGAGCAAGAGCAGTACCTTGGTGAACGGATTCATTAGGCACTGCAGGACGGTTGGTCTCTTGAATGTAACAATCAATGGACGACGGATGAAGCAGAGGCTGCTTTCGAGTGTAACAAGACGGCTGAAGAGGAGCATTCTGGGTGTTGGGAGACAGTGATGCTTCTGGGCGAGCTTGCTTGCGTCGGATGATCTCACTGATGGAAGCCGAAAAGGCATTGCTGCTTAAAGGCTCTTGGTTCTCGCATGATTCAGGAACAGAGCCTATATTAGAACTGTTGGGCGATCTGTACTGGTGAATGTAGCTTTGCTGGTCTGCTACGTAGGTCTTGACTCGGTTCAGTTTCATCTGGTGCTTAAACATGTCATAGTTGTCTTTGTGCTTTTCTAGCGCTGCTGTGGATAACAACATGCTTTTGTGTCGTAGGTGAAGGAAAAAAAAAAAAAAGAAAAAGAGAAAAAGACAAAACGGATGCAGAATACAAGCAGGTTTTTATTATCTAAGCACCATACTTGGGCACAAAGCCTAGTTTATGCCCTATTTCAGCCAATAAATGCCATGCTAGAATGGTGCCATTGCTACCCTTGGATTTGATGTCTGGTGCGTTGAATGTAGAGACACCATCTTGTCTGGAAGACCCCACATGAAGATAAGAGTATACAAGTGTCTGATCTTGCACTGCGTCTTTCAATGGCTCACCGTTTTTCATGAGATGGCTTTGACGAGGGACGATAGCATCCCACCATTGTTGTTTGCTGCCTGTTTCCTCTGTGCCAGCATCCGTGCTTGTACTGATGATGCATTGGATTGTGTCTGGTCTTGCATGTTGACCTACGAATATGTCCAATGTTGACCACGCACCGACATCACTATAGCCTGTAAAATCCACAAACACAACGTCTTGATTCACTTGTAACTCTGTCGTTATGTCTTGGCAATGGCACCCAAGTTGTTGTGCCATCTGAATTGTATGAGGATCATTGGAAACGATAGCCAATGACATGTCATTAAATCTTACGTGTGAAATGTTGAGTGATGTTTTGTGTCTGTATCACTTGTAGAATGAGTACCTTTGTTTGAATTCTGATTTGATGTCGCTAGCACCAAATAGGCCCACTAGCTGAAGCACTGTTTGGTTTGAATCTAATACATTTCAGGGTTATTCGTAAATACAAATGATATCTTGGTTGTTCTTGCAAGTACCAGAACGTTCTTTTTCCAATGCAATTTGCCCTGAACATCCCTCTCTTGCTACTTGATGGACATGCTCAAGCTTGTGCTGATCTACTAGCGGATAAGGACAGTAGTAGATGAATGCTCTGTTTGGAATGTGCGACATGATACGGATAGATACAAAGAAAGAGGAGAAAGAGATAGAGTTGGCCACCTTGTGAAATCAGTTTGAACGGAAGATTCGGAACCCTAAATCATAAATAGTGAAGCAATAAAAATCTTTTAACCGGTGCAACCCTCTCTCTCTCTCTCTCTCTCTCTTTTCTTTCTCTTCTTTTTCTTCTTGTTTTTATTGAAACTTGCAATAATATATACAAAATGGCCCCTGATTTGAAGGAATATGATGAAGAGCAAGTGCGTCTCATGGAGGAAATGTGCATTGTTGTAGACGAAAACGACAAACGCGTTGGCGCTGACTCGAAAAAGACATGTAGGTTCAAATCAAAACGACTCTTGAGGGTAATGGTGTGCTTATTGCTTCTGTCACTATAGGCCATTTGATGACCAACATTGACACTGGCCTCTTGCATCGTGCCTTCAGTGTCTTTTTGTTCAACTCTGAAAACAAGCTTTTGCTTCAACAGCGTGCCACCGAAAAGATCACTTTCCCTGACATGTGGACAAACACTTGTTGCTCTCACCCTTTGAACACTGCTTCTGAATTGATTGAAGAGGATCAACTCGGTAAATATAATCAATGTGAGTGTATGAAGGCTGGGGCTGACATGGAGAGAGAGGATAGGTGTTCGCAACGCTGCTCAGCGTAAATTAGAACATGAACTTGGCATCAAGCCCGAGCAAGTGCCCCTCGATAAGTTCAAGTACTTGACGAGAATTCATTATTTGGCCCCCAGTGATGGTCAATGGGGAGAACATGAAGGTAAGACATCAAGCTTTTCTAAGCAAACCAAGAAGGAGGGGATATTGACATGTGGCAATACAGTGGATTATATCCTCTTTATGAAGGCAAATGTCGATTTAGATGTCAATCCCAACGAAATCCGCGATGTTAGATATGTCACTCCTGAAGAACTCAAGGCCATGTTTGCTGACAGCAGTAAGTCTAGATATATATATATATATATATATATATATATATTGGGTCCAACACACATTAAACTTGTTGATATGTTAGGCGTTCCAATGACACCTTGGTTCAAGCTCATCTGTAACTCCTTCTTGTTCAAATGGTGGGATCAACTTGACACCATTGAGAATGTCAAGGCCGATGATACCATTCATCGTTTAGGCTTCTAAATTATAAACATCCAAACAAAAAGCATCTATATATCTTTAATATTACAATAATCTCATTTTTATTTAATTCATGAAATAAAATATCAAAAAGAAAACGTTTTCTTATTCTATTTATGGTGAGTCCAGTCTTTTAGCACACGTGCAACAATGACATTTAGAGTGTTAGTTGTACTTGTTGATGTTGTTTTGTCGCTGCCGTCATGTTTTTTTTTTGGCCTACTGTCCTTTCGCCCCTCTTCCTGCTCTTCCTTCCCCTCTCTCGTCCTCTACCCCTCCCGTACTCTCCTACTTGGTATCCCCTTTTTTTCCTGTCTTGGATTGCCTGATGAATAAACTAGTTTTATTCTAGGTAAATCTTCTCTCTCTCTCTTTCTTTCTCTCTCTCACTCTCTGTTTCGTTCCCTTATATACTATCATACATTCCTTTTAATTGTCTCTAATCAGCATTTGAGAGAACATGAGCTTAGGGCAGAGTTCCACCACCACCACAAATCATGAATGGCTGCCACTGCCGAGTGGCATATCCATCACATCTCATGATTCATTCACAAAAGACTTGCTTTATCAATTTGATAAAAGAAGATCTCAATTATTATCCAATGAATACTACATTTCCTCCTCTATTGGAAGCAGCATTAGCCAACAAGTAAATAGTGTGATGGCTGTAGTGTAAATCAAATCATTGTAGGCTAATGTAATTTTTCTTTGATAGAGCCCTAAAGAATCACCTTTAATAGCTGCTACAGAGCCTGCCGCTGCTTGTACGCTACAAATAGCATCCATATCAGTACCAAGCTTACCACAATCGCATTCAACGGAAACAACGGCAACAACGGCAACGGGAGAGCACGCTAACAATCATGTATTAATAGAACAAGAAAGAGAAATAATTCAGGGCAATCATAAAAATAACAACAGGCGCCGATCAGCGGGTGATTTATTGCGAAAATCTTCCTTGTACCTGAGAAACAAGTTTAACGAAGGTTTCCATCATAATACTCATTTAGAGCAACAGCAGCAGCAGCAGCAGCAGCAGGACACTGAAGATCAGCACAGTGCATCACTTTTTAATTCTTGGACCCTGAAAAAGAAAAAGAAGAGACGAAATGCACATGATGTGTTTAAGAATAGATCGCTTTCAAGTGCTTCGATACCGTTGCCACCTTCGCCACCCACACAGCAACAACAACAACAACAACAACAACTATCAAAGATAGCCGTTAATACCACCATTAATATCCAACCTCTAAACCAAGCGAATAATAAATCAAACAGTAAAAACCCTATTCAGCCGCCTATCATCACTCAATATCCTCCCAAGCCTTTAAAGTATTCCCCAGTAGAGCCCCTTCCAGACGAAGATGACAACGGTAATAGCAGCATAGGTGCAGCATTGCATTATAAAAAATCAAAGACATTACATCGTCTGTCCCTACCTTTGCTAAAACTCACAGCTCAGCAACAGCAACAGCAGCAGCAGCAGCAGCAGCAGCAGCAGCAGCAGCAGCAGCAGCCATCAGACAACACACTACAAAGAAGAAGATCAGATTCAGATTTGTTAAACAGAAGTTTGGTTGTCGAGAAAACCTCTCACTCAATGCTACATTCCATCAGTAAGAGATGGAACAAGTTGCTATCAACGTGCATACAACGAGGCGTCAAGAAAAAGGATTGATTATCAACCGTTTGCCTTTTGCATTAGATACACGTTACCGCGATCATAGAGATATAGACAAACTCAATACAACTACCATAACAACAAGACGTAAAAACGTATGTATAGTATACTTTATATGCATGCGCTTCTGTTTGCTAGGTATACGTAACTATCTATTTTACTGCCTGCAGCAAATACGATTAGTATAAAAAAAAAAAAAAAAAAAAAAAAAAAAAAAAAAAAAAAAAAAAAAAAAAACGCAATGCTACATAAGAAAATCATTTAATCACTCAATTCTTTATGTATATATACAGATTGTGCATAGTTTGCTCTTTTATTTTTTCTTTTCTAACTACATTATGATATAATAATAGCTAAAAACAAGATTTGTACAAAGTACAGTGTTCTTGGACCTAAACCTACCTTTTTTTTTTTTTTTTTATATATATATTTCTGTTGAGTATACTTGGGTGATGGATATATTCATTCAGCAAACGATAATCAGCATTGTTGATTACTGGTGGTAACAAGATACGTGTTGGCCATCGCACGAGTCATGCAGCATCAGGCTTTGTTTGGTGAACGACGGGTTTAATTCATACGAAAAGCTTTGTAACTGTGCATCACCGCATGAGAACCCTCCATAACTGTGGGCCTGTGTCTGATGTATTGCTCTAAAGCTGAGTCATTGGTGATAGTTCATATTCAGGCATACGTTGTCTTTTATTGCTCAAAAATATGCAAAACACGGTAAAATTTAGACACACTTAAACCGCGTTTTCTTGTGCTAGAATCCGGTTTTAGGCCGTCAGAATAGCGCTAAACAACTGCTCTGACTTGACACTTACTTTCTGACGCCTTTCCTCATTTTTTTGGGACCTGAAAAAAATTGGCCAAAATCGACCAAAAAGCATGAGGTACCCCTCATGGTTTCCATAGGAATTCAAACGATCGCGTTTTTTACCTTGAAAATGAAGACTTTTACTATGGTATGTATTGGATCAAAATGTTTCTTTCGATCCAAGCCATGATCAGAAACCACTTTTTTGAAACCTTGATATGCAAAAATCTCAACATTTTGGCAAAAAACGTCATTCCGTATTTTCCAAAATTTCTCAATAACTTTGCTCAAAACACCTCTTATAGATGGAACCATTAGAAGCGCCTTAAAAAGTACCACCAAAAAGCTTAAGGAAGTATAGGATGTTCACCACGATTCATATAATCAAATCGCACAAAATAGATTAATCAAGTCGAAATCGTACGTAAAAGGACTTTAAATAAAGCAATACAATTGCCCTACAAAAAAAAAAAAAAAAAAAAAAAAATAATCAAGTCGAAATTGAACAGTATCTAGCCAATCTTGAGCACAACGTTTACGGACTTTTAATTGGCATGTTTGGCTGACCAGATCACGGACATTGCCTTGCTTATGAAAATAGCTGGCACCACGTTCCTTAAATCAAGTTAATCAAGCATTGCTAGACGATAGGCCGAATCAATAAAGCATTTGGTCATCTAATCGTGCACTTTTGTTATAGCTGATGAACCATCTATTGGCAAATGGCATGACAATTACTTTCAAAAAGTAGCTTCTATAGTTGGAGGAATTTACAAATGTCCTAAACTGACTAGCTATCCTATTGAGAGTGTCAACTCGTTTGAGATATTCATTTAGCACTAGCTATATACAGTTGACAATCAATAGAATTAAAAAAAAAACGGTTCCACATTAGTAAATGCGAATGCATAATAGTTCAAGTTCGCAAGTCGTGCCACTTTTCAAGTTCAATAATAGAGGTCTAGATGGCAATTCATACATCAGGTGCTCTTCATCAAATGTGATACTAGCGGATACACAGTCAATGACACGAGTAGTTCTTGAAGAAGAGGCATAATACATTTAAATCTTCTATGTTACGCTTTTTACATGATTTAAAAAAATGAACCGAATAAGGTTCAGTAATGATACAAAAAATGCAGTTATAAATATGCTTTGCGCATGTATGGTAAGTATAGGATCTGATGTCGCGAATATAACTGCGTCGTTTTTACGCAGCATTGCCACAAGCCGACATTTTACAGGGCCTCGAAGCGTCTAAATAAGGATCTGGTGCTATCTTAAGTTAAATTTTTGTAAGTTTGATTGGGGGAATATCAGGTTGAGGGGCCGAATGCAGTGGAACAAAGGGAAACGCTAAAACGCAAATGAAAGGATCAATGCAAAAGCCCTCTAGCATTCAGACTTTCTTGCGGAATCTTCTCTTTCGTCATTGATAGTGAAGTTGGTTTTTGCCAAGCATAGCTATACAACTAAAATCAAGAGCTAGGAAAAGAAGAGGATGACTGACAAAGGTATGTGCCAAAAGAGTATCCGAATACATCCGCATGAATTATTACCTGGGATTATCAAATGATTTGGGAAAAATTAAAAAAAGAATGGACATATTTGGACTTATTTTACTCACTAGCCTCAGTGCCATTTGGAATAAATTAATGTGTTTTTGACCATGTATATAAGTTCATATTAACACTTTACATCTTGAATATTATACCATATACAAATGTTTGAATCCGGCGTGTAACAGACTTCAAAGGGCCGAAATCGAGGGTTTCACTTTCTTTACAATCATGGAAGAAACCCAGCCTCCAACAGATGCTTGGTAATATAAAAAAAAAAAAAAAAAAAAGTTTTCATTTCGAATGAACTTTTCCCTTTTTTAAAACAGAATCACTCCATGTTTAGAAAAGCTAAAAAGCTATCCAAAAGACTCGGTTTAAACAAAGACAAGTGCACTGCAGGAAGTGGCATTGTAAACAACAAAGAGGTGTCAAAAGGTTACATCTCAGATGATGGTTTGCCTGAAAAACATCAAAATCAACATAAAAAGCAGCCTCCTCCACAGTTTGCGTTGAGCATTGACAGAGTCAGCACCGGCGGAAGCACAGTGAGCGATGATCTAGTCGACGACGATTCAGCAAGCACAAAGAGCACCGAGAGCGAGGACTTGAAACTACCCTTGAATACATCAACCCATGAAAGACCCATTCTGGCCAAATGTCAAACTGTACCTAATACAAACACTTTATATGATACACCCGCTAATACATTACAACGCCAACTCAGTATGATGGACACCGGTAATCTAGAGCTGTTATTATCTATGGAAACACAGGCTAGATTAGATGCTCAAGCTGAACGAGAAAAAGAACAACAGCAACAATTATCAGAACAGGATAGCATGCTGGCTCCTCGCCCCACTCGGATCAAGTTTGAACTTCCTGTGACACCTCCACGCTCTAGATCTCCAGCTAGATTAGCTTATCCCAGAGCGAGACCAGTTCGATCTTTGCCCGATGAAGGCTTGACTGCAAACGCCATGCGACATCCCTTACCAATGAACAACGCAAAGCCTCGACGAGCTGGCTGGAGACATTTATTCGGCGATCGAGAAGAAGATGAACTCAAGCAAGCACCCATACCCATCACTATTGGCACAAGAGTTCGACTAAAGATGAGACCACTACCAACATTTGGCTACGTGAGATACATTGGTGCTGTTGACTTTGGAAAAGGAGAATACATTGGCATTGAACTTGATCACGGTGGTAAGAGAGATTAGATTAGATTTACAAGATCGTTTACTAATATGGCATTTATTCAGTCGGTAACTGCGATGGTAGCATTGATGGTATCAGATATTTTGATACGGATCCTCATCGTGGTACATTTTCCAAACGACGTGAACTCGAAGCAGTAGCAGAATAACTCACCCATCACTGTAATTTTAAGAATTAATCGACCTTGTATACCCTCATGACTATTTTTTTTTATTAATATTCCTCACACAAATAAAGGAGACAGCATTTTATATCAATATTCGTTTTCTTTGTAAAAAAAAAGCATATATTTTAATTAGATATTTTGCACTAAAGATATCGCATCATAAATAAAATGTTTCAACTAGAAATGGCCATCATAAAGCATAGCTGTCTTTGGGATGGGCAGGGTATCGGAATCCTCCGCCGAGGAGCACGACGTAGATTGTGGCGAGGATGCTGATGGTGATGGAGGTGTGGAAGCAGCAGATAACCCTAATTGCTGGCGCAATTGCTCATTTTCTTGCTGGATAGTCTGAATGTATTCGATAGCATATCGTAGCACTTTGGCCCGATGGCACTTTTCGCCTCCACTCTTTTCTATGGAACTTCTTGGCACAAGATCAGAAAGTTCATTTACAAGTGTGTTCTACAGGCATTTGCATTAGAATCATGTTAAGTATACAAAACGATTTAAAATCTAACCAAGTTATCTCTGCGTCTTCTCTCTACTCGATTGTGAGTTTCTCTTCTTTGTTTGATGCGATTCATAGCAGTATCGCTATCGATGCTGATTTTGTTGAGGATATTTACACCATGAACAACTAATTTATTGGGCTGCTTGTCTAATTGATTTAGCTTGCGTGCCATTGTATCGGGATTGTATATTTTTATGCGTTCCTGTAAAGGATAAGTTGCTCGACGTTCTGAGATGGTCATTCTTGGTGGTTCAGCAGTCATTTTAGTTTGCGTTTTGATATTCGGCAGAGAGAAAAAGGTAGAAATAAATAGATAAAAAAGAGAGAAAGACAATGATGAGCTGATGGAGATCCCTATTTATATATGTAGCATTCTTATTTTATTTTTTTTATTTTTTTCTGTCTGCTCCTTCATCGTGGCTGAAAAGAATGAGGGGAACAAACGTGTGTGTGCGTATCAAGGCGAAATTGCCTCACAATTGCCTCATTAGGGAGTTCCACTAGTTTGAGCCCTTTTTTCACGGTTTTGGAACTGGCAAGCAAATGGCAAAATGAGCTTTCATCAATTTCAGCCAGTTATCACTGACATGCTTCGTTGCACAAATATTATCAATAACTTTGATCTTTGATGTACGTAAAAAACGTTGCTTAATTGACTCAAGGATACAAAGCTTATTAGCATCATGAGATAGTTTTTTATTGTCGCTAAATAGCTCATTTTTGTAACATGGTTGGAGTCTTCGGAATTGGTGCTTCCTGTTCCCTGTTCGCATCTGTTATAGCAGGGCAATTGACTGTTTGCGGCAATATTATTTGTATCTAGAGAAAGAAAAAGAGAGAGAGAGTACCCAACCAGCTATTTGACTCCATCTTTTAGATGCTTTATAGATGAAAACATAACAAAGGCTGGCAATTACGCTCGCTTTTTTGAGCACACAATAGATCGGAACCCCTACTATTAAGCATGCATGATTGTTTATGAATATACTACTCCTACATTGCTGTACACGACACGTATTCATCAATCATTAATCATGGTAGCGCTCGTCGAGAGTATAGATGTGAGCTTGGTCCAATACAGTATGTTTTTACTGTTTGCTAACTTGTTAACTAGGGATTATTGCGCAAAATAACCATTCATGTATGCAAAAACTCTATTCCACAAGGGTGTCTTCACTCCGTACTTACTCTCAAACCTAGAATAGGCAGCAAAAAAACATAATTTTCGTTGCAAAATATTCAGAAGCTATTGAACTATTAGATGGAAAGGTGTATCCCTTTTTTATTTTGTAGAATCAAGAGAAAAAAAGACTTCTTTGTCAACACTTCCATTCTAGAAATATTTGAGTGATCTTTGAGCGATATTAGAGTGACCGTATTTAGGCTGTGCATTTCCACATTATGGTCTGTTTGTTTGCCGGACTGATATACACATAATGGTGTGAACATCTAGATTGCTCAAGGATACCTTACAATAAGCGATATCTCAATTAGCATTGTTTTAAAGCTCTCAGCTTTCTGTAAAGTTGTATTTTTTTTTAAAAAATAGATGAGCCATCGATAGATTGATGGGTATGATATTAATGCCTTTTGTTTATTTATTTACAATGTATTGATATAATTTACGAATCCAAATCCTTCAAATCTAATTCTTCCATTGTGGCTATTAGATCTTCTGTCGGTAGAGAATTTGCGTATTCGACGGTCTGTAGAAAAATGTGCTTGTGAGTAAGAGTCAAATAGTCGTATAAAAAGCTGAACTTACCTTTGAAAATTGTTTGATCTGCTTGTCAAATGTTGCCTGTTTCTCTCGTTTCTCCTTGATTTCAGTCCTAATCGCATTCATCTGTTTGTAGTTTTCCTCGGTCAGCTATATAATCAACTGATGCTTAGTGAATGTGACACTGTTGAACCTATATCATGCATCTCACATCATCGAGCATCTTCTGCAGACGCAGTAATTCCATCTGCTTGGATTTATATACAATTCCTAGTGATACTTGGCTCGGTGTTGGTACCAGATGCGTGCTTACTCGCTCTCTTCCCTTTGCGTCCGTCAGCATTTGATCTAGCTTATTTTGTTTTTCGACTAGATCGTTCTCTTTGATTATTTGATATACATGTTTCTATCATCCGTTGTTACTCTCTTCATGTGTGTCGACTGATGGATAGTATCAAGGCTACCTTTAGTTGTTTTTCCATGTAGTCTTTGCCCTGCGAATAACATTCTTCTATCGCCTCCGTCTGATCTGGTATAATTGGCAGGAAAGCCTCTTTCACTAAAGGTATTCTACAAAGTTGGAGCAACGATGAGGACTTGTATTTAATTTTGTCTAGTTGTTGCATACGTACAATGCTGCTTTCACACTTCCCTCAATGTATTTTCCAGCTAAAATGTTGAATTCTTTGGCAGTTTTCCCAACCTTGGGTAATTCATGGTTCTCTTCGTTGCTCATTTGGAAAAATTATAAGGTTTAATGATGGAAAATGCAGCTTCGCGTTAGAGATTTGCACCGTGACGTGAAAGACCTACATCGGTTGATGATTCATCCATCTCTGAAAGGCTCCTCCCCGCATTCCCCTTACCGTGACATCACCCCCATATAATGTTTTTCGAGAGAAATCCCCAGTTTGAGTATTGCTTGTCCTAATATTTTTGTTTCTTCAACCTTTCAAAAAGGTAATTGCGAACAAATTTTAAAAGAAATAGAGCTAAATTCAAACAAATCCCAATAGTCCTTATATTAAATCATGTCTTGGAACACAAAAACCTGGTCTTGGGTCAAGAAATACTTCTCTGTTGTAAGAATTCATCCAAATGTAGTGTCAAAATCAGTAATCTCTAACTTCCATCCAAACATTAGAACCCTTTATCTTCTGACGGCATGCCCGTTGTAGGCAAATTCCGTACTCCTGCCCCAGCGTAAGACAATGATAGATTCAATGCATCGAGTAGCAGAGTATTAAACACATTTCATTTCATCAATCACAGTTCTCGTCCTGAGCAATACACCTATCCCAAGTCATCTGCCTCCAAGATCCACGACAACTACTACTTTACTCGTGATACTCGCAGAAACTTCCCTAGACTTGCTGTATACACTCAACAAGATGTCGCTCTTCTCCTCGAAGGTGCTCCTGTTAAGCCAAGGTACTAAATCACATTATATATATATATATCTTTGATCACTACTAATTCAATCATCAGCCTCTCTGCCGAAGCTGCTACTGAACAAGTTGTCGCTGAGACTGCTGAAACTAAACCTCTCGTTGACGTCTTGAGTTCTCAAAAGCTCTACACCAAGGAGAAGCTTGCTCCTGCTCCTAGATTTGGCCGTCAAGTCAATTGGAAGACTTCCGAAGATTTTATTCCTCCTAATGATGGTAAGTTTTTACATGTTGATCAAAATGCTGATATACTAATGGTCATGCCACAGGCTCATACTTCCCTATGCAAGTCGTCACCGCCTAAATTAAGATTTAAACATACATTGATACATATACAAAAAGAAGAATAAAAGCAATAATTGTCGCAAACCAACGTACAGAGCAACTTACATCTGCGCCTTTAATCAATTCGCCAGACAGTCGATGCGTGACATAAAGCAAAACTAAAGAGTAAGGTTAGGCAACCTTGATCTGTCTTGACTTGGATCGAAAAAAGGGACGAGATTTATGTCTTGAAGATTCATGATGATGCATGCTCTCATGAAGCATATGCACTTGAGGATTCCTGCAAAAAGGGTTTACTATGAATTGTGAGGGAAATTGGGTTCAAATAATATACCTCTTACAAATATCATGGATGAGACACAGAAACTTGCTGATCTGTGCACATCATAAATAATACCATTATCCTGACATCTATAGTGATCTAAATAACCGAAATCTACCTTGAAAAGTTGCATATCTTTTCATTGAAGGATAACATCTGCACTTTACTTGCCTAGTGGGGCGATCAGCTAGTTTTTTTTTTTTTATATGGAATATCCTCTCTAGCACTTCTCCATCATTAAGTACAGTATATCATCCACGTTTCCATAATTCAAAACGAGGAGAGAGAAAATGCCAGGAGAAATTCTCGAACCATTGCTTTATGCTATTCTGCCCAGCTTACAAATGCTTCTATTAAAGCAGGGCATTTGCCCAGAGTTACCACCAAACCATGTTGTAATATAGTCCAGTATGGGCTCTCGCCAAAGACATTTTAAATCAGACATTATAACATTTTGGTATATCAAGTAGATTTTAAACAATCTATTAATAGTAAAAAAAAAAAGGTTATATTAGAGCCACCAGGAGGAGGAGAGGAGGTATCTCCTTCAGCATCCTTTTTGCTTACATTGATATCAAACGAAGTTTATTATTGAGACGATGTGAAAGAAAGTTCAAGTTTTATGCAGCATTTGTAAACCACAATCCACATTTTCTGATAGTAGAATTGCCATGCCATTCGCTGCTGCTGATGCTCTTAATAAGATGGCGCATAAAGCTGGTCATGCGCAAATATAGGACTTGTGTAAGATCTACAGCGACTTTTTTTTTGAGATATTTACATTGCAAAAGACACCCTTATGAGGAAAAAATTCCCAGAAAAGTATTTGGGCTAATCAATTGTTCTTTTAATTCTATGAACCCCATTCAATCAGTATCGCAGCAATCATTATTGTCATCACAGAAAGGCATTTGGGCCAGCCAGCAGCAATGCCGCTGCCGCCAAAATATATTCAATCTCAGATTATTTTTTTCTGCTCAAGATTGGACAGATTTTGTCTTTTTCCGCCTTCTTTAATTTATTTTGTGATATTCGACTATATGAAATGTGGTTTCCAGACGATGCTTCCTAATACATTCTTGGAGCACTGTTCAAGGCGCTTCCAATGGTGCTAACGATAATAAATGCTTTGACTGAAATTAGTGAGCAACTTAACATAATTTAAAATGAGGTTTTTAGCGAAAATAGCCATATTTTGCATATGAAAACCTCATAAAAGTGGTTTCAGAGGTTGCTTTGGATCGAGAGAAACATCTTGATCCAATACATATCATAGTAAAAGTCTTCATTTTCAAGGTAAAAAAATGCGATCGTTTGAATTTCGATGAAAACCATGAGGTATCCCTCATGCTTTTTGGTCGATTTTTGGCCATGTTTTTTTTAGGGTTTCAAAAAGTTGAGCAAAGGTGTCAGGAAGTTACTACTACTCAAGTACAATTGTTTGGCGTCACTCTGGTGGATCATAGAGGTCTACGTGCCAAGATATAGAGGCTTGAAAGCTGTCAAGTTTGGTTATGTATTGCTTTATAGAGTTTATTTCCACGGCATGAAACACATCCTTGATAGCTGAAATCTTCTGGAAGGGCAGTTTTGCAGCCTGTGCAACTTCTAGTTTGAATAGGAGGCACATTGATTTTGGTAAGACTAATTCATGCGGATTTTGACGCGTTATGTTGTTGGTAAGCTTGATAATAATGGAAGTGAGAAATCGAATTTGCTGCTTGAACACTATGGTTTTACACGTTTGTCTGTCTACGGTAAACCCCATTAAAACTACTATTACCAAATGTTGAATTAGATGTTTAGTTGTCATAGGTTTTGCACCTTTGCCTGGCTGCGGTAAACCCCCTCCCCCAGACTCCCTTCCGATTGTAGGCTTCTCCGGCGGTTTTATTCACCTTTGTCCAGCTCTCAATTCTTTAAAAACATAGTTTTCCAGTATATATAGTGAAGATTGATGAACGAAAGCTCATTTCAATGCTTCCTGGCGAATCATTAAAGACGTATACGCGCCACTCTTAGAAGCAATGCATTTTACTGGGAGATACATCCAAATTTCACATTTTTTTTATCTTCTCGCCATCACAATTGAGTACCTTAATAATTGTCTCTAGCTGCTGATCTGATTATGCTGCAATACTCCGCGTCTGTGCCACTGGAAATAATTGATATACTAACAGACAGCATACTTGCGTTATCTCTTCTTACTCAAAAATAGGCAAACCACAGCGAAATCTGGATGTAATTGAGTCGCGTTTTCTCGTGTTTGAATCTGTTTTAGACCGTCAGAATAGCGTCAAGCAATTGCTCTAATCTAACACTCACTTTCTGGCACCTTTGCTCGACTTTTTTGAGATCAAAAAAACATGGGCAAAAATTGGCCGCAAACCATGAGGTACCACTCATAGTTTTCGTCGAAAATCAAACGATCGCGTTTTTCACACCAAAAATGAAGACTTTCACTATGGTGTTTATAAGATCAAAATGGTTCTTTCGATTCAAGACAACCACTGAAATTGCTGTTGTGCAATTTTGATATGCAAAATCTCAACATTTGGGCGAAAAACCTCATTTCATATTTTCAAGCATTGCTCAATAAGCTCATTCAAAACAGTACTTTAGCTAACACCATTAAACGCGCCTTCAATAGTACCACAAAAGAGTATTAGGAAACATTTTTTTTGTAGGGGAGTTGTACTCCATTTTTTATTTAAAGTCCTCTAAATGTCATGATGAGGGAAGAAGAAGACTGGATATATTTTTAAAGGCAAGGAAATGAAAGGGAAGCAAGGAAGTGGAATACGACCATAAAATACGTGGGGGTACATACTTACAAATCAAACTGTAATTCCGATTCCAAGCGAGACAGAGAACGGGCAATAGATGTGTTAACGTTGAGAGTGACAAAAGGGACATGGTCGAAGATGGAGCGCCAGTGGGCTTGCCATATACAGAGTAGACTGGTAGCGAAAACTTGGTAAACGGTAAGCTCTGGAAAAGGTAAGGAGGCAGAGCGAGTGGGTTCAGCTATGGATAGAGTTTGAATGCCGTGGAGGAATGGGAGAAGGACGTCGTCGGTCATCGGTGTGTGGGATAGGTATGTAGTGGCGAGGAACCGCCATACAGCGAGTTTGAGAGGACAAGTAAAGAAGAAATGTTGGATATCCTCCGGGCATTGGGTCAAACAGAGAGGACACGAAGGTGAAGGGTGAGTTGTGGGGATGAAGTGGTGGAGGATCGATTTGGAGGGAATTTTTCGATGGATAAGTCTATACCATACAGTTCGGGATTGAAGGAGAATAGGTAGTTTCCAAAAGAGGCGCCATTGGGAGGGGGAAAGAGGTGAAGTGTTGATGGTGGGCATGTCAGTGGAAACCAAGTGTTTGTAGTATTGAATACTGTTGAGTGGCACTGTTGAAGGTAGTGGTGTTATAGGTTTGATTAGACGGCGAATGAGTGGGCGGATGTTGTGGGGGTTGGCACCAAAGGAGGCACTGGTAAATGAATGGCGAGGGGCCTGACGGCAGAGAGCGAGAAAGAATGGTTGGAGGTAGATTTGGCCTTCCTCAATCCAACGGGCAACTCGATGAGATATTCTTGGATAATGGCAAAACTCAAGGAAGGTCCAGTTTCTAAGACGGATCACTTGTAAGTCGAAGTCAAAGGTAAACACATCTATTGCGAGCAGTTTCTGGACGGCGTGATGTCGGTCAAACAGTTGATCTGGAGCTGTGAAAGAAGAGAAATGGGGGTGAGTAGAAGGGAGGGTATGTAAGATAATTTCAAGGAAAGGTAATGATAAACCTGTATGAAAATCTAAGTGACAGGTTGTGAAGGAACGAGGTATTCGATCCATGGTGGTAATGACATTGGTGAGTATGTTAAGGAAAGCTTGGTGTGGACTGGGTCGATGTTGGAACCAGATGGTTTGTCGAGCAGCAGGAAAGAGTAAGTAGTAAAAGTAATCAGAGAAAGCGGTAGAGTGGAAATACCATTGCAGGGAGTACTGGAGGAGTGGAATGCTTGGGGTGGTGTATGTCGGTAATAGTGGTGAATGACAGGCGGCTAAAATGAGGGGGCAAATCCAGCGCCATTGGAGAGCTTGTTGTTGGACAATGGGATCTAAAACTTGGAGGCCGCCATGATGGCGAGGCTGTTGAAGGGTTCTAAAGGAAAGTTTGGGGAAGATACGAAAGTTAATGAAGGAGGACCCAAGGCTGCGTAAGGAGAGTAATTGAGCTTTGGTGAAAATAAAGTTGCGCATGACATGCCAGAGTTTCGAGAAAATGAGTGTGTTGAGAACGGTAGCTCTTCCACGAATGGAGAGGTTCCGTTGGGAGTGAATATGGATGCATTGTTGGATATTGTTGTAGAGTTGCTGGAAAGCGAGGTTGCGTTGGGATAAACTGGAGCATATGGGATAGCCAAGATATGTTACTGGATCAGGAGAGGTGCGGTCATGCATTTGGTGGATTTGGTGAGTAGCAAGAAACTCGCGCCAATCTGGTTGTGGTTGTCCAGAGAGCGAAATGGCTATAGTTTTTCTGTAATTTAGTAGTGCATTCGATGCTTTCATGTATGCATTGATAGAGTCCTGCAGAAGAAGAAAATCCGAAAAGTTCTTCAAATAGACTAATGTGTCATCTGCATAGGCTAGAATTTTGTACTTAATTGGATTGCGATGGGTGGGAGAGACT